TTTGGCTATACCAGCATCTGGGGTATCAGTCGAAAGACTGTTCAGTGGGGGAAGAGATCTCTTAGGAGTGCGGAGGAGCTCAATGAGTGCAGAGACTATGAGGCGTCTTATGATGCTGCGAGATACATGGAAATAGCTTCAGAGATTTACGAATAATTACGAATAATTACGAATAATGCGAATATTATTCGTACGAATATTAGTAAGCGGAAATTCTAAATTTTATTCGTATTCGACTACGAATATTCGTACGAATATTCGTAATCGAATATTCGTGTCCAGCCCTAGGTCAATATTTGTGAAAGTAGCCCCAGATGGTGGGATATGGTCTGCGTTCGTGGGAGTGGTGATTATAGTAGTGGGCCATGGTTGAGGTGGGCGACTCGCTGGTGGATTACGTTAGGCCATATAGCGAAAGTACAAGACATGATGCTCAAACCGCTCTTAGAAGGCCAATGGCTGCTGACCGGTTTCCTATGCAGCCCTTGCATCAATGCCGGCGTCACCACGCAGCAGGAGACCACGCCAAACCAGCGAAGGAATGCTGCCTCGGGGATAGCACACAATTTATATACAACTCTTTAACTGAATCTAGAATATCTTTGGCTACGCGTATGTTGTGTGCATCCAGCTACCGTACCGTAACATGGAGCAACATTACCGTGAATTCTTTCATCCTTCCCCTTTGAGCAGCTGAATTCTTTATCTCTAATATGATTGACGAGTAATTATCCCTTTAATGTGTTCCAACTACGGAAGGCATGTTAGCCATCCCACTACATATCCAATAAGTTGTGTAGGCACGATGGGATTTGTTGGGAGTGTCTGTCGTGTGGACGGACACGGAACTGAAGTGTCGTTTGTGCTGACTGAGTAAATGCTCGTCGAGTTACAATCATTGTGTGGGAGAAACCGACGCGTTCGTGGGCTGTGATACGATTCTCATGTCGAACCGAGGTCTCTTGGACGATGGATCGTCCGGCGCGGTGGGAGCAGTTATGGAACCGGCATTATCTCCTTCTTCAAGCATCCTGTACGGATGTGAAAAACCTCTTCCGCCGTTGGGCCTGTTGCTGACCTTGCGGCCTGTTGATTACCCAGGCATTGCGTTTGTAGTGTGACGAGTAGACCACCTTCGGGCGATCGACCTCGGTGAGTTCGAAAAAATTTGCCAAACGCTCGCTCAGCGACGGCATAAGGAACTTGAATACTGGCCACAAGAGTCCCACGTCCATCATAAGCATCAAGACCGTTATCGCAACGCTGAAGCCAACGTCGTGTTGCATCCTCCAGAAGAAGATCAGAGGAACAAGAAGTGCTAGCACAATGACTCCGAAGCTGAAACATTCCCCCAAATGGTGAGGTCCAAACATGAGCCAATTGAAGATATTCTGGAGCATATGTAAAAACCAATGCAGAAAATACCGGGTTGGGACGGCAGCGCCCTCAGGAAGGTTGGCAAAACCTCTAACATTCTTGACAAATCTGTCCAGCACAGATAACGTAATCTTGCTTCGCAAACTGAGCCGAACAACATATGCGGTGCACAGCAGCCCTAGAGAAACTCCAACGAAGATGGAAAGTGTTGGGGTCGAGTCTTGAACTTCGCGAATTTGCATACTGAACAGACTGGCGGCATACGTCAAAGGGATGAAAATAAATGCGAGCTCAGTGAGTTTCGCAACACTCTCCGCTTGCTCGATGCTGCGTCTCCTCTCGAGGATGTCTAGTTCCACTCGTAAGTAGTCGTTTGTACGGTCTACTTTGTCGCTGGTTTCGTTCAATAGCTTCTTTCCGTCATCGCATAGTCTCTTGGTTCGTTCAGGGACCTGGGAATGGTCTCTATACAGAAAGTCAAGTAGGTCGGTCATCTGCTCCGCCATGTGCTGCAGTTCGTAGTGGAACTGGAAGAACAACGTTCTCCATCGCAGCGAGTTCTGCTGAAGTTCGTAACTTGTGATGTGCACAATTTGAGCGCGAGTTTCTTCGAGACTTCCACGCATGGCCTGGCCGAGAGCCAAGCTGTCGTGGTATAGGATGTGAAAAAATATGTGTCCAATATCTGGCTTCTTACCTTCCTGGGTTTCCTTTGCTACCAGGGCCTCAAACGCAGCCAACGTAGATGTCGCCGTTCGTGTCGTGTCTGGCACGAAGTCATCTAGATGAAAGTCGAGGTCGCTTCGAATTGATCTGGATCGGAACGGGATAATGTCTCCCGGATCTCCGTGATCATTGTCTGCAATCTCTTGGAGCGTTTTCTGTTTCGAGAATCCTCGCTTTTCATCCTCTCCTGCTGCGAACTTCGATGCGTGACGGCTGGGCCGCTTTCCCATGAGGAGCTGTTTTGGAGCAGACTTATCTCGCACTTCCAGCTTGACCTTATATCGGATGGCGGGTAACGGATCGACAAGGACAACATCTATACCATGTCAGCCACCAATTCACTGTCGTACTTTCCTCTGGGGGCTCTCACAAAACTCGCAGTCTTTGTCCATGAATCTCCAAACAGACAGTCTTTCCTCCCAAGCACCCGTAGCATCCTCCGTTTCCGTCAAATCAACCGACGAGGAAAGGTTCTGCGCTCTCCGAAACACACTTTTCTCGGTCCAGACCTGATGTTTTTTCTTGGAACACGGTCCGATTATGCAAGGTAGCTCCGGTGTTGATTTTTTAATGATCTGCCGTCTCATGTTCCGATCGATGAATAACTGCGGCGAGACCGGGCGAAGCCAGCGTATAGACCGAAAACTCCTGTGTGCCTTCCCACTCTGCCATTTCACGGCAAATTTATTGTCTTCTTCATCAATTCTTTCACCGCAACCGGAACCAGTCAGATGGGCCTCGAAGAACTTAGGATCAATGTGGTAGGCCTGGCCCAAAGCTGAGGCTAACAAAACGTCCATGTCTTCCATCGTCACAACCCTCATCACCACGTCTCTCGCGACCGTCTGTGGAGCTTCGAAGAGGCCCTTGAGTGATACCCTCCTTGACCTTCCTTGTGCAGTGAAATCGTGACATCGTAAGATATGATCCAGTGTTACCCCCTGAACAGGATTCCTGATCAAAGCATCAAGGCGAGGAAGGCTACTTAGTCTGGACCATATGGACAGGACATACTCATCATGATGTCGTTGCAAGGTCGTGATTAGCCTTGTATGTTCTCTTTTGCGTTCACTTTCTTCAAGGACTATCAGCGAAGAGGCAACGGATGCTGCCGTCGAAGGGGGAAGAACAATAGATCCACCTGAAGCTGATAATGCATCTGCAGCTGTGCGGTTGTAAGAGTCAGAGTGCAGTAACAGTTCATCCAAAGAGCTCAATGCAATGTCCTCCACGCTTTCGCTCTCGGGAAGAGCTATATCTTCAGGATCCATTTCAGCACCTCATATTCAGTCCTCAGGAGTGGGCGAAGCTATCCGTACCACGTATGAACGAGGGCTAACAAAAGTGATCGGTTTTTCAAGACAATCGAATTGAATTAGAGAACAGGGCTGTCAGCGAGTTGTTTCGGTAGGGCTCGAGGAACGGGCGGGTGAATCAGCGAACCCGAAAACTCGCGTACGGAGAACTTGATCGGGCTGGGATCGGGCTCTGCACCAAGAATCGCTCAGGATGGTATTTCATAATAGTCATTCTACCAAGATATCACGGCTTTAAGAGCATCGCTGGGGACAGCGTCGATCTTAAAATCAGCTTTGTGCTTTTTTGGGCTGCTCCACTGTGGCTTGCAGTAGTAGTGTCATGCGAGCTTCATCCTTCCAGCAGTTTTTCCGTAATCAACCAGACCCTCTTTTTCGGCATAGCAAAAGATATGAAAACGCTGAAGTATGCCATCTATCCGCACTCTATACTTCGCCCTTCGTATACCGGTATGGCTTGGTGAATTGGTTCCGTTCTTCGACTACGGGCGTAATACTACCGTTCCTATCACTTCACGAATCCATTGCACTTTACCCATCCACACCTCACCTTCCGGGATCAGAGAATGCGACCACGATGGCAATGAGATTCCCAGTATCTTGTGAGAATATAATACAAGACGCGGTTTTGGGCCCTGGCTAATTCATCTGAGTGCTACGTTTAGTGCCATGGCTTGGATATCACCATATGTTGATGTTCATACTTTCGGTGTCAATAATACTCCTCTGTAATGTTGCCCCAATGGAGTTCCGGTGCCACACTAATGGCCGACAGCGATATTGCTCGCGGGTTGCTCGTCATATTCGACAATGATCGGAATATATGTTCTTGGAATCAGATACGCCAAAGTGTCTTCTGCCTCTTCCGACAGCCAAGCAAATCCAAGTCTGGTTTCCACTATATATTCCGTCCAAGGAAACGCCACTCTTGATGTACGAGTAGGCTACTTTGGGATATGCGTTCGGCAATCTGGCGTAGCCTGGGTCTGCAGCTCCTCGGGCCCAGCATTGGTAGAGCAAGTGGGCGCCGATCGAGACCCATTAAATCTGATCTGGCTCGCAGATCGGTTCAAAAGCGATACATTGTTCTCAGGATTCATGTATGTTCCTTTCCCTCTAAACCATTTACATTTCAGCTCACGGACTCTCTAGATTCCTGACGATAGCTCTGGCCTTCATAACGGTCGGACTATTATATACTTTCCCTGGTTGGCACTCTGAAATAGATCAAGTGACAGGGTCAGCGATCGATGTTAAACCATTTCCATCGAGACCAGTTTCTCACGCAGCTGTGGTTCTCAGTTGTATTGCGACCCTGATGTCGCTCGTGTCGAGCCTCTGGCAACACACTGCAGCTGTTGCGGCGAAATATACGATACAAGCGGTAGGATTCGGCACTGCAACTACTGGTGGTGCCGCTATGGCCATAGGGTGGGCAAGTGTTGTCCTATTGTGCATAGTCGCGATTGGTTTGATAGGCATGGTGATATCAATTATTGTACTGGATACTCTAACGGCCTCCGAATAACCGCTAATAAGAGCTCTAGATAGATGGCTACTCTCACGGTTGGAACCATTGTTACTTATACTGGTCTGATGGCCTCACGATGGTTGTGGTTATTAGGAGCATCATGTGTTCTGATAACACATCCCTTGGGTGCGAAGCCCACTACCTGTACTTAGTCTTCTGCCGTGTCCCTGATTATGTTCCTTTCCTTCTTTCCTCATCTTTCGTTTATTCGGATACTAGCAGTCTGTGCGTAGTGAACAATACCACTGGTCCCTTCGGATTTGCACTGTGGCAATATCTATAATAAAGAGCTCTTAGTACTTATCGCCGGCCTACGATATTAGTAAGTTGACAAGTGTCGCTTGTCTAAACCCTCCAGTAGCTGCAATGATAACCATGCAGATGAACGCAATCCGGATGTGAGGCGGACAAGGGATGTCGTCGACTCGTTGTAATACCGTACCCATCACGGTCATAACATCTCGATCCGTTGCTTCTATTTTCTTGATAGTTAGCCTCGTTTTAAGGCTAGTTATGTAGGGTAGCACCGGCTCCAAAAATCCACTACAGCTCAAACGATTAGCGATCGTGGTCCATTTGTGCGGTTGCTCTGAGTGTATTACGAAAGTCGTCATCCTCCGGACGCGCACCTACCTACCTTGGAAATTTCGAACACAGGGCCTTCCTTGCGTTGGTGTGCATTGCAGTGTTAGGGCAGACGTTAATGCGTGAGTAATACGACAGTAGCCTACGAGTAATAGGCTTATATTAGATTCGTCTACTTAACAACGGGAGACTGATACTTAACGACCTATAAAGAGGAGAATTATATTCCGTAAGGGATCGGTGTATCGTGCTGCGAATTCATATGCAAGCCTATGCTCAAGGTCTCATACCTTTTTTTTTTGCGGCTGTTCAGATAGTTAACTATAGGATTGTATACTAAGAATCAGTCTCATCTTTGTCAGTAAAAAAAAAGTGCATTGTTCATTTGCATGCACCCTTCGCTTATGAAACGCAACACTCAATCTGTACTAGAAAGTTCCCCATCATATAGCACATGCTAGAAGCAGGAATTCTAGTCTTTAAAGTCTATTGCGCCCTATTCATACTTCACCACCCGTAAGCCTCTTCGAAGTACTCTACCCGTTCAAATCCTTCTCTCAAAATCTGTACCACCGTAGCTCTTGCACTATCCGCCATTCCAGCCGGGCCACAAACCAGAATCCCAACGCGTCCAGAGCCTTTTCCAGAAGAACGGTGCTTAGCCACAGCAGCTCTGATCAGCGCTGGGACGTCTGGACGGTGGTATTGTATCCCCAGCTCCCCAGGTGTCTCACTAGTTAACAATGTATCCAAATTATCTGAATAATCTGCTGTGTCCGACAACCCCGGAGGAGCTCTGCTTGTAGCAGTGCTAGTCGCGTAGAATAACATGTGGAGATCGTCCCGACCAAATGCGGGACGCAGCTCCTTTGAAGCAACCTCGTTGATGAATGCCGCCTGCTGCGTCGTCCAGATGAAGTGGATGTTTTCTGTCCGCCAGCGGCGACGTCCCCATTGGTGATTCACGTACTCGCGGATGTACGGAAGAGTCCCTGCGATTCCCGTACCACCGGCAATGAGAACCAGAGTCTCGAAATTCTCTAGAGGCGCCGAATGGCCATACGGCCCTTCGAGGAGGAGGCGAACTGTAGCTTGACGATTTGGTGTGCGAAGGCACATGTCCCGTAGTCTTTTTGTGAAGCCGTCAAAAGGGCGGATGTAGAACACCAGGGCCGGGGATTCTTTCTCGTTGGAAACCATCGGAGTGTCGGAGTCGATAGAGTTATAGCAGGGCTGGGTATAAAGTTCCTCGTCCATTGCTCGGGGACGCAGGGGTCTAGAAGCTCCCGAATTTGATGTGCCGGTATAATCCAAGGAGGCCAGAGTAAAGGGGTGACTCTCCCATAGATCCCATCCAAACCAATTCGAAGCTGCATATATGTAGTAATGCGTCCCCGGTTTTGGTCGGAGACTGAATACCCCTGGAGTGACAGTAATACGAAGAACATTCGAGACAGAGGAATATGTCACGGTTGATTTGGTCATCAAAATAGGGTGGTTAGGGTCTTTCAGCGAAATGCGAATGTTGCAGTAGACAAGCCGAACAAGTCGGAGAGAGCGATCTATGACCCAGACAACCACGACTGGCCACAGGTATATGTCGTAAACACCATGGAAGATCGATGTATGAACGAAGAGCGTTAGGATTATAATGAGGGAAAAGGTGATGTGGACCAGGAGAAAAAATTCGTAATGGTAGATGCGGAGGTAGATGGACGAGAGCATCGGTAAAATCGACATTAGTATCGTGGCCTGCATCGGGTCAGCTCTGACAGTGATGGAGCGAACACTGCAGCATACAAAAATACCAAGATAAAACCAAGGCATTTGAATCCATTCTCTATATAGAGCCATCCCATTGTCTATGGAACGTTAGCAGATTAAGGAGAAGCGATCTTCTCCTTCAACTTACTCTTCATGATGAGATGATGGTACGCGATCGAGTGAGCAACAGCTTGCAGCGTTGCCACCCTAGCTACATGTCTATGGTATATGTTGAATGTGCCAAAACTCCATCCTGTTGCCCATTGCAATACATTGTTGCGTCCAGAAAAGAGCCAAAGGACTGGAAGATGAGCATAAGACAGTTCTCCGGTGCGGTCAGCGAAATACCGAGCAAGCTGGCGGTCCGGTAATAGCCAACTAATTCAGTCAGTATCTGCGGTTTCTGAGTCTCATTGACAACATACTAAACGTTTCCATAGAAGACGGGATACTTGATAACAGAAAGAGTAATGCTCATGGCCCAAAAGATGATAACGATGATAGTTTCCATCCGTGTGGGGACGGTACAGCCGTAGTAGAGCCGAAGATGATAGGTCTTCCACCCAGCAGGAAGGGAGAAGTACATCTTAGTAATGTGATATATTCTTCTGAACACCATAGCAAGGTGGGAAGACATTGAAGCTTGATCATCGGCATCGACATGGGTATCGCCGTTGTAACTACGACGTTCCCAGCACTTCATCAAGTAATTACAGAGTGTCCCGATGACGATGATTATACCCCAGAATGCATAGGATGTGAAACTGAAGTGGTGTTAGATATTATATCTGTTTTGGAGCACTGGACATACGCATATTCTCTGCGAAGCGCGATTTCATACTCCCAGGTTACCTATTCCGATCAATCCCCGGTCAGGCATACTTCAGGGCGACTCACAATGGTCTTGTAGGCCAAATTGAAGAACTCTTCTGACAACAGCACCGGTACCGTGAGGTTGTCACCTCCGTCCAGTTCGAAGCGTTCCACTATTCTCAAATGACTTATGGCATCCTCGGTCAGATTAGCCTCGAATTCCGAGATGGGAACCAAGGTTGTATTTTGTGCGCTGCATTCAGTGGCGACACCCTCCAATCCTTCCTTGAGCTCGTCTGGCTCGCAATATACCGTCGTCGACGCATAGAAGGAGATGAGACGTAGGCGACCCCGACACCGGGCGTCATAGTCACTTAACGGCTGCGATTCGATGAAGGCAAGAGTGTTGATGGCCGCCTGCACGGCATTAATACAGGTCGGGAGACTGTGGGTATAAACTGCGAATTGAAGTACAACAATTGTTATCCATGTACGCAGTTTCATCCTGGGCGAAGAGGTCGAACGAAGGGGAGAGGGGCGAAGGGAGCGATGTACATCAGACAAAGACCGATCAGATAAGATGAGATAAAAATCAGTCGTGGGGGTCCGTGACGGAGAGGGTCTTGGCCCTACCGCCCTACCCCACTGGTCCGTGCAGCAGTGTCTCGTGATGTAATCGGGGCGTGACTTGATTCCCCTTCACATTACGATGGTCTCGGCGATCGATGTAGGGAGCGGTACCGTAGGAAAAGTAAAGGGTAATTTTACCAAAGGCCGCGGGATGACAGAGATTGGTATACAACTGCGAAATAGCGAGAGCTCAAGAACAAGAGAGATCAGAGAAACAGGGATGACGGAGCGATCCATCGAGCGACGGACCTGGATATTGGTTATAATACGCGAAAACAGATGGAGACTCCGCAGCGGAGCCATGGCATTTGACACCATCATGCTTCCTAAATTAGCATAGAGCGATAGGAGTTGCGAGAGTTGAAAAACTGAAAACGAGAGTTGGAAGTCCAAAAACGGACCCCAAGTGCTTGAGCAAGTCTGCGTGCAAGGTGCAGGGATCCGAAGCTGTGAGCGCGTGCAAGGTCTTGGCGCTGTGGCAGGGAGTTTTGGGAACTGTCGGTAACGAAACGGGAGCGTTTCGCCTAAGCGGAAAACCCTCCAAAAATGGCGTCAGAAACCTCCGTTTTTGGAGGTCATTTCGGTAGCACACAAAGTTACTCCATACTCCGTAGCAGGATAGTATTGGTACGCCCTGTCCCTTGACGAAAGACAGATCCTTGGCAGGCTGGAGACTTAAATCGAGCCACTCACTTCATTTGCACTTGCTCGCCAAGGACTCGCTTGATGCTCGCCCAAGATTCGTTTTACGTGGGTCGCGAGTCTTCCGCTAAACCTCTTCCATACCAGTGTACCAATCTTTCTCGATCTCGGCCTTAGATTGGCTCGTTACGCCCATTATACGAATGAATGACAGTGTATACTAGGCGAAAGTTGTACTTTATTTGGCTGGCGAAGACACGGGACAAGTACGCTCGACAAGGTTCTTGAGTCTGAGTAGAGTCGGGCGGCCCGATTACATGCGTTCGCTCGAACTCGCTCAAGTCTCAAGCCTGATCCGCACACTCGCCCACATCTCCATTACCACAATGCCTCATCTTACCTTTCCTTCTTTCCTGTAGATTCGATATCACGAATGGAACGGTTTATGATATACGCCTATCTTCGAGGTTTCGCCTTCGTTACACTTGGTCTTTGATATCAAATTTGAAACACCAGACACGATCACCTCCTCCGCAGCATGGGATTCCCCCTGATATGGGTTAGCTATGCGTTGCTAGCCTATGCTGCCGTCTCATACATTCGTTCATATCTAACTGAGCGCCGTTTTCAACAATATGCAAGACAGCATCAATGTGAGGAGGCTAGAAAAAATACACTTATCAAGTGGCCGTGGGCATTGGATGGCCATTGGCGCGCAATGAAGGCAGTGTCAAAAGGCGCCGACTTCTTCGATGATGTTATTATACCCCGATACGAGGCACTGAACACCTTCACCATAGCTTCCAAAGTCTTCGGACTGAATGTACTGGAGACAATAGAACCGAAGAACCTACAGGCGATACTTGCAACCAACTTCAAAGATTTTGATCTCGGGGACCAAAGAAACAAGCAGTTGGGGGCAGTGTTGGGGCATAGCATCTTCACCTCGGATGGTGAGTTCTGGGCTCATTCGAGGGCCTTGTTCAGACCATCCTTCAACCGGGAGAACATCAACAATTTCGAGGCGACGGCAAGGGCTGCTAATATCTTGGTCGAAGTGCTACCCGAGGGCTCCGGAGGGTGGACCAAGCAAGTCAATCTGATGGACTATTTTTATCGATTCACGCTCGACACAGCGACTGCATTCCTATTTGGGCACACAACGGACTCACAGCTTGCTGCAGCCGGAAGGTTGACCACTGAGCAGGATGGCACATCCAGTGCGGCAATTAGTCAAAAATTTGAGGATGCCTTCACCACTGCCCAGGAGTGGCTGTCATTGCGGCTCCAAGCAGGTAATTTTTACTGGTTGGTTCAGGGCCCAAAATGGTGGAGGGCCAGACAACTTGTGCAGCAATTCGTCAATCAATATGTCGAATTGGCCCTGAATGCTCGATCCCAATCCGAGAAAATGAACAGCGACAAGGAGAACAAATACAACCTATTAAAAGAATTGGCAACGGAGTGTGGGGATCCGATTGAGCTTCGAGACCAATTGACCTGTAAGCTATCTCCCTTCCCACCCTCACTTTGTTGAGTCACTACGTAGCTAACATTATTATATAGCTATTCTCGGAGCAGGCCGCGACACTACTGCCGCGCTCCTGGCGTGGATCTTCGTCGAGCTGGCTAAGAACCCTCGAGTTTTTTCACGCCTGCGTGAAGCAATACTGTTCGACTTCGGTGAATCGGAAGTCGATGTCTCTAGCATAACATCTAGCAAACTCAAGTCCTGCCGCTATCTGCAATTCGTCATTCAAGAGGCTCTTCGCATCCACCCGCCTGTCCCCACCAATGGGCGCCAAGCTATTCGGAATACTACACTGCCTGTCGGCGGAGGTGAGGATGGCACTAAACCCGTGGCTGTCAGGAAGGGGCAGACTGTAGTTTATTCCATTTTAGGGGTCCATAAACGCAAAGATATCTGGGGAGAGGATGCCGACGAGTTCAGGCCTGAAAGATGGGAAGGGCGCAAGATAAGCTGGTCCTATGTGCCCTTCTCAGGTGGCCCAAGGATATGTATTGGACGTGAGTACCTTTCCTTGCTCTTGTCTCTGCTGCCAATCAAATTTGGCTCTAGAACACCTTTTGTTATACAGGATCAGCCGGACTGACGTGCTACAATTTAAACAGAACAATACGCTATCACGGAAGCGAGCTTTCTCACGGTCAGATTGCTGCAAGCGTTCGACACCATTGAATGGCGGGGAGAGACTGGTCGAATTACCAAGGGGTTTGGGTTGACAATGTACCCAGCAAAGGGTGTGCCAGTGCTGCTCCGGCGCGCTGCGGCATCAAGGAAGGAGGAGTAGGCAACTAGTAGCAAAGGTGACCGCTGAACAACCTCTCGCGTTCCCCCATGGTTCCCCCGTGGTTCCCCCGTGGAGGAGCATCCCACACCCCACGATATCACCAATGCTTCTTTCTTTGCTTCTTCGCTCGTTTTGAGGAAACCAAGGTTCCCACGACCATGAATTGTATACAGAACATATAAGATGAGCGTCTTCTTGTAGTTTGTACGCTCATTAAGGATCAAGATCAATCAACACTTTCAATTCTTGGTAATCAAGTGCTCTCCTGCTGAAGTCGCATCTCCAGATCACCTGATCAAAGGAACAGCTATTCTCTATCACAAACTGCATTAATAATCTTGCCGTGACTCTCGTATATCTGTAGGGCCGGGGGACCAGGCATTCAGCTAGAACACACAACTAACACACAACTTACACACAACTTACAACTTACACACAACTTACACACAACACACACAATACAACAACTTCGCTGCTGTAACAACAGCACCTCACTCCCAACCATTTTAGCACATCACGTGCGACATATAATCTTTGGCCAACTTGGTCAACTCGACTTCCTCCTTCACCTAATCACCATGTCTCATACTCTACTGAAAACATGGTTCCCCTCCACGTCCTTCCCGTTCATTGCCAGTGCTCCTATGTTCGGTGTAGCAAAGGGAACATTAGCATCTGCAGTAACTAAAGTCGGTGGATTTGGTAGGCTTATACAGGGCCATAACCGCCAAGTACGTCCTATTAACCACAAATACCGCAGGCTTCATTGGTGCAGGCTTCGACCTCTCTCCCAACTCCGCCCAGCTAGCTGCTGTCTCCTCTGAACTGTCTCGCACCAGAGAAATCCTAGCTCTCCCATCCTCGGATCCATTGCCAGTGGGCATTGGATTTATCACATTCCATCCCAGTGCCGCCACCACCTCCAGTCTCGCGTCTGTCACCCCGATTCTGGAAGAGCACAAGCCCCTGGCAATCTGGCTATTCGCCCCCTCTGCCGCAGATGTGCACACGGCGCTCATACCGGGCTTGAAGTCCATCGGAAGCGCCTGGGGACTCAAAGTTTTTGTGCAAACCGGCAATGTCGAGGCAGCTCGAGCCGCCGTTCGCGACGGAGCGGACGTGATCGTAGCTCAAGGCTCCGATGCAGGTGGGCATCAGTTCAAGCGGTCCGTAGGGTTTGCGTGCTTGGTCCCAGAGGTGGTGGAGGCGGTGGAAGAGGAAAAGGGTGAAAGAGAGGTCGCGGTCATCGCTGCCGGAGGTATTGTCGAGGGCAGGGGGGTCGCTGCGGCGTTGGCAGCAGGCGCTGGAGGAGTGGTGATGGGCACGAGGTTCGTTGTAAGTGATGAAGCGGGCACACCAGAGTGGCGGAAGAAGCTGCTCGTAGAGACAAAGGATGGAAGCCAGAGCACCGTAAAGTGAGTTGGCGATGTCGGTCCCGAGAATGAGTCTACTAAACCGGCCCAGGACCGCATTTTTCGATGAACTTCCAGGCCACAACATCTGGCCTTCTCCGTTTGATGGTCGAGCTGTGGTCAATCAGCCGTATCAAGAGCATTTGAACGGGATGCCGATGCAGGAGAGCACAGAACTGTACAATGCGTCTATCAATGGAGGAGATGGCCAGCGGGCGTCCATTTGGGCGTAAGTCTCTTCAATCCATGTGTACGTTTCATCGGAATTTGACTAATTTATCGCAGCGGTGCTGGTGTTGGTCTCATTAAGTCCATAGAGCCAGCAGGAGACATCGTGAGATCCATCCAAATCGAAACAAAGCGAATTTTGGGCACGTTGGCCTCTTTGGCGGAGCAAGCATGAGCTGGGACTCCACCAATAATTTCATAGAGATAATGTGGACTGTTTTAGTCAAGGAAAGCTGAATGCTGATACCGTCGAACGTTAAAACAAATTGAAATCTCCGATTCAAATTATTCAATAGAGTGGCAGGCTCTTGTTTATGCTTTTATGCACCTTGTTGACCCTATCAGCGGGTTCGTAGAATTTAAGCCGGAGCATGAATAGAACACGCTGTACGGTGCAATTGCAGCCGATTCGTGGTCTGCAGCGCTTTGCAACCTTGTCTAGCGAGACCACGGCGAAATTTGCAACCCCTGTGCGACCATTGGACACCTGGTGACTTGGCTGTCCAGTGGACCAAGTTTGGTTTTCGAAGTGACAAACCAGATTTCGGAATTTGGATTGGAAGGAGTTGCCCCGGAAACGTTCAGGGAAGGTTGTGGATCAAATGCTTCTTTTGGCTAGTCCCCTGGCTTGCCGAACCATGGTACCAACTCACGAGAGATGGAGTATGTAACAACAATAATATTGTGCTCATAGAACAATTATTACATCTAAGAAGAGACCCGAGTGGAACTTTTGGTATATTTGATGGCTGAGACAACGGTATGATTGGTACGGAGTAGTTCACATCCTTTCGCATAAATTATGATGGATATTTTGTCGTGGCTTTGATTCAAATCCGAAGTGGATCAGAAGCAAGTAATGATGAAAAAAACGAAACCACTAGGGAAATATTTGACTCATGTCGGGCTCGAACCGACAATCTCCTGATTCGTAGTCAGACGCCTTGCCATTGGGCCAATGGGCCAAGTATGCTGTGGGTTAAGAATTTGGACAAAGGGTTTGAAGATTCGATGGCAAGATCGGTTGATCTGACGGTCGAAAAATCTGGCATCATATTCTCAACCCCCCTCCGACAGGCTGTTGATGGCAGTCATGCGCGTGATGAATTCGTCTTGCAGCTCATTGAGCCAATTTTTGAGCGCTTGCCCTTCGAGACGACCGTTGTGGGCTTGCTTCAGATGCTCATGAAATTCAAGGATTAGGCGACGGCGACGACCGGCTTGAACCGAACTCGATGCTTGTTTCAACTCCTTCCGATTCCTTTCGATCTTCTCGGCCACAGTCTGCGCTGTGTCAAGGACAGTTGCCGGGAGTTGCATCAAACGGGCCGACTTGAGACCGTAGTGTTGCTCCTTGGCTTGGCCAGCGGAGATGCGGTACAGCATCGTCATCGCTTGGGCATTGGATAGCTGGTCGCAGTCAGCAACGTCAGGTGACAGTGACGCGAGTACATTACATCGACAGCAAGGTGCATGTTGGTCACACCATTGTGCTCCCCCAGAATGGAAGCAAGATCCAGAAAATGGGAGGTAAACCATACGAGCGCCTGTCAGTGTTAGTGGCCATATTTCGGACAATGATTTTTGAACCGCGTACTCCACTTTCAATCAGGGCTTCTGCAATGGCGATTGCGATAGCCATGCCATCCTTCGTGCTTGTGCCTCGTCCGAGTTCGTCGATGATGACCCTTCTATCGTCAAACGTGAACACTTAGCGGTAGAAGAGCCGCTTACATTGAAGTCTCGCTGACGTTCCGAAGGATGAATGCTGTTTCACGCATTTCTGCGGCGAAGGTGGATGTATTTGCCTCAATACTGTCGTCAAGGGACAACCTAGCAAACATTTGGTGGCGGACTGAAAAGGAGGCATGTTGAGCAGGGACACTACGAATATCAGCAAAGCCGCTCTGTACACGGAACTACTAGGCTGTACAAGCATCCAATTTGTGCCATGATAGTCATCAAAGCAATTGAGCGAATATAAGTGCTCTTCCCTAGGTCGAAGTAAGCATGTGAGTATTCGGCGATGTCTGACTGCAGATACCACTCATATTGCATCCTGTAATTCATCAGCAGGTTCCGTTCCTAGTAGGACAGAGGCTATCGAATACCTGTGATGATCTGGAACCTAGTCTGCCTTGTTGCATACACATCGTTAGGGATGAATTTGTTCCCCTGGATGGATTCGACAATTGCATGTCGCCCAGCTTTGATTGCCAGTGTATCAGTGAACAGCGGGCGAACTTAGAGATTGCATAGTCAGCGTTGAAACAAATTTGGATCAGGGAAGGGCAGTAATTGCAAACCATAGTCTTTCGTTGTTGCTATCTCTGCGAATGAGGCCAGCTATGCAAGGTTAATGAGGCAAACTTGGCAAATTCTGAGTAACATACCATGTCAAGCATAGCAACGCTTTCACAGATCTTGTACAAATTGTACATTCGACCACGCACCTGTTCAAGCAAGGACAATACGGTTTCATCACCTAGAGTTTGTAAGTGCCAAACCATTGACCAAGACTCGTATCAATACTCTGTTTGAGAACTTCATGATGCGCATCAGAAATCTGCAAGGTGTCAACGAAAATCCAACATCTGACAAAGGGCGCCAACCTTCTGGTTCCACTTCAACAAGTCCAGCGTCTGGCACTCGACCGCATTCTTTTTCCGAATGATATTCGTAAAGATTGGTGGAAGTTCCTTGACTTCCAGCTCATCCAATGGAATGACGAGGTAGTATTGCCTGTAGTTGTCATATTTGGCGGCAATGTTCATTCCATGCATAGCTGCGACTGACAGTCAATCATGCATCATTTTGGTCACAGGTAAGAACAGACCTGCGAGTTCCGTCACATAGTCATAGGTATCCTTCTGAGCTTCAGCAAAACTCTGACGCGCGATTCCAAGTAGTCCATTGGCTTCTTCCTGAGCCACGGTTAGAACACGGTTAGAAAACGCCCGCAGAAAAAAAGGGCCAACTATTTATACCTTGACTGCATATGTGCGCTGGTTCCTTAGATCCAGTGGCTTCGATGCAAAGATAGTGGTTTCGTCAACAACACTATCAATGAGCTGTTGGACTTCCGAAATATTTAACGGATCGCAGAGCTACGGGAAGTAAGCCATAGTTTAAGAAGGGCCATTAAGAGTCTAACTTGGCAAATATTCCGAAGCAAGGTACTCGTCGAATCTAGGAGAGCGTCATGAACTGGCGGGACCGCGTTCACGAAGGATTTTAGAGATAGGACATTGTTGATAGCCTGCTCCTGCTCTTGCATTAATCGCCCTTCTGCAGTATAGACGGTGATGAGCTGGATGCTGGGTTAGAAGCAAATCATGCACACATCAGGTCATGGTATACCTGAGTCAACAGCTTCTCGCCATCTAGAAAGTTCTTAAGTGCTAGTGAGGTTAGCATACTATATTTTCGCGGTGCATGACACGTGCCATCTCTGATGAACCGGAATTGACCAGAGTTCGTTGTCATCTCCTCCAGAGCGTCAAGACGTCCCTGGATGATATCTGGGTCGGTGAGTGGTTGTAGAATATTTGCCCGCAGCAGCCTGGCACCCATTGGAGTCAGAGTGCCATTCAAAAGTCCGAAGAGGCAGTCCTTTGACTTCGAGTTGTGCAGGTTTTGGATGAGTTCGAGCGCTTGCACGGTTGATAGGTCGATCATCATCGATCCCTCGGATGGCTCATACTTGAACCGCAGTGAATGATGTGGAAACGTGACACCGTACTGATGTTGAATGAAAGCAAATGCCTAAACTAGGCCTTAGGCAATTTAATCTCAAATGACCAGACAATACTTACTGCAGACACACAACAGACGGCATAAAAGCTCCCATTAGTAGCCATGATCAAAGAATCGACATCTTCCGGAAAACAGAGAGACTTGATATAATCCATTCCGGATTGCTCCGACCAGTAACGACGATCAACGAGAACGAGTTTGCTAGCAATGACAGGAAGATGATTCTCGATGATTTGAAACAGCTTAGACGCAGGATTGGCCGCACTTTGAATGATAAGAACTTCCGTGGGACAGTAGATGCTGAGCTTATGGATCGTCTTGACATAGGTTTGACTGTCACACAGCTGGGAGAGGACCGCTTCACCCGTATCCATATTGACGAATGTTAGCCCTACGGTTGGAGATACGCCTCGAGACTCGCTGACAGCGCAGATGACCTGTTGCGATTCGACACGACCAACGGTTGATGCCGATGTCTTAGGACGCGATGTAGAAGGTCGCCCATTGCGACTGCGCCTGGATCGAGCACGGGATGTAGCTGTGGTCTCATCTTGATAAGTCAAAGTTGGATATGAAGTTGTCCCAGTTGTCCGGCTCGTCCTATTTGATGTGCGGGTGCTGTACGAGGTCCCCAGCCTTGATTCAAGGGAGGTCGAGGCCGTCAACGGCATGTTACATGCCTCCTGGAATAGGAACCTCACTTATACCGGGATTCTTTGACGGCTATCGACATACCCTTAACCACAGAATGTAAGCAGTGGATTTATAGGAAGTGGGATGCATGGGCGAAGTTCAACACGTTGAATACGACGTCACTGCCAGGCAACCACCAAAGCCTTGGCGCGTCGAAAAATTGGAGCACAATTTATTTAGGTCGAGTGCCTGAGGCTGCTAAAGTCCGAACGGCCCCAAAAATTATTGAAGATTTCCACCTGCATCATTGCAGAACCAGCAATTGAATTGACACCCCGACTTTTCCAGGACCATTGCCTGGTCGAACCGACGTTTTAGAAATGGCGACCGTTCTCCCTCCCCCGAGCAAGAAGCAGAAACGTGCCGCTGTCGAAAGAGCCGGTCAAGTCCCCGAGCCGGAAATCATTCCAGAGGGCAATATCCGTGTGCAATTCGTCGACCGAGTCACCAATGCTCCCACCGGCCCTTCTGTCTCCGTCTCCCTCACGAATTCCTCCGTCAAACATCTTGAACTTCTCCTCAACTCTATAAATGGCATCGAAGACGCCGGCGACCGCATACCGTATCGATTTTTCTTCGAGAAACGCGACGGCGAGACGATCAGTGATGAGGCCCTCGGGGAGAACGCGGATCTATATCGATCGCTGGTGAAGCCGGGGACGGCGTCGACGGAAGAATTAATCCGACTGCATTATGCGCCGCAAGCGGTGTTTCGAGTGCGAGCAATTTCACGATGTGCCGCCGCGATGCCCGGGCACGGGTCCCCGATTCTCGCGACCCAATTTTCCCCCGCGTCATCGTCGCGGATGGTCAGCGGGAGCGGCGACTCGACGGCACGAATCTGGGACTGCGATACGGGGACGCCGAAGCATACGCTGTCGGGACATACGGGATGGGTCCTTGCGGTGAGCTGGTCGCCGGACGACAAGTGGATCGTCACTGGCAGCATGGACAACACGGTTCGGTTGTGGCATGCGCAAAATGGAAAACCCAGCGGTGGACCGCTAAAAGGCCATACGAAGTGGATTACGAGCCTTTCATGGGAGCCGTATCATCGGTGGGAGGAAGGACGGCCTCGGGTCGCTTCGGCTTCGAAAGATTGTACGGTGCGGATCTGGGACTGCATTGGGGGACGAACCGATATGGCGCTCTCGGGCCACAAAGGCTCGGTGTCGTGCGTTAAGTGGGGTGGGATGGGTTACATCTACACTGCCTCTCACGACAAGACGGTAAAAGTGTGGAACGCCTCGAACGGCGCCGTCGTCCACACGCTCTCCTCTCACGCACATTGGGTAAATCATCTGGCACTCTCAACCGACTTTGTCCTTCGGACCGGTTATTTCGACCCCTCGAAGGACGTGCCCCGCACCGATGAAGAAAAAGTTGCCGTCGCCAAGCAGCGGTTTGAGAAAGCTGCCACCATAAAAAATGAGGTTGTCGAACGACTCGTTACGGCAAGCGATGACTTCACTATGTTCCTCTGGGAACCTTCCAAGGCCACCAAGCCGATCAGTCGTATGCAAGGGCATCAGAAGCAGGTCAACCACGTCTCCTTCTCCCCCGACGGACTGTACATTGCCTCCGCCGCATTTGACAATCATGTCAAGTTATGGGATGCCAGAGATGGACGATTTATCACCACCCTCCGAGGGCATGTGGGGCCGGTGTATCAATGTTGCTTCTCGGCGGACTCGCGATTGCTAGTGAGCGCTTCGAAGGATACAACCTTGAAGGCATGGGATGTGCGGACGGGGAAGCTAGCGGAAGACCTGCCTGGGCATCAGGATGAAGTTTATGCGGTGGATTGGAGCCCGGATGGGCTTCGGGTGGGAAGCGGTGGGAAGGACAAGATGGTCAGATTATGGAGGCATTGAATGGAAGGACGTTCGATACGAGAAAGCATCGGGTTACTGTGATACCTGATATTCGAACTATCGAGACAGCGCGTGGAAGAGGCATGAGGTCGTCAATCGCCCCCTCTTCGGAGCGCGGAAAATTCAGTCCTCTCCATGACGAGGATCGTGGACATGATGCGCCCGTTCATGAGAACTGGGTCGCCCTATTTATCGGCCACCGGGAACTCCTTTCCAGTCGCACCCTTGTACCTGTCCCGGATGAAGTCCGAGATCTTCTCGTCTTTGGCCTGCTCGATGGCGGACTCGTTATCCTGAGGACCCTGTCCTAGGAATTTCTCCTGGACGAAGTCGACACCCCTTGAGTGATCGTCAGTCCATGCTACTATCTTTCGGCTAGATCAGGGAGACAAACTTGTCGAGCATATCTTCGTTCTTCTCACTCTCCTTGCCCCCGCCGGCAGCAGCGTTGAACTTGTCGCCCAACCCGCCGAGGAAGCCACCGCTCTGGTGCTGTTCGCCTTGTTGAGAGCCCTGGGCTTGCTGCTGCTGGCCCTGGTTGCTCCCCTGGTTGTTGCCGGTGAGCTTGTTGACGAAATCCATGGTGCTGGTAGATGGATGTACTACGTCAAAGTCATGTTAGAATCAGTGTTCCCTGTAGAGGGCTTTAGACATACTGGACTGATTGAATCGTTCGAGAATAGGAAAAGGATGTGGTTCTGTTAGGAACGATTGAAGTGGGGTGAAAGTTGATAGTAAATCTTCCCAACAAACAAAGGGAGTGGAGGGGTCATTGGATAGTATTTAGACCCCTGTGCCTTCCACCATCAAGTCCTGTTTGCTGTTTCTGTCGCAGTTCCCGTCCGTGACGTGATACCCTGCACTGCCCCTCGGCGAGTGCACAACCACCTCACCCAGTCCCAAGCCATGAAGCCAGTGTTCCCAACTTCGCGTAACCATGCCAGTAAATCTGCTCTTATTAGAGGAACCAGACTCATAGCCCACGGCGGCACCGAATCATCCTGCCGCTCCTGCGCACCTAACTGCACTAGTTTCGGCTCGATCGCGCCGGCAGATCTGGGCGGAGCGTCGGAATGCACATCAGGGAACATTCCAGCTGGATCCGCCCAGTTGATTCCAATGGCTCAATGCGCTAATATGGAAATCAGATCCCCTTCAGCTTCTGGATCGCCTCCGGTTCATATATGGATAGAGCTTTGGGCGATCCCTGGAAGAGGCTCAATTGTCAATACTACTGATTTCGGACGATACTCTCCACACTCCGCGTCGCTGGCTCCCTACTCGTCTTGCTAATTAGTCTGGTACGTACCAAATGACCGGAATGAGTGGAGATAGCGGGGCATAAGTATCAATCTGGCATGAAAATTGAGGACCAGACTGGTCTCCGTAGGCCCTGCGACAGACTGGACATGGAGGTCTCATCACAACTTGACCTCCTCCTATTTACGACACTCTCGAAAAGTTCATGCCATAGTCATTGAAGCGGATACTGCTGCTGCATAAGGTATGAAAGACAAATTGATCGTCACGCAGTGAAGAAGATCCCACTGGCTTTCGGAATGCCTTAAATGGGTGCCCCTCATACAACTCCTCTCTTGAATCCAAACCCCACCTTTTCGGTAATACGACAGCCCAGTGCTACGAACGTATATGACGGCTACCCATAAGCATTAGAATAGGTAGTGCAGTTGTTATGTGGTCTGTTTAAGTCCTTTTTTCCGCCTGCAAGTCAAAGTTTGCTCGTTTTCATCAAGCTGTTCCGTCATCCCACTGAAATAGCAGTGCACTACCAAGTATCATTAGCCATGTATACTCGGAACTCTCAACAAGGAATGAAAGGATCCACCTCGGGGGGTGATGTCCAAGATATTGACCATGCCAACTTTGGCAATCCGATTGATAACAAAAGCGCCGCTACAAAGGCCGAGTATGACGCTGCAGTCTCAGCCATCACGGAGAAGCTTCCGAAGGTCGCGGAGCTTAGGGCCTTGATCGAACTGGACCTCACTTCAGGCCATCCGCATATCTTCATCGATGCACGGAATGGACAGGCCACCATCCGAGAACAATGTCAAGGCAAACCAGATGTGTCGATACGGATGCGACCCCAGACCGTGCTGCACCTCATTCAGGGCCTCATGGACTGCCGCTACGGCCACCATTTCAACCATATTAGCTCGACTGGAGACTCCAGGCTGGGGGTTAAATTTGCCGATGCGCTTTCTCCGATTCAACCGGCGAGTCCACCCCACTCGTCCAGCTACGGCAGACTCCCTCAGCCGACGGCGGATCTCGAACAGGTTAGGAGAGATGTTAAAGAGTTCGGCTACGGGTTCGTGAAAGATGCCCTATCTCCTCCGCAGCTTGCGGGCTTACAGAAACGACTGAAAGACCAAGCGGAAGGAGAAGCCAAAGCCGGTGTCGCGTATTTCGACGGAGGTCCCAAGAAGCCAAATCAGCGCATCTGGAACCTACCAAACAAGGGCCAGGAGTTCCTCGATCTCCTCGAACATCCCTTGGTGGAAGAGTTCATGCCGGAGACGCTCGGTGACGGGTACCACTTATCGTCCTACACGGCCAACATCAACCGCCCTGGGAGCAACGGAATGGGCATGCACACCGACCAGATCACGATAAATCCTGCGGTCCCACAGTTCCCGCTGGGGCTCAATCTGATGTGGTTTCTCTGCGATGTGAACGAGGAGAACGGCGGCACTCGGATCCTCCCTCAAAGCCACAACGGCCTGGTTGCACCGGACAATCTCTTCGATAACGCAGGGACGACCTTCGCCAGCGGACCTGCGGGGACGTGTCTCGTGTTCGAAAGCCGAGTGTGGCATGCAACGGGACCAAATATTGCTCAAGGAGGGGAGCGGCCAGTCATCCTGCAGTTCTATGTCCGGCATTTCGTCAGGCCGCAAGAGAACTTCACGTTGAGCGTGACGCCTGAGGTGGAGGCGAGGATGACGGCTAAGATGAAGCAGGCGTGCGGATATCGTGTGACGGCGACGTTGGGGGGAGTAGAAGGGTTTAGGCCGGATGGGACCATTGTCAAAAGACCAGAGAGCCCAGTGGTCGCGTTGAATGCTGATGGCACACGTACTTCGGTGGGTAGATCTAAATTGTAAGACAATTCACAATGCTAGATCCTGTCCTTTAAATTCCGGATAATGGTATGTTTACTGCGTGTGAAATATCAAATATAATAATGGAGGGGCGGCGGCTTTTGATGACGATGCGGGGGTAGATATCCACAATCCCGCCCCACTAACAGGCTAGAGCCTCATTGTTCAAATGTGAAGGCCGATCAACGAATTTCACCCTCGAGGCACGCGCAATTGAATACTCAATCACTAATACATCTACCTCCATGACCATTCCAACACAATGGCCACCTCCCCCATCCCAGTGACCATCATCACCGGCTTCCTCGGCGCCGGCAAAACCACCCTCATCCTCCACCTCATCCCCCAACTCCCCCCCACCTACCGCATCGCGCTCCTCAAGAACGAATTTGGCGACGTCGCCGTCGACTCCCAACTCGCCTCTGCCTCCTCCATCTCCGGCGTCCGCGAGATTCTCAATGGCTGCATCTGCTGCAATCTAGTCGGACAACTCTCCGACGCGCTCCTCGAGCTGCGCACTTCCGTTAATCCTGACCGCGTGATCATCGAGACGTCCGGCAGCGCGTTCCCCGCGACGTTGGCGATGGAGGTGAACCGCATCGGGCGGGAGACAGGGGCGTTCGCGCTGGACGGGGTGGTGAGCGTGATCGACGTGGAGAACTGGAAGGGGTATGAGGAGACGAGCGTCACGGCGAAGCTGCAGGCGCGGTACACGGACTTGATCGTGCTAAATAAGTGGGAGGGCGTGGGAGAGCGGCGGATCGAGGATGTGGAGGATCGGATTGGGGATTTGGAGGTGGATACGCCGAAGGAGAAGTCGGATCGGGGTTGGGTGAGTCGGGATGTGTTGCTGGGGATTGATGCGAAGCTCGCGGGATTGGGGGTGGAAAAGGGGGGGGCAGAGGAGCATGGGCATGAGCATGGGCACGGTGAGCATCATAATGAGGTGGAGGTGCTGTCGATCACGCTCTCGGGGTCATCCGAAGATGCAGTCGATATTGGGAGATTGGTCAAGTTGCTGGAGGACGCACCTAGGGAAGAGGTGTACAGGATTAAAGGCATTCTGAAGTGCAAAGTACATCCTGTTTCTTCTGATGACGACAGAAATAAACCTCCACCTGCGCATCCCTTGCCTAAGGAGTATATATTGAACTGGGCATTCGGAAGATGGACATTTACGGCTATTGGGCCTGCCCCAGAGGCAAATACAAACGGAGTTGACATAGACCTAGTTCTACGGCTGACTGTCGTCACTGCTCGAGAAGAGTCATCCAAGTGGAAGAAGAGAATAGAGGCGGAAAAGTTCATTATTTTAGAAGGAGAGGGAAGCCCCGGATCCCTCACTATCACGACCATATCCTGAGAAGCACTGCTGGAGTACGTGCTAGAAGATACCAAACATAGACATGAAGTACAATAGATGTACAGAATCGACTCAACTGACGATTTGCAACTCCGCATCTCGGTCCTTGTAGAAAGTGTCTTTCCAATCATCCCAAATCCGTCGGAGCTCCTGCGTATACTCGTCATGCAACTCCTGTACATACGCTTCATCCGGCTTCTCCTGCTGCCGTACTTGGATAGGTTTGCCCACCACCACGTTGACCGGTCGCCGGTACGGCAAGATGCCGACATCGTAGTTGAAAATCCCCCGCGCATGGAAGATGGGCACCGTGAACCCCAAGATCTTCTTTACGAGCATCTGGAACTGGTGGAGGAGCGGGTGATCCGCCGGACGAACCTGTTCATAGAGGTCGTTTTCTCCAAACGCAAACACCGGCACCAAATCCGCCCCAGTTCGGATGGCCAGTTTCACGAAACCCCGGCGCCGGGCCAGCACCAATCGCACGATCCCGGGCTCCGCATCGAGCGACTCGCTCGCGCCGCCGATGACGATCGTGATGGCTCGACCCATGCCGTGGCTGTTCACGCCGCCTTTGGAAAGGAGATTCTCGCACGACTCGCGGGAGACAGACGCCATCCCGAGCCGCAGCGCCCAGTCTCGATAGATGGGGATTCGGAAATTTGAATCAAGCGTCAACAGCGAGTTGGTGATGCCCGGGAACAGCTGGGAAAATCCCATCGCCTCCGTCGCGAAGGCGGCGAACGCTCCGTGGCTGATGATCCCGTGTGGGTGGTATCCGAAGATATATTTCCGGGTGGGCGGCAGGACGTGTGATCGGTGGAGTCGGGCGGGAAAGTATGATGCGAAAAGCGACCAGATCGGCAGCCGCCGTATTCTCTCGGAGCGGTAGTAATGTTCTCCGGACGATCCGGCGTTGGAGAGGAGGACGTATATGAGGTAGGGGACGATGATGGGCCAGAGGAGGGGGATGGCGCAGAGGAAGAAGAAGGTGGTGACCATCATGATAATGGAGAGGCTATGGAGGAGGACCATGAGGGTTTGTAGGCGGCGTTTAAGGGGGACGTTGAGCGGTGCCCAGCGGATCCTGGTGGGGAGATTAGTATTATATTGGAGGATACCTGAGATAGACATACCTTCGATCCCAGTTCTCGCCAGCTTTCCTTCCACTGACGAGTTCGCTCCGGACCTGTCGTGTTCGTGCATCTCGACGGACTGCCTTGGATATATCGTCCTCTGCGCCATCCGTCCGGATAGTTGCGAGAGATTCGCCGTTGCTACTCCTCCGCTCCTCATATACGATATCGCTACTGACTTGTCGCTCCACCAAGACATCTCCGTTGGTGTGCCCGTTCACTCGAGGTCCCCCCTTATCTCCGTTCGGTCGGTCCTCCTTTTCTGTCTCGGTTGGGTTTGTGTGTGTTTTCGGCAGGGAAGCCTCATGTCCTGTCCGCATGTCCATCATGTATCCATCGGCCTCGACATTCTCTGTCTCTGTTGCGGCTGCTTCCGCATATGACCTCGTTGAATTTTGCTCCATCTCGTTCGTAGAACGCAACCGTCTGTGTCTTGTGCAGATCTTGCAACCAATCTTCTTCCAATACGGCGTGTTCCGCTGACGAGTTCAGGGCCGAGTAGGCTTGTCCTGAAGAAGGGACTCTGGTGGTGGGTGATTCGTTTCTATGCCGACATCTGTGTTGACCGTGTAAATGCTAAGGACGATCATATTAAACGATCATTGCATTCATGCTGTGCTGAGGTTTCCTCTTGTCAGACGAGGCACGGGACCAGAACTTGAATTGTAATTGCTGTTACAAGTGCGGAATACAAGACCTTCGAGCTCTGCTTTGGCCTTGGGAGGGTGGCTGGGTGTGTGGGCCAATGACATCACTCTTGGAGAACAATCATGAATCAACAGAACAATGACATGGACTTTGTTATCGAAACCAATTGCTCGCGGAAGTTGATCTCTGGACTCCGGATCGCACCGTACCAAAGTATTCCGGAAAAGTTCCTAACCCTACCAAAAAGTTTGACTTCTTACAGATCACTCTCTCCAGAATTCCGATGGTAGTAGTGGCCAGTGATTGAGTTTCGCCTCAACGGTAGTACTCCATAGGCTACAGGGGGAATAAGGATAGGTGATCCGCCTCAACGTCTCTAGGAGATCTCATTTCTACAGATCTAGGTTAAGAGATTACCATGCCATTCTATATTGGAAGGTTAGTTTTTTCGCAGTTTGACAGTCACAGCTCCGTCAATCTCCTTTAAATGCCGCGCATAACAGTCCATCCATTTATCGCTGACTGAGGTTTGATGGGACTTGTAATCTGCCAGGCCCTGCACTACGCTTGCCGTGTCTGACAGCATGTATGAGCTGAGTGGGATATACTCGGCCGGCTCGCCCTGCTCTTGGATTTGTTTGAAGACAGATCTTTCCAGTTCGAATATTAGGCGCTTGTATCGGGGTAGATTCGGTGCGATTCGCTTGATTTGTTCAATAATAGCCGGGCGCGTTTGGACATGGCCTGGTACTTCGCACTGCTGGCCAGAATAGAGCGGAAGCTGTGCGGCTGGCCCAATTGGAGCTGCCATTATACCGTCCAGATCTATCATAGCAATGATGTTGAAACTGTCGTCGACTAAGTAGGTTATGGGCGCCAAAATCCCGATTTGTTAAACAGAAAGGCCCCGAGGAACGAGGACATCGCCGTTTCACTATCTCCTTAAAGAGCAACGGGAAGGTCCTGGACCTCGACTGCAGCATATCATCCTCGATCTCTCGCAAAGTCCCGGAGATGGCATGGTCGGCAGCATCATTGTAATAGTCGACGGCGGATGCCCAAGACCCTTTGCAAGTTTCAATATCCCGGCCAATAGTTATGTTGCCTTCATCGTCAAGAGCCAGACAGCCGATTTCGTCAATGATGTAGGTGGAGAGCTGGACTTGGATGCCAGCCATCTGTTTTCGAAAGCTCTCATCTTGCTCCAGGGTCCCGAACGTTAAGGGAGGGCTGATTTTGAGCTCTCGGTGTTCTAAAGCAACAAGACCGTCGACATAGTCCATAATGATGGACTGTGCTCCCATGACCTTCTGAGCAGAAACATTGTAGTGATGGATATGAGGAACGGGGATCGATGTCCTCTCTTTGATGAATCATGCAGTCAATCCTGAAATGACGCAAACATGAAGACCAAAAACACACTGTAGATACTTTGTCCTCGCGATCTCGATTTTCATGGCATCTTCGCTAGTTAACGCCTCCCGAGCAGTGTCAATCTCCTCCACTATTTGAGGAAACCGAAACCTATAGCTCAAGCTGTACCGTCATTAAATTCGATCTTCCGAACTAGGTTGAAATGCTCAACAGAGAACTTCTCACTGAGACGTGGGGTGCTTCCATGACGCTGTCAACACAGGTCTATCACGATATCTCCCAATTGATGGAGCTCAAGAAGTCCGTTGCACATTGATGTAGTGAATGCTCTTCCGGATAACAGCTGGCCCCTATCTAGTATTCATTCATTGACTCGCCCGGCATAGCTTCAATTTCCAAAGGCCAACAACGATAGAAGAGGGGCAGCAGTGCGTTGGAAATGTTATATCAACCGAGGGGAAGATATCGGCTTTGATAGAAGCATTGGAATAAAAACAACAACGCTGGTCGCCTGGAGACGCTAAAACATAAGAACTCAAACTATCACAAGGACTCGAACTACTGAATTGACCAAACCTGTAGTTTAAACCATCTCCCTTTGGCGCTGACAAAGGTAAAACATCAGAACTCTGAAAGCAATAGAACAGGAACCTCACCGCAGCTGCGGCGTTAGGTGGGTGGGTATGCATGACTTAAAACATGCGTAGATATCCTTGTTCACGAGTCATGCATATAACTTGTCCTTGACATGTCCCGCAACTTCATCATCGACATCAAGTTCTCCAACCTCTCCAAACTCACCTCGAATATATGCCTCTAAACATCACTCCCGGCCGAATAACCAAAAACCGATCCAACACCAAATCCCCCATCAAATCCTCCTCCCCTCGAGGCCGCCAACCCCATAATGCCGCCCCCTCCACCACGCCCTTCCGCCCCTCCTCCACCATAAACCACCCCTCCCCCCTCCCCAACCACGGTCTCCTCACCCACCTCCCCACCGCCCTCTCCACCCCCACCGCCCTCCCCCTCATCACCCACCTCACCACCACCATGTTCACCCCCCTCCCCTCCCACCGCACCGGCCTCTCCAGCACCCAGATCGCCACCCTCCTCACCTTTCGCGCCGCCCTCCCCCCCCTCATCTCCATCGCCCACCTCCGCGCCCTCGCGCCCTCCCCCACCTCCCTCGACCGCGAACTCTCCTGCCTCCTCCACAGCGGCACCTTACGGAAAATCGAGATCCCCGGCCGCGGCGCGGGCGCGCGCTCGGTCGGACATGGCGTTGTGCTGGAGGCGCGGTGGGTGGATGTGGTGAGGGAGTATCCTGGGCTGGAGGACGAATTGAAGGAGAAGTATATCGCGCTGATGCAGGCGCATCCGGGGGAGGTGCGGGTGGATGTGCGGCGGGCGGGGTTGGGGAGGGAGGAAGTGGGGCGGTTGGTGGAGGCGGGGTTTTTGACGCGGGTGAATAGCGCGGGGCCGTCGCGGGCGGGGAGTTTTTTGCGCTTGGGGTTACCGGCGGGGAGGGGCGGGAAGGCGCCGATTGCGTCGGGAGGCCCGGTGGGGGCGGGGGAGGGGTATAGCCCCGCGGGGAGCAGCGGCGCAGGCGGACGGGAGGCGGCGGCGGAAGTGTATGCATTCTCGCTGCCGAATACGGGGGCGTATTTGAAGTTCGTGCAGGGGGCGCGGGAGGCGTTGGTGGGGTTGTTGGGGAAGGGGGGGGCGCAGGTGCGGGAGGCGCCGATGGAGTTGCTAAGGGAGCGGTGGGATGGCGGGGTGGCGAAGGAGGGGGACGGGCCGGCGGAGAGGCGGCGGGAGCGGGGGGAGGATATGGGGCCGATGGTGGGGAGGACGAGGAAGTGGAGGGTGTGGTATGGGTTGGAGTTTGAGTGGGTGTTGGGAGAGGTGTTTGGGGCGGGGTTGGTGGAGTGTTTTGAGACAGGGAGTGTTGGGGTGGGGGTTCGGGTGAGGTGATGGGTTGAATTGGTAGGGCAACTGAAGCGATTCACGCATATAACACGGTTAGATGATGTACGAATGGAAAGGCTTGTATTACTTTTTTGCCCAGATGTCCCAAAATGGCATGCCGTATCCAGCGCAGAAACCAAAAAAGGCTTCCGTCAAACCCAAAAGAATCGACAATCAGACCTCCAAATCAACGTCTTCTCCGCTGCCATCCATTGTTCCCCTTTGTTGTCCGCGCCTCATAACTCCCACTACCATTCATCCGCTGCACATCCACCTGCACCCCCTGATCCTCATCGTCGTCCTCACTACTCGTCTCCTCACTCTCCTCCCCCATCTCCCTTCCCAACTCGCTCCTCCTCTCCCTCCACCCCGCCCGACTCCCTCCCGCCGAATCCGACGCGCTCACCGGCCCCCTCGCCGCGGCCGCAGTCGCGTTCGGGACCGGGACGCGGCGCATCACATTCGAGTACGCGACGTCGGGCGGCCCGGACGCGATGCGCCGGCCGGGAGGGTAGCCAGGGGGCGGACCGCCCGGTGGCGCTGCAGGCGACGAGGCGATCTGGTAGGCGAAGGGGTCAAGAGGGACGCCGTGCGGGTAGCCAGGCATGACGGCGGAGGAGGCGCGGGAACGACCGTAGTGGTCGTCAGGGTGGTCGGGGATCGGGGAGTGGGAGGAGGAGGGGCGGAGGTAGTCCGAGGGGGGAGGGTAGCGGGTGTTGGAAGGTGGAGTGTCGCGTGAGCGGGAGGGGGTGGAGGAGATGGACCGGGAGTCGGAGCGGGAGCGAGGTCGGGTGGGAGACGATGCGGAGCGGCGGTTGGAGGAGCTAGGGTTGTAGTAACTTATGGGTGGTTGGACGCCAGCGACGGGGATGTGGTAAGAGGGTGGCCGGGCGGAGGAGGGGTACGGAGGGTCGATGAGATTGTCGTCTTCGTGGCGGCTAGATTTGGATCGTTTGGACTTGGAGCTCTGTTGCGAGGAAGTGGATTTTTGAGATTTCTTCCGTGAACGAACGCTATTGCCGGGGCTTCCATTGAGGCTCCGCTTGCTGTTGGATGGTAGCTCAGGAGACGAGGATTTTCTTCGTCGTGGCCGATTCCAGCGCTCGAGAGCATCGATTTCCTCGGTCGACAGACTGATATTGGCCCTCCCTTTTGCTTTGGCCCTCGAACTCTTTTCCATGATGCGATGAACCATCACCTCATCGTCCGCTCTAATTCCGCCCACCAAATCATCGTACTCCTCCGGCTCCAACGAATAACCATGATAATCACCGTACGCCAGATCCTCATCCTGACTTCTAATATCCACCGGGAACCGCGACCCAAAATCATTGAAAAATAACTCATCCGAAACAAACTTGCTCTTGCGTTTGGGGTTCAACACCACACCCTGTTCGTCGTCACTGCCCAGCTCCTGGAACCGGGAGAAGGCAGCAGGCGGCCAGGCATTGGTCGGGTACATATCGAGCTCTGGCCGCCGTCGCCCCGGTGGTCTTCCCCAAGGGGGCATCGAATGTGGAGTTCGCGGCCGACCACCTAGACCGCCTCCTCGGAAAAAGCTTGCTCGATCGGCTTGTCCATAAATGCGGCGTGCCCCAGGATGGTAGCGCCGCTTGCCCCGATCAACCAGAGGATGGTGAGGTGAGGGGATGCGTAGATGGTCAGCGGGATGCCGATGACTAGGAGCGTGGTGTATAGTTGTGAAGTCGTCGCTCGCACGAATCCCAAATCCAAATCGGCACCACCCAACTTGCCAATCCCCCACATGCCTCCGACCACTAGGAAGATGACAAACAACAGGGCCGGGTTGCTGAGGAGGGCGTAGATGGCCAGCATGACGAAGATGAGGGCATAGTTGCTGGAGAAGTATCCCAGGTTGTAGTTGACGCGGCTCTGGGCCTCCCCGAAGTTCTCAGGCTTCGACAGGCGCTTGAAATCGAAGAATTCGGAGATCGGCTTCAGGTTGGCGAATCGTGAGGCTATCGACTGGGAGCGGACGCCTTCGAAGCGTTGAGAGAGGTTGAAGCGGGACGTCAGGGCGTCGAGGGGGATGGAGATGCGAGCCATGGCTGGGGGGATGGATTCCGAGTCACGAGGGGAAGCGTTTTAAGAAGTTTATGGGCGTGTTGAGGATTCGTGTCGAGAAATGTATTTCAGACAAAGCTTGGTCTGAAAACGTGACGGGCGCGAAGTCGAGGCACGGGCGAGAGATAAACGAGAGTCGAATGAGCGACTGACCCAAAAGTGAGCCTTGATGGAGTGAAAGGAAGTGAAGGAGCAGAAGCTCAGAAAGTGAAGCGAGGCGTTGAACGTGGAAGATGGGAATACTGTAATATCGGTGAGCGAGAGGAAGAAGCAGAGTATTACTACACACGAATCGCATCAGCCGTGTTGGACACTTGGACAGACATGCATATGGAGAATTTCTGGACCTCCTAGTAAATTCCCCCTGGCATTCTTTCGGGCTCTAGATTTCAGGCTGCACGGCAATAAGGCACCTATATCTCCTTCTGGACCAAACCTCGCGCCTATCAATTGACATTGGACAAGTCTTAGTGGCATTGGCTTCCCTGGAGCTTCCCTGTCCTCTCCAACCCCATTTGTTCCTGGCTGAAATCACCTTAATTGTTGCAGATTATTACTGCACTGGAAATTCTTCGGATTGGGCCACGTACTGCGTAGTGTGCGGCATCCACTAGACACGACCTCGAAAATTCCCGAGTCCCAATTCCATTCCTGGTGTGTGGGAGTGTGATATTCCAAGCTGACACCTCACCATCGTCCGTTTATGTTAAAGTGAGCCTGACGAAGTTGACGAGTTTCGTGTCGCCATCATGAGGGCGGTATTGACGCTGTTGCTGATCGCCGTTCTCGCCACGGTGACCTTGGCCTGGACGAAAGAAGGTTCGTGAATCTCAATTGCAGCGCATCATTCTTCCTTGCAGTCATATTCCTCTATATCCCACCGCTAACGCACCACCCCCAGACCACGAAATCTTCCGTCTCCACGACGAAGTCGCCGCCGCCGAGCACGGCCAAAACTGGTACGAATGGCTGGGCGTCCCGCCCAGCGCGTCGCGGGAAGCCCTCGACCGCGGATACAAGAAGAAATCCCGGCAGCTGCACCCGGACAAGGCGAAGCAGGCGTTCATCGCATCGTACGCGAAGCCCAAGAAAGACAAAGACCCGAAGGCGAAGCCGACGGTGCACGTGCGCAAGCAGCCGACGGCGCGGGAGATCGCGACGTTCGAGAAGGAGGCGTCGGCGCGGTTCGCGCGGCTAAGCGTGGTGATGACGGTGCTTCGCGGGCCGGACCGGGCGCGGTACGATTATTTTCTGAAGAACGGGTTCCCAGCGTGGCGGGGGACGGGGTACTATTACGAGCGGGTGCGGCCGGGGACGGGGACGGTGTTGCTGGGGTTGTTCCTGTTTGGGGGGGGGGCGATCCATTACGGAGCGATGTATTTGAGCTATAAACGGCAGAGGGACTTCGTGGAGAGGTATACGAGGCATGCGCGGCAGATGGCGTGGGGAGATCCGTTGGGGGTCCCGGGGATTCCGACGGGTTTGGGGACCGGAGCGGGCGGCGAGTCGAGCGCGGCGCAGGCGAGTGGCGGTGGGGATAGCGAAGGCAGCGGCAGTGCATTAAACCGGAGGCAGAAGAGAATGCAGGACAAGGAAGCGAAGCGGTCGGGGAAGAATGGGAAGGGTGGGAAGAGTATCAAGGAGGATATCAGCGCGCCCGTCGAGGCGGAGAAGATCATCTCGGGGCCTGTCGGGAATAAAAAGCGGGTGACGGCGCCGAATGGGAAGAGTTTGCTGGTGGATTCGGTGGGAAATGTATTCATCGAGGAGGAGACGGAGGAGGGAGAGGTGATGGAATTCTTGATTGATGTAGGTGTCCTGGACTGAAAGTTGGAGTGACGGAAGCTGACTGCTCGCAGGTCGACGAGATCGAGAAACCCACGATATTCAAGACCATTGTGTTCCGATTACCCATCTGGGCGTACAATGCCTCGATCGGACGCCTCATCAACCCAGCCGGATACCAAGACCAGGACGAGCCGCTAATAAAGAGCGATGAGGCAGATGAGAACGAGTTGCTGAGCAAGGCGACTGCACCGAATCAGAATGCCGAAGCCACAAAACGGAAGTCAAAGGTTCGGCATAGGTGATCGCATCATGCTTGCTCTCACTTGGTGGGTTGAGTCGGGTATTATTACCTTGGTGTACAAAAGGATAGGCCGCAGACTTGGGTAGAAGGTAATTGTATTATATCAGGTAGAATTCTTCAGCGTCATGCTAGCTGTCCAACAACCCGAGTCTTTCGAAAGTCATAGCATGACGTCCCAATTGTTAAGCCCTCATTGCCTATTATCTGCACCACAGAAGATTAAGTCGCACCCTTTGATACAGATCTTGTCATAGCATATTGTCATTGTTGAATCTAGCAAAGCAAGTCGTGTACAAGTCGTGTACGTCCTTTTAAGTCGTCAATAAGCCACCCTCGACTGTCCAGCCGTCTGGATGGTATCGTGTCATGAGAATCGAAATCCGCCCTATCTAAAACTCTCCTCCTTTTCCATTGCTCGCCACGCCTTTCTTCTCTAATCTCTGCCTCTTCTTCCTCCCATCTCCCTCTCACATAAACGCCTTCGCCAATTTCAGCAAGCCCCCAACCCCACCACCCCCCAAACTACCACCCAACCCACCCCCCAAGCTACTCGCCAACCCCGACCCATATCCCGCACTCCCATAATACCCCCCACCCGCCGCCTTCGCCGCTCCGGCCCCCGACAACAACGCCGGCAACCTCACCCCGAACTGCTTCGCAATCCCGGCGAGCGCACCCCCAGAAATCAACGGCTACCCACCTCCATTAGCACCCCCTCATCATCTTCCAAAAGTCTCGACGAAACTTACCATGATCACCAAGAAAAACACCTTCATCGGGTGCTTCCGCGCGTAGTACCACAGCTCGCGGAACAGGCGCTTCAGCTTGTGCAGCAGGCGTGCGATATAGCCGTCGCGCGGGCGGCGCTTGTAGTGGGAGGTAGAGGACCGGGAGTAGGAGGAGCCGGCGCTGGAGCGGACGTAGGCGGGGCGGGACGAGGAGTGGGAGTGGGAGGGGTAGTGCGAGGAGGAGTGGGAGGAGCGAGAAGAGGAGAACCAAGGCATGATATAGGTGTATCGAATTGCTGGTCGCTAGATAATGTATTGGCAACCGTTACCAGTACGGTTCACTAAAGCTGTCTGGCCCGACGAGGGTTCGAGGGTTCGAGGGTCCAATGGTCCAAAATCTCCGAGTCGTGGTGTGGAAATATCGAGTCCCGGTCCTCCTTTTGCGTACAAAATAAGCAATTGATGCGAGAGAAGTGATATCAATGTAATGTCTGGACTTCCGGAAGGTTTGCAGAAAGTTGAAGCCGTCCGGAGCTGAGAGGTGCAGTAGTTCTCTCTCCACTGCGAATGGGAGGTTAGTGGAGAGGTTGGGGATTGGCGTTCGCGGACAAGGGGCGCGTTAGTGGCGTGTGCCAGGCCCAGGGTCCATTGCTGCTTGGGGCTAGCTATTTACGGAATCTTGATATCCAACCTTTTAGATTTTAAGCATGGTAATTGTGAGGCATTGGTAATTAGAGGAGGTTCGAAAATACTAGATGATTGGATAAGTGTGGTCGTCGGAATGATACCTGCTAAAACAGAAAGAGTCACATACCAGTAGATACACGCTAACCATGAACGAGAATGAATAGCTTCTATTTGTACAAGTGGTTACTACATCCATCAATTGCATATGCACACCTGCCCAAATTCCCGAATCTATGCAGCCCGCTTACCGAACTCACTATCAAATACCCGATCCATTCCCGCCTGCGTTTCCCCCACCCGGCTCGGCTCCGGCAACGACATCCTCTGCGACACCTTCTCCCAATCAATCCGATCCCACCACGCCTCCAAGAACTTTCCCTTATTCCTCACCCCCCAATCCCACATCCACACATGCTCCCATGTGTTCACGCACAACAACGGCGTCGAGTCGATCCCTCCCAACGCCACCTTCCTTCCCCGCGCCTCGCTCTGGCTCCACCACCCAGCATTCGCGCTCGACCCCGCAATCCCCGGGGCCCCGGTCGACCCCATCTGCTGTCTTGCCGCCATCGCTGCCGCGCTGAACTCACCCAGCCCCTGCGCGCGCGCACTCCCGACGTTCTGCGTGTTCATGTCCTCGCTCTGCACGCGCCAATGCGCGCCGCTGTGCGGGCTGCCGGCAAGGTAGGTGGTCAGGATGGAGAACTGGGTGTTCTGCTTGCGGGTGATGGGGTGGTAAACAAGCCAGACGAAGGCTGGGCCGAAGGTGGCGCGGGCGGTGGAGAGGAACTCGGCGCGCAGGGTGTCGAGGCTGGAGAAGCGGCGGGTGAGGAGTGCGTGGAGGGTGCTGTTGGGAAGGGGGCGATTGGCGTCCGGGTTCGGGTCAGTGAACTGGACGGGTAAGTTAGATGCGATTGGGTTGGGGGGGAGGACATACCATGCCGTTGAAGAAAAAGTGGTTGTTCCAGGCCATGGAGGCGTAGTTGAAGGTGTTGGCCATCAGAGGGTCACGGGCGGTTTCGAGGGTGATATCGTGCACCGACATATGCTCTCGAGTTGTACCTATTGATGATCATCAGCAAATGCCGTGGTGGTGTATATCTGGGTTGAAGGAAACGTACCAGCCGTGATTGCAGACAGCTTCTCAATCATTGACCCTTGATATTCTGTCCACGCCATATCAAACGCTCCTGGTGATAGAAGTCCCGGTATTCCATTTTCGCGAAGGGCTGCTTCATGGTCTAGAACCGGGACATGGTGAAGTTGTCGAGCTTGGGTTGGACTTGTCCAGGTGATTTTCTTAATGCTGTCTTAGTATCTGCGTGGTGGAGTTCGCGTAAGCAGTCGGCACGTACTTTAAACTGGGCGGCAGCTTGCCGTAGGCATTTCTGCCGTGATATTCTTTGTATTAACATCGTGGTGTGGGATTATCTGGTCATCTTGTCTAATTCAGTCCTTTTGGATACACAGTTACAGATGAGGTGGAAATTTTGGACAGGGGTGCTCTTGTCACGTGATATATAATCACGTGACTAGACCTTTGATAGCCCATCCAGTAGTTATCCCTAAATCCTAATCGACTCTTTGATATCGCTCATTCAAAGTTTCCGACTGATCGGAATGTTGCATTTGTCCCAGTAATAACGACATTATCTGATGTATGTCAGTTAATGCACTGCTGGGCCTTGTCATGATGACTTTGACAGCCATGGGCCCTTTTTATTTTTGAAACAGGAAAATAGCTGAATCGCTCAAAATAACATCTTTGCAACCAGTGCACACTTCCTAATCTGTAAATCAAATGATCCCCTTTTCTCATCTGATCATCTGATCGTACAGTGATGTTTTGATCCTAATCTCGCGCCACATAACTACCTTGCTTACAGCACTCATTCTCCGCCTTCCGGAATCATCCGCATCCACGCCACCCAGCTATGAACTCCCGCTCCAAAATGTCCAACACAGCCTGTGCTAGAGTCATTCCCTGCGACTTATGCGTTGATGGCATAGACAATGGTTAACGGGAACTGTGACCGTGAGCAGGAAGTGTTCCCGATATAGAACTCGCGGCATGATGGGAGGATTGGGACCAAAGCCAAGCCGCCTACGTCCAACGTCGGTCCATCAGACCGATAGAATTGAACGAGGAATACAGGAGGATCCCTCGGGGTATCAGCACCCGCCTGCCAGCTAATATCACGCACTATTCCCATCGCACCGTTCACCAGGCCTCGTTCGGTCTAAAGATTCTGTCAACATAATACGGGTTCCCAACACCATCGGGATCTTAGGATGGAGGTTTCCTGCCTCATTAGTCAGAACTTTTTCTGTCTTCGCCCCTCCTTCGTGAATTGCTCGACACATCATGACAGGAGAACGGAGATCGCGTAAACGACGGCTGTTAAACACGGCGATAGGCGCTTTCTTACTGGAGATACGGAGAGCGTCCCGGAACGATTCTACCTCCTCAGACGGAAGCATGGCCCGTACTCGTGTACTAAGCAGTGTCCAGTCGTCACAAGTTGCGGAGTCTATCCGCAGGTAATCGAGAGCCTGGCGGAAATGAATCGACTTAACGTCATTGCCCTGCTGCCGAACACCTTCATCAAGCTTGATCGTTTGCTCGAATTGGTGGTAGATATTACCCCCATACCGTTCATCCAGCTTTAGATGCCTCTTCTAGTTATAAAGAGCAGTTGCCAAGACCGGAGGACGCTGGAAGAAGTCGCCACAGAGGAGAATACAGAGACCACCGAAATACTTGTCTACGCTAGGAAAGATCTCACAGCAACGACGGTCAATATATAAGAGCCGGCGAAGGCCGATCATAGACTTTTGGTCGATGATCCGATATCGTATACCCCAGAAAGTGGCCTGAGGGGCTTGAAGAGCAGCCGGCCGGAGGGGGTCGAGGGACTTGACATCCTGAATAGGAAGACGAAAAGAGTATGTAGTGTCGACGCGGAGAGGCAATAAGCTGCGACGCCCGTAGATGTGGCACGAAGAACGGGGTTCTATAATCCATGCCGTGATGCCGCCTCCTGGAGATGCGAGATCAGCTGAATAACAAAAAACTTCCCTGTACCCGCCTTGCCATCAACGTTAATTAGGAGCTGAGACCTAGGAGTATCTGTCGCGACGATACGTGCGAAGTAGGTAGTCAGGATATCGTATGCTATACGTAGTTTAGCACTCAGCTTTTCAACGGTACCAGGTGCGAAGGGAGCAGCTTCATCAGTATGGGGAGACTGGGCATTCGCAGTGGCCCACTACTCCTTCGTAATCTCGTGCTTCCCGACGTAAAACGCCCAATCGTATTCACGGTCAAGAGATCGTTGACCGAGGGCATCTGGGTCCTCTAGAATGGTTCTATCGCGACTAGGTAGCTGACCGGCGAGCTCATCCCAGCTCCCCTACTGATCCTCATCCGCAAGAACAATAGGGTCGTAATGATCGACCGGATGGTCATGCTGACCAATCGCGCAAGACGAGGAATACGCCTCAGAATACGACGCAAAAAAGGGACCATCAAGCTCGGGTCGGAGGAGGTCACCTATACGGCGGAAGGGGAGGTGTAGCATCAGTTTAACGCGGCACCAGTCTTCGCGGGCATCGCCGAGCGATGAATATCGGGGGAAGTAATTCAACACCGGCTCGTTCCCTTCTCCCCACCTCCGGGCCACAATCGACGGAAATCACCACGCGTGAAGAGACTTGGGAGGGAGAAATCAAGAAGAATGTGGGAAACCTCCTGGGCTGACCATACGCTACCACCGGGGTCTCCCGAAGATGAAATGCCGGGGGTGTAATAATAGAGTGAGAGAGAGAGATTCATACGCCCCTTGGGCCTCTCTGCGAGGCCCATGTGGGGAGTAATAATAAAGTGATCAGTAGTTAATAACGTAGGAAATCTACCACCGAGCTAGCCAAACCACCGAGTTAGCCACTTCACCACCGAAATAACGATTATCACCGTTTTTTTCGCGATGCCTCGACAACAACAAGTTCAATTGCCTTCAAATGAAAGTAATATCAATTTAGCTAAAATAGTTATCGAACAAGACCAAGGAGGGTTGTAGATCAGGAAGAGTAGTAGAGAGGAAGTCACGTAGTTTAAGTTCACAAACCCCTGACTAGCCAATCAGAGGGCAAAGGAGGATATGTATTGACTCGACCACTGAAGCAACCCGCTACGCTCGTGATGACTGGTGGCCGGTGGGGTCTTTGGCTGACTCCATTAATATGCTCCTTAGTCCTCGGCTCTCTCTCGGTTTTGCACATCTCCACACTCCGGCTCCAAGCCGACGGGAACGTGTATTGGCCCCGAATCTGGCTGTAGCTTACGCGGGGTTTCCATTCCCATTTCTCAATCTTCAAGCTTTGGATAACTCAAATATCTTTAACTATTTGCTGGCGCATTCAATATTGGGACCAATTCTACTGACTATCTTACATCTTTGGCTATCCTTCTGCAACCATTTGAGAGTGCTGTGTCTTGTGAACCTTCCTGTTGTGAGAAACGCTTGTACTATACAGTCCTAGTTCTTTATATTTTGATTCAAGATGACTTTCAAGAACAAGTACACCGATATTATTGTGGAAATCAAGGGCCAGATTGGTATCATCAAGGTCCGCGAATGCCTCTCGTTTACTACTGCTAGAATGGACATGTAACCGATCTGACATATGGCAGTTCAATCGCCCTAAAGCCCTTAACTCGTTTGGTGGAAACCTGATCCAAGACACTGTTGGTGCCATCCGGGAGCTCAATGAGCATCCGGACACTGTCTTTACAGTACTCACTGGCGAGGGACGTTTCTTCTCCTCCGGCGCAGATGTGAAGGGTAACCAAGTTATTCATATACGGGAAGAGCATATTAACTTACCTCTTTTAGCCCATGGCACCGGCACGCCCCAGCAATTCAACAGCCTTCACGAGAAGAAGCTCTCTTTTCTTCAGGGCTTCCTCCCCAGTAAACGACCATTGTGGCTCCAGTACGACTAAGTGGACGCTAACAGAATCAAGCTTATGAACTCCTCCGATCCATCATCGACCATAAGAAGGTTTTCGTCCTCGCTATGAACGGCCCCGGCGTCGGCGGAGGTGCCGCTTGGGTCCAAGGTTTCGCCGACATCGTCCTCGCCGCCGAGGGTGCATATATGCAGGTCCCTTTCTCCGCACTCGGCCTTGTTCCCGAGAACGGAAGCGCGATCGGGTTTTCACAGCACATCGGTGTGCACCGGGCGAACGATTTCCTCATGTTCGGACGGCAAGTGACCGTGCAGGAGATGGAGCAGTGGGGAATGGTAAACCGCATCTTCCCGAAGGAGGGCTTCCATGCCCACGTGGTGAAGTTCTTGGAGGATCAGCTGGATGTCAATGATGGGAAGAGCATGATAGAGATGAAGAGGTTGCAAAATGCGCCGCTGAGGGATGGGAGGATTGTGGCCGTCACCAACGCGATGGATGCGTTGTCCGAGAGGTTCGTCGAGGATGCGCCGGCCGCGAGATTTGCGGCCAAGAAGAAGCTTTTGGAATGTAAGTGGCCATATCCCTCCTTTCCAAGATACTCGGTGTCATGTGTTCGCAAACTGACTGGGTGAATAGCCAAACGCGGATCTAAAATCTAAAGGAATCAACTAATCCAAAGTTTCACCACTTACGAGAGCGGGTCTTCTATAATTAAAATACTTGTTGAATAGCAGCTTACGGCAATTACGGAACATCTGCCGAATTATTTGCCTACTGGTGGATCGCATACATCTATTTCAGACGCGAACGAATCCGAGTTAGGATCCTTGCAAATCCAGCCCTAATTAACTACCCCAGGTTAATCTTCAAGCCTCTTGGACGCGTATATTTCCCAGTCGATTGTTCATTAGCCTCGATCTATCTTTCTCAAATTCATTTGTTTCCATCTACCTACCTGGACATTCATTTAGGGCTCCGACAGCCGCCTATATCTAACCCTCGGAAGTCTACCGAGTAACCAATCCTGCCGTTTCATTGTTGATCGAATCAGAATTGATAACATGCCGGTTTTCTTTGCCGTAGAATGCTCGGTTTGACATCATTAATTTTGACCTCAAACATCGGTGTTGTAAGTTGAGCTGCAAAGACGTCTATAAGTGCTGTTTCTGTTTCTATTTTGCGTCTATTTGAGCGAAACTCCCTTCTTCCCTTCCAGTCACTCGTTTTATTCTTCTTCAAGGGCACCGTTCTTCTGTCCATAACCTCCAAACATCTATCATGCGGTCGATCCTAGCATTGGCCGTCTTAGGCACTGCCATTCCTTCCCTCGCGGCACCCCAATTCGATCTCGGCGCGCTCCTCGGCCTCCCATCCTCCTCTCTGGAACCGGGCGCCAGCAACTCCGGCCCCACGACGGCTGATCGCGCTGAATGCTTTGCCCTCGAATGGATCCACGGCCGCGGCACCACCGAACCGGCCTCCCTCGGCTCCCGTCTCGGGCCCAACTTGAAGAATCAACTCGTCCAGCGACTCGGCAACCGTGTCAACGTCATCGGTCTTGTCTTTCCAGCGAGCTTCCAACTGCCGCAGAGCCCGCAAACCGGCGTGAACAACCTGGTTGCGAGGATCCGTCAGCGGTCACAGCAGTGCCCCGACATGCTATTCGGTATATCGGGGTATAGCCAGGGCGCAGACATCGCTCACGGCGCAATCCAGCTCCTGCCCGACTACGCGGATCGGATCCTCGCCCTCGCCATGTTCGGTGACCCACTCACCGCCATCGGCTGGCCCGCCGCGTACGCCGACCGCGTCATCAACACCTGCGATCCCGCCGACCAAGCATGCGGCGGGCGAGGTACGTCGGGGCACATGCTCTACGGCGCGGAGGACAACGTGCTGCACGTGGTGGCGGCGCAGTATATCACCGCAAAGTTCCTCGCTGGGAAACCCGCACCCGCCGCGGGGGCGAAGACCTTGAAGGCTCTCCCTCAGCTCGGAGATTCGGCGAAGTTTTTGACGGATCGAAGCTGGCCGCCGGCGAACTGGAAGTCGAAGTACCCGGACGGAACGGTGGTGAAGCCGATTGGATTGACAGGGACGGATAGGCAGAGCGTTACGGCAGCGTTGGCGAATTTCGATTTTAAGTTGGATACTTCGTTGGCTGGGAGCGTCATCCCACCTGGGGCAGCGCAGTGATAGGTTTCAATGCCTGTGGCGCCACAATGCAAAGTAATACTTTGCGTATATTGCAAGGGAGTTATAAATACATCCATCAGCTTTGCAAGTCAGAGTATGTGTGAAGACACGAGATACATATCCGCAATATAGGGACACCTGCAGTAGACGACGGTGGTGGTACTGTAGCGTTAACAAATAAATCCAGCCCAGGCAGTTATATGGTTCAAAATGTACGAACCTATCTAACCAAACTGGATGTAATCTATAGCAGTTCATCCCCCGTAAGTCAATTTAAATTTAATAAAGCAACAATTAGTCTTCGAAGCAATTTCCGCCATACAGTGTGTCGTCTGAGGGAAGTGAGTACACGCTCAGGACACTTGCACATCCCAGAACTCCAAAAACACATCCTCCCATTTTTGAGAGATTGTTAAGACGCAATCCCCAATGATCCATAATTTCCTCGCAACTCCGTTATGTATCCCGAGTTGCTCAAACCCTTGCTCTTTCCGTGTCGCCTTGCAGCAGTCGGGAAACATCCTAGATCACCGACTTCCCAGAGTCCTCGATGCTATTCTTGCCGGACCAACAAGCACATCACGATGGAAACCAATAGTGGTTAAGAGTATATTTCTTCTCCCCACGAGAAGTGAAAATGTGTATGCCGGCTTCGTTCGACAATACGATGCAGGAAGGAGTAATAATACTCCCAGAATCGCACTTCCCACCAACGGGAACCTGCCGTGGCGTTTGAAGACGAAGCATGGTATTGGAAACCCAGTACGAGTGAGCCACGACAGCCGCTGTGAAATGTTCGACCTTACTAGCCTGTAATTTGTTTGGATTCTTGTACATCGGCCGAGTGCCGACCAGCATTATCTCTTCTTAACTGAACGTAATGAGTGTAACAACACGGGAATTTCGGGAATAAACTGAAGTAAATCAATAACATTGTTGACAGACTTTGAACTGGAAAGCTTCCGAAAATAAAAGAAAAACTATAAAAAGGAAAACTAAGGAAACGAGGGCTTGACACGGGGAACGAGAACAACTCCAGGAACCCGTTTATATCCAAATCTGCAGGTTCGCAAAATCATGCGAGTCGGAGATGGTGATCCTTGACCGTGGCATCGGTTTTTCAATCATTCAAGGTCAATCCCCGAACTTCCGCATTGTTTGCATCTGAGAGCAGATTCGGGTCTCATTAATGGTCCATCCAGGGACGAGATCGACGGCACTGCGCCCTTGGTGTGCTTCTCCAGTGTAGTCAATCGGGACCTGGTATCAACCCACAGATACCTAAGCATTGCGGCGATTCTTTATCTCGAGAGAGGAACTGAAATAACGATCGAGTGTTTTTTAAGTCCAGGAGGTATGCTTCAGCCCGATCAATTCCGACCAATCCAATGGCCCAAGGATATCGTTAACCGTCAGAATTGGCGAGCTTAGGGATCAGTGCAAGACTAGACATTACAATTTACACCAATACATGTAGCTGCATGCGTGGTGTGGGTGTGAATGTACCCAAGCGTCGGTATCAGGTTACTGGTAATACTGAGCTACCCCGCGTGCTCCATGTTGGTTCCCGCCGCTCTTACTATCCTTGTCGGTACAAGTAAGTTACCGCTGCGGAGTGATTTAGGTTGTCTGTTCGGTTGTCCCTGACGATGCGGGGCTCCGCAACTTCCGAATAAAGTAATAAAAGTGTCCCCGGATGCCATGTGGTGGAACCGTGGAAGGGAGGAAAAGAGAACCGAAAACTCTCACGCTGTTTGCAACAACCACCTTTTATATTAGCATTCGGCCTCGATATTTTCAGTGACCACAGTCATCCCGCTTCTTCAATACTAGATAGAAGACTGTAGGGACTGACAAGACAGAATGAGAGCGGCGCAATTCTTTGGGAAGGGTGATATCAGAGTGGTTGACGTCTCGAAGCCTGTGCGAAAGGATGGCGAAGTCCTGATTGAAATCGAGAACTGCGGCGTATGTGGGAGCGACCTGGCGGAATTCACGATGGGTACCTGGATCTTATTCAGAATATTGAACAACACTGACAGAGTATAGGGCCGGTGGCAGTCCCAGTCCCTGGAAGACCCCATCCGCTGACAGGAGAGACACTGCCAGTCACGATGGGGCATGAGTTCTGCGGACGAGTCAAGGAAGCTCCCGCCAATTCTTCACTAAAAGAAGGGCAAGCCGTAATGGTCGATCCACGGATTTACTGCGGGTCATGCACCAGATGTCAGTCGTCGGCCACGAACAACTGCCACCAGTTTGGCTTCCACGGACTGTCCGGTGGAGGCGGAGGGTTCTCAGAGTTTGTCACGGTAGATGAGAAAATGTGCTATCCTCTTCCAGACTCTGTTCCGTTGGAATACGCCGCTCTCATTGAGCCGTTGGCTGTTGCTTGGCACGCAGCGAAGCAGGCGGACCTGCCCGATTTCAAGGGCAAGACTGTCCTCATTATTGGTGGCGGCCCCGTAGGAATCGCTATGGTCCATTGTCTGAAGCATTTTAGGGCGGACAAGGTCATCGTTTCTGAGCCGACTGCGACAAGACAGGCGCAGAACAGAACAATCGCTGATGTTGTGCTTGACCCGATTACTCAGAGTGTACCCGACGAATGCAGAGCGCTGACCAAGGGTGTCGGAGTGGATGTTGCCTTCGACTGCTCTGGAGCCCAGCCTGGAGTGGATGCTGCAATGGATGCGTTACGCAACAGAGGTCTTTTTATCAACGTTGCTGCAAAACCAGTGAGCTACCCGAGCCACTTGACAAGAGCTGAACTAACTTGCCACTTAGATCGTCCCTCCATTTATGCACTGGATTCTCAAGGAAATCACCCTAAAATGCACCTTAGCATATGATGACAAAGACTTTGGAGAGGTGGTCAATGAATTCGCCAAGGGAAGCTTTAATGTTAAGTCAATGGTAACAAGCCGGATCTCCCTAGAAGACGCGCCAAAGGCGTTTAGCGAATTGGTCAACAAAAAGGACGACCACATCAAGATTTTAATATCGCACAAATACTGATATTGTTGTTGTGAAGGAATTACGGGCAGGGGCTGGGTTAGGAATTAGGAAGGGTGCGAGTATGTATCCTCGTAGCATCGAATACCTCTAGTATGACTCGGCGATATATTACCCCTGAGCAGAATAATTACCTTGACCGCCCGTCATTTGATAAGTCCGGGTAATAATAGTACTCTAACGCTTGTTACATCATAATCGTGATAGTCAATGGATAGAGATATTTTTCAAGTGCTGATATGTCAAGGAATCAATTCGTTACATTGCTTTCTATCAGTGTCTGAGAGATGGGGAAGCGTAGTAGTAAGTGTTCGGAAATTGATCGTAATATGGCTATCATTGTAGTGAGGGAGGTACTTATAAGGCAAGCTTCGGTATTTCATATCGAGATTTCCATTTGTCCACTGTGAATTATGGCCGTCTTTTAACCCTAAGATCGACTGGGTTATCAGATAGCTGCATAGGTACACTTCATAGCCTCTACCCCCATTCAGGTTGATCCCTCCGACGATTCCATCATGTAATCGGTTTGATTTGCTATAATATTGGCGGTCAGGATTGCAAATGCTTGTAAGTTTGATAAAGAGGCTGGATATACCTCAAGGGCCTGGTGTGCGTGTCACTTCCACTGCGGCTCCTTCCATACCATTCCGAGTCTTTGAAAGTATTGGAAGAGTGCTCCTCGAGGCGCAAAACCGGAACATTAGAACTGCCACGCTGCGATAAAGCTTCCTGATCAATCAGTCAGTATGTCGTGGGGTCGAAAGTACAGACTAGTGCGTTGCTTACCCTCAATCAGTCCCAACTCGCCAAAGCCCAAAATTTCAATGATCCAAGGAGTGAGGATAGCCAAAACGCCGAGGGTCAGAATGGAGAAATAGGTCGGAGGCTCCATTGCAAACTCATATGCTTCAGCCGCTGCTTTCTCGAGAGCCATCTTCACCGCCTCCCCCATGGAACAGCTAATATTGATCATCTCAGCCAGGCCAGTGAGAATATGTTTGGGTATGCCTTTCCGCCACCTATAACTGCATACTATATTGCCAAGGTTGGCTTTCAGCTTCAGGTCATTCGCGGGAGTCATCATTATCTGCTTTAGCACTTCGCGGGCAGCCTCTTTCGGGGTAGAAGCAATGTGGACACAGATATTTTCTGGCCCCACTGGTGTCTTCCTCTCTCTTTTCTTCATCAATGGGTTCCACCATGTTTGGTAGGTCACTGCAGCTGATGAAGCAAAGTGCCATTGAGTTGGGTGCTATTGTGTTTGGTGCTATTATGTTTGGTGCTATTATGTTTGGTGCTATTATGTTGGGTGTTATTGTGTTGGGTGCTATTGAGTTGGGTGCTATTGTGACCTTGAACCCTTCGGTGGCTTGGTTCTTCGTAATAGAAGGGGGAGTAGAGGGCTGTTTGACCCAGTGTCGTCAAGAAAATAGGAAGATAATTTGGTACGATGGTGAGGGGATGCTTAGAAGATATTTAAAACTCATTTCGATGATGATAACTTTCCCAGTTTGACAACACGTGAAAGGTTCATGTCATTTGTGATCGTACCTATATTCACAGGTTGACCAAGCCCTTCCCATACGGTTAACGCCCGTTCACAGCATCAGTGAAAAGCAACTGTCCATCTTTCCTCTCTTGCATCAGTCCTCTACCATCATCGTAGAGCACCGTTCCGTAGTCATTGTTACTTTATCAAAAGTAGGAGAGTCTCGACCTTCGCCATATCCAAGATGGTCGCCATTCCGCAGAATAATCAGTGAATGGTGCAGGGCGTCAATGTCGCTTTCGGAGATTTAAGACGGATCGGCATGCTGTCATGTGCCTTCTAGCTCGAGACTAACTTGTTACAAGGTCATATCTTAGGAAGGAGACTACGGTTCATAGTCTGCCTTGGTTCCAACTCCTGGCGGCTATTGAGCATTTCCATTTTTTCGTCCGTTTGGGTAACGACAGGCATATACCCAATCTGAAGTGGGAAACCTGTTATCGTCAGCTGCAGTGCCCATACTAACCAGGAGCAGTGAATATTGTAGTTTCAACTGCGTACTTACTTCCCTAGAAAACATTATCGACTGCGACAAAACAGAGCAATAGTCTATTCAATCACGTCAACGACCGGGGACTGAACAAACCCATCTCTATCCAGGATCGCGTGAGCCGGGTCATGGCCATAACTTCGATTCTCCGGCCGAACAACTGCCTGCCAGTCTCTCGGTATCTGCATGCCGTTATCGCGTCCTTCGAATCACATTAGGAATACCGTGCTTGCCCAAGATGTTGAGCTTGTCAAGGGAGCCTTGGAATCCCTTCAATGATGCTTCCCAACAGTCTCTGGCACACCCGAAATCACATCACAACGCCAAAACAAATAATCATCTGCAACTCGACAAGAAAAGGAACATGAGCACACCACTTCGACGTCACATGATAAACTTATCATGCGGCCAGGGTTTGCATTGGGACCCAATCGCCAGAAGAGGGGGGGGTGTGGGAAGGGTGCTAATATTCCCGTATCCTGGATCAAATGGTGATGGTTGGCCCTTAGTCGTTCGCGATTATCCCTCATGGTGGTCTGTCTTGAAACCCTTCCGTGGTCGGCTTGTCCTAACTTCCGTCCTTTGCCGCTAGCGGCCAGAGAAGAGGAGAAAGACTCGACGATGAGAAAGCTGGTTTGTCCATCGAGCAACACGCCTTACCCGTGGGATCATACCCTCCCGTTCCGGACCAGATCAAGTGTTTATCTCTTGCATTCGCGCCCGCGATTGCAGATCAGAATTCCGCCGAAGCAAACCCAGAGTGAAGTGAGTCAGGATTCTGGAACAGGTGCCTTCGCCTCTAAGCGCCCGTTACCATGTCGTGGGCGATCATAAGGCAAGTCGAGACGAGCTATGCCATTTCTCGGAGATTTTGTAATGCTCCACCACGCCACAACCTTTAGGACGTGGGTATCGTTTGACTCATCCATGGTCAATATCAAAGAATCGAGTTGATCGCCAGACGCTCGGAGATGCGGCAGTTCATTTGCGCATTGAAAAGATTGCCTCTTTTTCTGGGGATATATTTGGTGGCGCACAGCCACAAACTATGCCGATCCATGCAGCACCATGCAGCTTTCAGCACTGTTGGAACGGGGAGTCCGATTCGATGGCAGGGCAAGGTCCAGAGATAATCTCAGAGTGCAGACGATTGTCCCAAGATCCCTTGGCATTGCATCGCAGAAATCCGTTTCCGAAGGGGCATGATCCGGCACGACTCCTAGCAACCAGCGTATTCCAGGGACACTGTCACACTGATGACAACTGGGCCCTGGGGTTGTGTTGCATAATCCTTCGTATATCGAATGCGGTTCCTTACGAGTTACACCAACTATGAAACGTGGAGCGTCAGCAATAATGTGAGAGCGCGACAGGCCGCGAGCCCACATGTTTGGTCTCCTTGCACATACTGGTACGTGGGATACGGACGTTGAATGACCTTGTGTTTAATACACAATGCTGGTTGGCCCCGCAGTAAGACATCGTGGCGAGTTGGAGACCTGGAGAGGGGTTTATTGCCCACTCGGGTTACGCCTATCTTCATCCTTGGAGTCGACCTACTACCTATACGGACGTATCGGTTGAAATCATCGTGATGGGCACAATTTGGTCGGATTTAAAGACGCTACGAGACGCTCCGCCTTCCGACCCGGCCCCATTGTGAGACTTTGGTTGATATCAGGAACGGTCCGCTGGTCTGTGGACCCATCAGGAGCACCAGGCCACCAGCTGAGGCGCCCCCAGAATGTTCCTGTTGGCGTTACCCATTAAAACCCGCCACTTCAAGGTAGCACGATGATGGTAGAAACATGTCCTATGTTCTCGAGTCGGGTTCGTATATCAAAGGTGGATATGCGCACAATGTGACCTGGCTGTACGTGTGTGATTTAGAGTCGAAAGCTGTCCACCATCGGATATCAAAATACTCTCTGGCACCAACCCGATGATGCACAAGACAAGGTTAAGCGTGCCTTGTTTGATACCATACCACAATGGGCTTGTCCAAGAGCAACCAAAGTAATTGTATCACTCAGCAACCCATCTCGTAAACAATGGCTGCTGAAAGCCATCAGGATGGAAAATCTCGGACAATCACTACCCACAGACAATTTGTGCAGGACAGAAGATCCTTCAGGTCACTCCAACTGGATTACAGCACAGACGGCAGACGACAAAGTCATGTGGATGGTGTTTCTGACCATTGCCATGCTTCCTTCAAGCATACTGGACACCATTCGTTCTTGACCATAGGGCTCCAAGGGCACTAACAAGTGTGCTTTAAGCGATTGATGGGTCCATGAGCCTTCTCAGAGTGCTCACAATGCGAGTCGGTGGAAGCTGGAGCACGATAATCGGCTTGTGTACTCTAGCGGTTCCCGTTTAACACTCCTTTGACCAAATCAGCAGAGAATGCAGTAGGCAAGTCATCCCCGCTAATAGACGAGGCTCCAAGATGTACATCCTCCATCCACCATACAGTCTTCAACATCACTTTTCGAGAAAGACTGCGGGGTTGACCCAGACACCACCAATAATCCACCATCCCACGCTAACCTCTGGCCTGTTGGCGGCCCTCGCAAAAGACGTTGGTAAAAGGAGCGCCCCGAAAAGACCGGGGTAAGCCCAAAGCTTTGGCCAATTCGTTTGACTGCGGCTGCGAATCGACTTCTGAATAGCCAAAGTCACCGTCTTACTGGCTCAACCACTTGTCCCTACTGACCATTCAGCGTGGTTGAGCAATCTCTCTCCCACACAGTTGAGAAGACCCTTCCAGCTCTATGCGGGATTGGCGCCGCTTCTGGCCTGAGAATGGAGGACGCGGCTTTAGTTTTTCCTCAGCCGGCTGAGCCGAATCCAGGTCTCGTCCCGTCATGGTGCCTATTGAGCCTCGATGATGCATGCTTTGCCCATTGCGGGATCCAGATACCTGTCAAAAGTGGTTCCAAGGAGGCGTTCTAACCTCCCCGCGACGCCGTCAACATGGCTCCACGACAAGGGACTGGTCTTGAAGGGATTAGACGCGAGGAGACACATTTGTTGAGACTTGAGAGGAGTAGGAGGGAGGAGCGAATTCCCTCAGGAGGGGATACCTAAGGCGCAGACTGGCAATATGCCTGATGAAGATCACTCATATGCATCCTGCTTCTCACCTCTTCGCCTCTCCCGCTCTCTCTTCATTCTTTTGTTGACACACCATATTCCGGTTGTATATACTTACGAACGCAGAACGGACACAAACGAAGCTGTCTGACAGCAAGGGTGGCAAGCCTCTTAGTACTTCGATCTTCGGAAGTACCCTGAACAACGTTGAATTGATCCCGGCGCTTCGAAAGACACTCTGCCCCACGCGCTTCGGGCCTCGCGGGAACGGCGGGGGTACCTTTGGTGAGAGTCGTACAAAACATTCGGACTCGCCTGCGGCTCCATCGATATCCTGATCTTTCCCTCTCTTGACAGGATTGTACCTGCGCAGCGAGGATCCGTTTGCATGAATTTCTAGGTTTAATCGCAACGTGGACGCGCATTTGGCGAGTCACGTCGTAGCAGCCTTGCGAACCGAGTGGACGACTGCGTCAACGGTCTCGGTGGCCCCGGTGGCGCAGCACATCATACGAACTTTGACAACTTCAAATAAGATAATATCCCCGCAAGGCAAAAGAGCTGGAAACTTGAGTGGAAGTAGTTGATCAGTGTACGTCGTCTTATTTTCTAAAGGCACTGGTTTGCCTGCCCTTTCAAAAGTCTCTTCTCTTTGCCGCCTAAAGACGCCACCTCCTCATTGTCCTTCGTACTTCAGGCGCTGGATATTGGGCTCAGCTCATGGAAGGCTAGTGAAATACTTCCTGCGAATTCTTTGAGTGTTTGTTCTGCCTAGTCCGAGCTCAGTTTGTGGTTCAATCTGGTATCCTTCTTCTCGTTCCTTGTGCCTTCGTCCGGAGCACAGCAGCTGACTGTATCACCCACAACCAGAGTATGGGAATACCAGAACCTTCGGAGCGGACTTCATGAAGCACTTCGGAAGCAAACGATCCTACTTCGCGTCCCACCGCCTTCAATAGGCTAGCAATAGATGCGACCTCTACAGTCACACGGAGCAGGATCCCGAAATGGCATCGTATAGATCACACACCGGCGTTCCCAGACGGCCGGAGCAGTTGCTCGCCGGGACGGTTAATCCTAATTCGAAGCGTGCTCCATCCACACGAATACCACCCTCGAAAAGCGGTCCTAGCTCGAGCAGTAGCTCCAAGCAACCATCGAGTATCCCGACCCCATCTTCGTTGACTTCGTCGAAGTTGTCGAAACGGAAATTAAAGAAATCGGACGACAATAATGGAAAGACTGAGCGAACGATACCCTCCTCCAATCCTGGACCATCGTCGAAACCAGCTATAAACGCAGCTCCATCGAAAATGATCCCACCGACGAAAAGTTCGACCTATCCTCCAGCTATGTCGCCTCGTTATCGACAGCCAGATTCCAACTCATGGAGGGAGATTCCGCTGGCTCATGCCGCGCCTCGGACTCGGTTTGAGCCAACGCGGACTCCATCTTTGGTCTCTGGTTCATCGGCATCGACCCAAGACAGCCCCAACTCCAACCACATCCGAAGAAAAGCATCATCAATCGGGCGCCCCGGAAATCGAAATCGATCCGGGTCCACATCTTCCCATGATGAAAGCCGGCTTGGAAAGCCCATCGGTGGCTTCATCGACCCGTTCCAGGACTCTGTTCTTGGGATCACCATGCCTACTTCCACATCTGTGCTCTCCCACATGTCTCCAGCCATGCCGAGTCCACATGATGCAGGAAGCAGCCCTTTCTACTCCGGTGCCACTGATCCAACTCCTTTAAGGACCGATAATTTGCCGCCTCCAACGCTACATTTTACTCTTGGCAACGGTAGCCCCTCGACGCGGTATTCTGAGTCGCCCGGGGTCTTTAGCATCAGTTCGACACCGACGTCGATATCGTCTTACTCGCCAGGAGTTCTTGCCGCCGCTCCGGGCCTCTCCGTCATTCCAAATACTCGACCGGACCGGAAAAAGAGCCCAAAAAGTCGCCCACCAATAACTCGACGAAAGGGTACTGCGGACGACGATGATGGGTTGTCATCTGTCAGAGAGTCAACAAGCTCATCGTCCACCATTCGAGCTCCTGAACCCACCAGAATGCAGGACCAGAAAGCGACACGAAGACTATCCACTCCCCCTCCAAGCCCACCGCTCCAGAAGCCATCTATTCCACCAGTCGTCACTCGTGCCAAGACTGCCCCAGAGTATATTCAGACCGTCAATTCGACAATAAGTCCAAGGAGATCGCCTCAGCCGCCTTTCAATAAGACCGCACCATTAAACCCCCCCGAATTTGCGCATTTGGGGAATCCGCCCGCGGTCTCTGAGCACCCAAATGCGTCATCTCCGCTCAAAGCTGGCTCCAAGCCCATACGACCAAGTAGGGATGGAACGCCTGATATGTCATCCCTTCGAGAAGCCTCTCCAGTCATTCAAAGCAACCTAACACATCTTCCTTCCCAAACTCACCGCAGGAAATCCTCTAGTGATTCTCGATCACAGTCAACAGGACCTCCACCTGCAGCCCTCAACAATACTCCTCGGACAAGGTTCGGCTTCGCTAGTAGGACGTCCTCTCGCAATCCGTCGCCAAGCCCCAGCAACTCTTCGAAAGTGTCGGTGCTATCGCCTTCATATATCTCTACTAGTGGGCTGAAGACACCAGACCTGAGCGAGAGTGAGCAGCCGCCTCCCACCAAATTACGACGCCCAAGCGCTGGGTCTTCTACGGGTGCCAGTCCCAAGCCGCGTTTCGGTTTCTTCCGGCGAAAGACGGAACCTGCTGTAACCACTGCCTCTACACATCCTGCAACGCCAATGGAGAATCTGACCGGGAAGGACAAGAAACTCCGAAAGGGTCCTGCGGCGGGTACCGGCCACGAAGGCTACGGCCGGTACGGACATTCAGCTTCGACCAGAGGCCGAAGTGGAAGTACTACAAGCGGGACCAACAGTGCAGCAAGCGGGGGACGAAGCGGAAGTGCAGGCAGTCGGTCATCGCGGAAGAGTAGTGTGGATAATGAGCAAGAAATTGATGACTTTCTTAGTTCAAGGATTGCGCCTGTCACCTTGAGAGGCCAAGGAGTCGCAGAGGTGGTTGACAGGAAAGGCAGTGCTAGCAGTCAAGAGTCGATGACTGAGCAACGGAAGCCGATCCGCGGGAAGCTGACTTTGCTACCCTCGCCTATGGAACACGGGCATCAGCAGATGACAGAGCCGGTTAAGAGACGTACATATCTCGCGAATGGACTGAGTACTTTGGCATCGCGAAGAATCTCGAGGAGATCCCAACTCACCCCTGACTCTAACACGCCAGCTCCAACACCCCTCAATGTCGCTGCTTCTATACGTAGTCCAGAACCTGCCTTGGGAAGCGCAACCTCTCGCGCAGACAGTAACGACAGCACCGCCAGTCGAAACTGGTTCCGCCGCAAGGGCAGCGATGCACAATCGCAGGCTTCGCAGTCATCCCATCTGCAACCGCAAAAGCCGGCAAAAAAGTGGAATTTCTTTCAAAGAACGATGGGTGCCTCTGCAGCAGCAGCTGCTTCCCCTCGAAGAGATGGGTCAACCTCCACTCCGAGTATGGCATCCAGTGGGGAGACAGGAGTAGCTCCGACCAAGTACGCAATCAATAGGACCGTAGCGCACTATGCTATGTCAGATCCGTCTGCACCGGACCGCATCGATATGGCCGAGTTGGAGAACATCCTGCGCGAAGCTGATATTGGATGCGATGAGGATGCCAAAGAGAAAGAGATCGGAGCCGAAATTTGGGCGCACTCGCTGGTCTCGCCAATCCAGGACGACAATGAGCGATTGCAGAAACCCAACGATAAAGCCGCATACAAGCAATCTATGCTATTACCGCCGCCTCCTTCACTGCCTTCGGATCTTCAAAACGGCATGCTTCAAAGACCTGCTAGTCCTAAGGTGTTTTTGCGCAAGGAACAATCTCCCGTCAACCCTTCCAATCTTGCTAGGGCCGCTGATGTGAGCCCACTTGTTGGGCCTATAGCGTATATTGACAAGTCGAGGACTTCAATTAGCCCTATGCAAGGCCCGGATAATGAAGGGGGCGAGCATTGGCAGACGGGCGACGCTCGGCAACTGCAGATTCATCCTCAGCCACCCCATCGGAGCCGTCTGCCTCAGGTTGGCCGAATCCCACAAGTCGTCTCGAAACGGGATAGGGAGATTGCCCCATCGACGCATTCCTTTTCTCGGCCATTTGTCCCAAACGTACCAAGGCCGGGCATGTCGCCACCACTCCAGCAGATGGCTACAGTGGATGGACCTCTTGGAGCTGGTATGTTTGGACAACAATATCAGGGCTCCCTAGCGTTCACGGATGTGCGATATGGGAATACTCTCCCGCCTACACATCCACAAGCCTTCAATTCCGAACCGGGTATTGCTTCAGCACAACAAGAAGTAAATATGTCGGAAATGTCACGACACGGGATTCCTTTCGGCGATGGGCAGGAATTTTTGCGACTCGCCATTCGACAAAATTCCGAGGCCTCTACAACGAGCAATTCTACTACTGGAGCCATTCCAATTCCAATCGCTTTGATACCGCCTAGGGGAGCACCGGTGACTGAAGATGAGGTCTGGAACGAGTACAACGACTTCATTGACGATGTCGTTACCCCCCGCACGCCGCGTACACCTGGCACGGGGTCTAGCCTAGGAGCTCCGTTCCACCATCATTATCTGGCGACTAATAATCCTACTAATGGCTTGGTAATGGGCGGTGCCGGCATGTCACAGCATCCTGGGAGCGCTATCCGGCATCAACAGCTTGGTCCGACGTCCATTCAAAATGCCCAAGCCGCCAGCAACGGCCTCATGATAACTGTTCCGCATCATCAGCATCTACAACCTCCACCACTTCCACAACTGCGTCCACCTCATATTCAGTTGCCTTCAGTTGACCAACTCGAAGACATCCCAAGGCTTTCGGTTACTACGCCGAATAGTCCGCTGTCTATCACAGATTTCCTTAATGCATACGGTGACAGGAACACTCAATCAAGCTTTGGCTCTCCTTCTCACGGAAGATTCAGTTCCGGTACGAAGCAGAGTTTGGAAGTCGAGGATCGCCCTTCGGTCTCAGAAGTTGGCAGCATCCGCGTCGGAAGTCTTGTCAGAGGATTGAGGGACCTTAAAACAGCTGAACAAAGCCCACTACTATCGCGGGATTCTCAAGGCTCCGAGCTTTCGCACTTCTCATCACCTTCACAGCCACGTCACACCGATCCCAAATCCCAACTTCCCTCAACCAAAGACCGCGACAGTCGACCGATTGCAATTGCCCAACAGGACCAGGAAGAGACGGGATCGATGGGGAATCTGCGGTTCGGCGCGCTCATGACGAGCAAGTGGCTGTCTTTTGGACGAGTGTTGTTCAGTCCGGCACATTATGAAGTGCAGGAGCGCAGTGAGAACCGCGTCCTGATATTGGATGGGCTTGGAAAGGGTAAGCCTCACCCCGACTTTTATTTAGCAAGTGTCCCCTAACATTCCCTTAGATTGGTCGTACTACGCCGCCCTCACTTATCCAAACGCCACCATCTACAGCCTTGGTCCCGACCCCACCATCGCCTCCCCAACGTCCTCTAACCCAGCCGGACAATCTCCCACAAACCATCGCCATATCCATCACCCGTACCCCAACGCCCCATTTCCCTTCCCCCGCGGCTTTTTCGCCTGCGCCGTCTTCCGCTTCCCACAGGCCGTCCCCGACTCTGCTTACAGCGCCACCCTCTCCGAGTGCAAGCGCGTCCTCCGGCCCGGCGGCTACCTCGAGGTCTTCGCCCTGGACCTCGACCTCCTGAACATGGGTAATCGCGCCCGTCGCGCCGTCCGCAGCCTCAAGGAACGCATGCAGTTTGCGCAACCGGGGGTGAGCTTGAAACCCGTGGCCGACAACTTGATGCGGTGCGTCGGGAGGAGGGGGTTCGAAGGCCTGCAGCGGTGTGTGGTCGGCGTCCCTATCTCAGGGCCGATCACGCGCAGCATGGATGAAAGTGGCAGTGGCGAAGAAGGCGATGCGGAAGGTAGCAGCGGTGGGAGCAAGGGGAAAGCCAAAGCGGACGAGCAGAGTGTCGAGTCAGACGCCTCGGATGGTGGCGACGCAAACATCACCAAAATGGTTGCGAGAGTTGGAAGATGGTGGTATACGCAATGCTACGAGAGCGGTGCAACATCGTCGGATAAAGAGACGGGGCAGAGCATCTGGGATGACCGGACATTGCTGCGAGAGTGTGAGCGTAGGGGAACGAATTTTAGGCTGTTGATCTGCTATGCGCAGAAGCCGATGGTGGTGAAGCGAAGGACGGTCAGTGTTTGAGAGGCGCCCGGACATTCTCCTATCTTCTTTCGATTCGATGGAGAGCGAGCCGGACTCATTCACCGTTTATTTTTGCATGGCTCTTCTTTCGGGTTCGGTTTGCTGCGTTCAAGCGGGGGTTCTATCATTTCATTCGGACAGCTACCTCCCTCCATACGTACTGTCCCCGGCATTCTCATTTCGTCTCATGGTTCGTTTTCATCTTAGCGGGGGTTGCTTTTTATTCGCCATTTCTGCATAGCGATGGGTTGCAGTTTCGAAGCGGGATACGCAGGGACGAGGCGCAAGCTTCGCTGATCCGATGATACCCTGGATGTCAACCAATGTACGGCAGTTAGATGATTCATTTGTGATGAAGGTTTCTGTCATGATCTTGAAGGGAGGGTTGGAACATGCTGGCAATGGACAACTACTAGCGCAAGGACTTCGATGTGGAGAGATGACGGTTTCATGGAACTATGATTTAAATGATTATTATGGAAGAGGGGAAAGAGTATGGGAAATATTTTTTAATGACACCTCTTGTACTCCAGTAATCCAGTCCTATCTCATTCTTTGGTGCAAAAAGGCGCCTAACATAGGGTGTTGCTGCCTATTGAGGGCCGGAGTATATTGTTCTGATCCCCGTTAAGTAACCATCACAACAGGAAATGGACACCGTGATGTCATATTGAATTTAGCCTCCATTAGTAAGCACTATTGGGAAGACTTTAATCAAGAAGCAACCTGTAAGACAAAGCTCGGGCGATCCGTAGGCCAGCCATTTTGAAGCATACCAAATTAACTCCAGCAGAGCCTTTCCCTCACTCCCCTCATTTTCTTTCGCTTCTGATTTCTCCCACGCCTTCAATCTCGTTCATGTTGACGCCAAAACACTTCCCTTGGCATAAACGAGACACATTGCATATCTTAGCAAGACAATGGTATTACATTCTGTTCCTGCCAACGTACATATATATACAAACATGCATCCGTACGCCACCCATATGCCCTCGAAATCCAATTCATGAGCCCTTTCCGGACAACAGGCTGACCTTCGCCCCATGGAACGGACTCCATATCCCTCTAACACTCGGGTTGTCGCTCCTGACGGGCTTATTCCATCGCTTGACCTTATCACCACTCGCGTTCCTCAAAATCAGGGCTTTCTGGTATATCTGCGTCGGCTCCAGATTCTTCACGCATATCGCTCGGATCCGTCCGTTGATGAAGGTGCCTTTGATGACGGGGTGGTGGTTTGGTTTGGGGGAGACGTTGATTTCAATGGAGGGATGTTCTTTTGCGAAGTGGGCAAGGCGGTGTTTCAGGAAGGATCTGGTTATGGATCATTAGACACGCAAGTCGCATGTAGACGATAGCGGAAATACGTACACCATGCCCTTTGAGCTGCCCCAGTAGTCGCAGTAGTGGAAGTCTATTCGCTTGCATTGGAGAATGAAGGCGCCGACGCCATTCTATTTCGCTGTTAGCCTTGTGAATGCATGTAAGACATTCCGGTGACGCGTACCTGGCCCTTGGCCATCGCAGAAAGCGCTTGCAGGCCCATTGTTCACGAATGCATGACTTATCGGACTCGATGGATGGGTGAGGAATAGAACTCGCAGCTGCGTGAAATGGATGAAGTTGAAAATATTGCCAAGACGGCGTATTCCGTGTCATCCTTGCAGCCTTGAAGCCTTGCATGGATTGATCGCAGACTTCAGTTGCGACGCGACTTTCACTTTGTGGACTTGCACTTTTTGGCATCGTGTCTTGCCAAAGTCCATCGTTTGATTCTTCCTTCATCTTCGTTTTTCATTTCGGACTTGCCTTCTACTCTTCCATCATTTGAACTCTCTTCCGTTCATGTCATAACTTGATCCCGACTCCCAACTAACATGACGGACAAGCTCCCCCCAAACCTCCTTGCGCTCTTCGCGCCGCGTCCGCCTCTCCGGTATATGCCACCGTCTGACCGCGCGCCCGAAGAACGAAAAACAGCTACGATAGTCGGAGTTGCAGCCTTTCTCCCGGCTCTGAAAGAGAAGGAGGCACAGGAGGATAAGTCGAAATACACGGAGAGCTGGCTGGAGAAGAAGGAAAGGGTGAAGCTCGAGAAGGAGAAGAAGAGAGAATATATCATCAACGGGGCAGTCAAACTTTGTGAGTTCGACAGGCGGGTTACGACATGATTTTGCGCAAGGCAGCTAACGGATTCTAGACAAACCCAGCGATGACCCGAATATTCGAGGAGATCCGTTCAAAACTCTCTTCGTATCGCGGCTCAGCTACGATACTGAAGTCAAGGACTTGGAGAGGGAATTCGGCAGGTTTGGGCCGATTGAGCGGGTATGCCTTGACAAGTATTGTGAGTAAGAATTAAAGCTAACATCAACCAGATTCGGCTCGTCCAAGATACACATGAATCCGAGAAGAAAGGCTCGAAATCTAAGAAGAAGAACCGCGGTTATGCTTTCATCGTCTATGAGAAGGAACGGGATATGAAGGGTACATCTTCCCCATTTTCTGTTTCACACTCCCGTCATCCCACAAATCCCTATATCCAAGGTAATTTCAAAGTATTTTCGACTAACACACGGCACTCGCGCTTCTCTTATACAGCCGCATACAAAGAAACCGATGGTATTCGTATCAAAGACAGACGTGTTTTAGTAGACGTCGAACGCGGCCGTACAGTCTCTGGTTGGCGACCACGCCGATACGGCGGTGGGCTCGGTGGTCGCGGCTACACCAAGGCGCTCCCTCTCCGACCGGCCGTTGCAGGCGGCTTTGGACCTCCGACCGGACCGGGCGGCTTCCGCGGTGGCATGGGCGGTTTCCGAGGCGGACGTGGCGGTTTCCGGGGGGGATTCGACCGAGGTCCCGGTGGACGAGGAGGGTTCGGTGGTGGCGATCGCGGACCAGGCGGCTACGGCGGCCGTGGAATTGGATACGAAGCGAACGGTTTCGGCGGTAGAGGAGCCCCAGAAGGTGCGCCGTCCGGACCGAGAGGACCGCGAAGCGGTGGGTATGGTGGTGGTGGCCGTGGACCACCCGATGGACCGAATGGATCAGGATATGGAGATCGTGGAGGCGGGGACCGTGGAGGCGGGGATCGTGGAGGTGGAGGTGGAAGGTATGACGATCGCCCACCGTATGGAGGACGAAGCGGAGGATTCGGAAGCGGGAGTAATCGCGAACCCCTCCGACAAGGCAGCGGATACCGAGACCGGGATCGCGAAGGTGGGTATGGACGCGACGACTACAGGAAACGACCCCACGATGATGACGGCTACGACGACTCCAGGAGTAAACGGCGATATTAATGAAGAGCGGCGTCGCAATATTGAGGGAAGAGGCTTCCGTTTCAAGCTTGTTAGTCTTCTCGTGGCACCGAAGAGCGAAACGGTCGAACTACCAGTCAGTGCCGGTACAGCTCACACGGTTGGTATCCTCGAGGTAACTCCTTGCGTTCTCTCTCGCCCCATTCTCGCGATAGGGTAAGCGGTAAGGCATCTCCACGCTGCACCCATCACGGCGGCTTTTCCGCATCCAGCTTGCAGTACTCGACGGTGTCTTCTCCCGCACCAACTTTCTTCTATCGGAAATCCACCTATCGTTCGTCTCGGAAAGGCGCACTCAATGGTACTCACCGGGTTTGTGGTTGGACTTGGTCACATCGAAGGTTCATGGTATCTTTCTTTTCTTACTTGTCGTTATTACCATCTGCGTGGACGTCACTTGAACCGAACTCCGTTCATGGTGAGTTCTTCGGTGGCTGTTTCCGCATGGCGGACCTGAGTTCTCCTTCGTCGACGTCGGAGGTAAGGATTGGGGGTCGATTTCTGGCTGTCCGCACGCTGGTCTTCGTTCCGTGGGCAAGGTTCATCTGGGAAGGGTCGGTAAAACAACGGACTGCATTACGGTTCGGGTCGGTCAAAGTCCTCAAATCAGTGCCAGACTGTCAGTGTATGTTACAGGTATCCAGCATTAGCATCCAGATCAGCGAGTGTCGACTCAATGGAAGGATTGCTAATGGTTCCAAGTGGCATAAGTACTGGTGTCTGGTAGGTACTAGATGTTGTGCATTGCAATTCCATTAGTGACTTATCCGGTCGTGAACCAACTCCGATCGTCTTCTGATGTCCCGGATGTCCCAGAGTCTACCGTATCCACGTAGCCGAAAACACGATCCTCTGAGGAGTTCGGATTACAGGTAATTAATCCACCGAAGATATCTAGCTATTTCGGACTTTCCCTTCTCTTGTCGGGTGAACACCTGTGTATCCAAATACCTAATGAACGCCCCCTCCCCACATCCCCACCGTCCCGAGGCCAAAAGTTGGTACGGAATATCGTAGGAAGGACGGCCCGCTTGAGCCCGTCGCATAGCCGGATTTCCCGCATTGCGCCGTCTTCGGGGGAGCCAAACCGGTCGCCGGTGTCATCATACCGCACACGCAAGCGGGAGCCTTGGGAGAACGTTCTCAAAGGATTACGAAATGGTTTTACGTAGCCCCAGACTTAGGAGATGATAGTCAGGGCGAGGGCCATTGTTAGCAAGTGAGGGCAGGGAAGAAATTGAGATGGTTATCCCTCGGAAGTGTGAACGCATGCGTGGACTCGGCATGGCATACTTCACCAGAAAGTGATTCACCGCAAGAATTTCCAGCTCATGTATGATGTACGGGATGCCTACTAGGACGAGCGAATATCTCTCCGGCGGCTCCTCAACGCCTATCAGGGACAGTCCCTTAATGGTGGCTACAGCCTACCTAAGCCCATCTACTACGTACTCCAGCACGCAGTCCAGACCTACCGGCCGGCACTAGCAAAGTACCTATGCGTATCCCACTCAACTACGGCAGCATCATGTGGTCATCAGTACATGCAGGCGTGCAGGAATTACAAAGGACCTACTATGTATGATAGGACCAGGGCTTCTAAGCATGTACGAATGTGCAAATCTGGACAAATAACGCGGTCCCATCGACCACTCCAACGGGATCGCATATCATTCGCTATTTTCCCTTGTCTATCTCTCCGACCTGCGGGATCGCTCTCCCCCATCCACTCGCTTCTGGTTCATGGAATCGATTCTACAATAATAGTGTGGGACTGGATGGAGTGATCGGTTGAATGGAGTCGCTAGCAGTTAGCACATGGGAAACAAGGGGGTTTGGTTGCAACCCTTCAACCATGGAATCGGAGCAAGTGAGATCTTGCTTCGCATGGACTGGGCCATCCATCCCGAACCGTCGAGGAACGACAAACAGATCGATGTGGCCGTCTCCTGTCGGTCACGTTAGCCAAGCCCGATAGCCAGGGAAGGCAGCCCGATCTAGCCGTCCCGAAGCGAATCATATTGGTTCCATCGTGGGGCTAATGGGCCAGACCGAACATAGAAGCGAAGTCGCATTGTTGGGTAACTTTGCCCTTGATGCCCTGATCACATTGTCTAAGTCTTACTATTCCCGTATCGAGCTGTCGGCTGATTTAGCCACTGGATCTTTCAATTCGCCCTTGACTTCCATTCACTCTCTTCGTTTCTGTGTGTAACCTGAGCGTTCTGCTTTTTGCACTGTCTTCGTGCGATCTTGATATTAAGTTCCGCTTGTGTGCCTTGCCCTACCATGTCGTCGAGCGAACCAGCCCCAGCTAATCCGACCAAAGGCGGGGTAGAGGAGGGAACGGCGCCGGCAACGGAGGCGCCAGTGCCCGCAACAGAGGCACCAGCACCCGCGACAGAAGCACCAGCGCCCGCAACAGCGCCCGCGGAAGGCGTTACGCAGTTTGCACCGGAGGCGGCTGTGTCGCAACAAGAAGAGCCCGCTCAACCCGCTCAAGTTTCTATTGCTTCAATTTCACAAGCGGTGCCAATTGAGGTGGAAGGAGATGTGGGTCCTTTTCCCTTTAGTGATATTGGAGCTTACTTAATTGAGCATGGGGCTAATCGTTTCATGATCGCTAGGGCGACACGAGTGATTACGATTCTGCGCTCGGAGACGATACGTGAGTTTCTTCGGAGTCAATGTGCTTTGTCGCCCAGATCTAAATGGAAATGCGCAGAGCGAGCGTCACGACCTCGTTGAAATCGGCGCTATTAGACTACCAGTATGAAAATGGACGAAGATACCAGGGCTATGGCAAAGAGAAGTATTTCCTGCCCGCCGACGAAACCGAAGCGGACCGGCTGGACCTCGTCTCACACATGTTGAACCTCTGCACTGGCGGCAAACTGCATTTCGCTCCGATCGGCGACAACCCGCAACGCATCCTCGATCTCGGGACGGGCACGGGAATTTGGGCGATTGATATGGGCGACCAGTATCCTTCCGCCGACGTGCTCGGAAACGACCTTGCAGACAACCAACCCCGGAACGTGCCACCCAACGTCCGCTTTGAGATCGACGACATCGAGCAAGAATGGATCTATTCGGAGGGGTTCGATTATATCCATATGAGGATGATGGGAGGCGCGTTGAAAGATTGGCCGAAGTTGCTGCGGCAGGCCTTCAAATTCACCAAGCCTGGTGGGTGGGTCGAGTTTATGGACTTTACGATGACGTTCAATAAGGCGTCCCCGAGTGGTCATTTCGAGCGAGGTTGCCCCGTCGACAAGTGGACTGTAGAATTGAAGGACTTGATGCACGGCATTGGATTGGACCCAGAACCGGGTCCAAAATTGCTCGGATGGTTCAAAGATACGGGCTTCACCAACATCAACCAAAAAACTTTCCATATTCCAGTTGGTACTTGGCCAAAGGATAAGACTATGGTATGCCTATAATCGGTGTATACTCTGTTTACATGTGGATCGCACTGACGCTTCTTCCAGAAAGAAATCGGAACCATCAACGCCATCCAGTTCATGGAAAACTTGGAAGGCTTCACTCTTCGACCGCTGACGATGAAAGGGTGGAAGAGGGAGGAGATCATGGTCTTCATTGCTGACGTCCGGAAAGATTTTAAAAATTCAAAGCTGCAGATGCAGCACGACGGGTAAGTTCGAGAACATGGCCCAGAGAACGGCCGCTAATATAAGCCGACAGATACGCGGTATGGGCCCAGAAGCCTCTCGACTAATGATATCTGGATTGATGTTAGCGGGAATGAATGCAGGCGCCTAGTGGTCATCCGAGGGACAGCGAATGGTGGAATCGGAAAACAATACCAGGCAGTTTCCTATCCCGTTCCAACTTACCTTCTTTTGTGACTATTGGACAATTGGCCTGGTATCATTTGATGCGGCGGATGGGGGGATGGTTGCATGGGACATCTTAGCTTTCTTCTTTCTCAATCCAATCTCTTGCGATTCGAAACGCTGTTATGGTCCTTGCGAATACCTAACACATAAGGTTCAGAAGAAACCATAACCCTTCCACCATGCATATCCAACAACGACCAGGAGACTGCCCGCTGCCCAGCCCACATTCATCTCGACAACGCTCCATACCCAGAGCGTTCCAATCGGCGGGGCCCTCTTCATGACAGCGAAATAACCATATTTATTCCCCGAGTGCACCATGAACGCCCCGGCAGCCACGGACGTGACGAAAAATAGGAGATCCCGGAATATCTTGAGACGCTTCGCGGTCGGCGTATGCAAGAAGTACGTCGCGAGCAGGAGGACCGGAAAAGCTTGGAGGCTCCGGAACCAGATCTCCTGCCAGACGATCTCCTGCCGATACTGGTTGTACACGAGCACGTCCAGGGTAAATCGTAACATCGACAAGGAGGCCGTGTAGAAAATGGCTTCGCCAAAGGCGCCCAGGGGATCGTCAGACATGAACTCCCAATCGCCATTTTTCGTGTCACTCGTCCCTTCGGCGTTTACGAACGGCTTCCCCTTCGCCAGCAAAGCTTGCCTCTCCTCCGCGAGGTCATAGAGCGTTTTAGCTGGTCGATGGGACGCATCCCAGTCGGGATGGGATAGAGGGATGTCATCGGTGGGTTTCATGTTTTTCTTGTCGGCTTTCGTTGCTGCGCGTCGTTCACGGCGGTTCCGTGGACCTTCTGACATGGCTTCTCTGCCGGTTTATTCATTCAACCAGCGAGGGCGTTGTTGTTTTTATTAATATTATATATGAGATGTAAAAAAGGGGTGACGTCTTTGTTGCAAATGTAAAGGTCAGGGACTTCAATCTTCATGTTAAATGTTCATGTTATTATTACAGCTAGGACGACTATGGATTTCAGTACCGTAATATAATTAGTCCTCCACCCAGGGGTAACTACCATGCCAGGCAAAAACCTAAGTATGCGGAATCAACAACAATCAATTCATTATTATTGTTTACTCCGGGCTTGTGAAGCAGCCGATGATTACATCCAACGGATGAAGGAACGCTGTGCTATACTGTAAACTTACCTATATGGTAATTAACATACGAATTACAGATGTGCGTAAAGTTGAGTGAATTCAGTGCAGGGATGTCGGGTCGAGTGCCCCATAATAAAAATCCGCCTGCCAAGATTTCGACTTCCACGCCGCGACAACTGAACTGAACCTTCCAGAGGCATCGCACAACTTCATACTCAATTGTGGTTCAATCAAGTCGCAAAAATGGCAAAAAGAAAGGACTTGAAGTTGAAGGTGGCGCTGAACCGACAAAAGGGCGCGAATTACACCAAAGATCACCAGAAAAAGTTGCGTCAAGAGGCCGAGAAGCTAAAGCGGGCCGCAGCGCAACAGCAGAAACCAGTTCATGATGAGGATGAGGATATTGGAGACGAAGATGACTCGGATGGCGGTATAATGCTTGTCACTGAGGAGGATGGTACATCGCGTACCGTGGCCGTTCTGCCAGATGAAGAGGAGGATGAGGAGGGGTCGAGCGACGAAGATGTGGCGGTAGGTTTTCTCACGCTCGAGAAACATGGATACATGCTAACGAGAATAGTACGATATGAACGCGCTTGACGACGACAGTTCAATATATACGTCCGATGAAGGCGAGAAGGAGGAGAAAGATCAAGACGAGCCAGAGTCCGACCATTCAGAAGATGAAGAAGACATCCCCCTCTCCGACCTCGAATCTCTTTCCGATACCGAAAAAGGCGACCTTGTTCCTCACCAACGCCTCACTATTAACAACCATGCCGCCCTCACCTCCGCGCTCAACCGCATCTCCCTGCCCTACGCCAAACTCCCCTTCTCCGCCCACCAATCTATCACCGCCGACACCACGACCTCGAACGCTATCCCCGACCCGGAGGACGACCTCAACCGTGAACTCCAATTCTACAACCAAGCTCAATCCGCCGCCGAGCTCGCCCGCCAGAAGCTGAAGAAAGAAGGCGTCCCGTTCAGCCGCCCGAACGACTTCTTCGCCGAGATGGTGAAGAGCGACGAGCACATGGGACGAATCAAGACACGGCTGGTGGAGGACGCCACGGCGAAGAAGGCCGCGTTGGAAGCGCGGAAGCTGCGGGACGCGAAGAAGTTCGGGAAGAAGGTCCAGGTGGAGAAGGAGCAGGAGCGGGCGAAGGAGCGGCGGGAGATGAAGGGGAAGGTCGAGAGTTTGAAGAGAAGTAGGTTTCCCCCATCACTCCATTTCATACAAGCGTGTTTGCTGACTGATTCCTGTACAGAACGACAAGGCGCCCCCATCGCCAATGAGAAGGAGGAGGACATGTTCGACATCGCGCTCGAGAAAGAGGCGCCGCGGCGCCGGTCGGATGGGCCGGGCAAGCGGGGCGGAGCGGACGCCAACCCGAAGCGGCAGAAGAAGGATGATAAGTACGGGTTTGGTGGGAAGAAGCGGTTCTCCAAGAGCGGGGACGCCACGTCGACGTCGGACATGCGAGGGTTCAGCGCAAAGGGGATGAAGAGCAACGAGTTTGGAGGGTCGTCGAAGGTGAAGAAGGCGCGGCCGGGGAAGAGTAAGCGGCAGAAGGGGAGGCCGTAGTGTGCGGTGATGCATATGGCGGATCGCAGGATCTCTCCGGTCCGATGCGAGGGTGGTTGCGTTCTCGGTTCTCTCAGCCAAGTTACATAGGAACGCAGATTTAGATTTGCTTGATATTCAAACCTCCTGCCTACGGTTTCTTATGGGGTGGGTTTACGGTACATGATGGTTCTGTCCAAGTCCAGCCGCTTTAGAAAATCAGCCAACACATGCTCCGGTGGATACGCCAACAAGCCTTCATCGTCTGTGAGGTTGTAACACCGGCTTTCATTAGACAGAACAATTAAAAGCAGAGGACAGCGCCTCTCGTCAATTTGACACTGGCAATGGATCGGTGCGTGTTCAGGAGTGGTGGGGTGGTTTGGGAACGAGTCTCGTCGGTCGACAGTCCCGTGTCGACCTCATAAGCATTCTTCATAAAGCGTCATCTCATCGCAAAAGCTTCTCGCGCTTCCATCGGCTCGGCCCAGTGTGAATCCAAATTGGGACCGATGCCCTTTCAACCCACCGATTGGTACAGCAGCAGCGGCTCGCCCACGTTCTCGATCTCCGGTATTGTGCAGCGTAGGTCGAACGCCTTCGACAGGACGATCTTGAAGATCTTCTGCACGTTGATGCTGTGGCTGGTACTGCTGAATATGAGGGGCGCTTTCATTGCTTTTGCGAATCGTTTGGCCTGCGGGATTGTCAGCCATGTACCTCACTCGCCTTGATGAATTCTTTTAAGACACGTCCATACCTGGTTCGAGATCTCCTCCTGCTCTTCGCGAGGAAAGTTGACAAAGTGGTCATACTTGGTTCCGACGAGGAATGGAATGGCTGTCTTGTTGAACCCTCGACCTTGTCGGTACCACTCCTTGATGGAGTTGAGGGTGCTCTTCCGAGTCAGGTCGAACATGAAGAGGATCGCAACAGCGTCGTTGCAGACGAGCGGGAGCATGTTGACGAATTCGCGCTGGCCACCAAGGTCCCAGATGGAGAAAGTGATTTCGGTGTTGCGGATCGAGATGGTCTTTTCCATGAAATTAACACCTTGAGCTACGTTAGTATAGGTCCATGAAGGGTCTCAATGGCGAGTAGCCTCGCATACCAAGCGTCTGGATGTAGTCCTCGTCCCAGCTGCCCTCAACATATTTCACCATCAGACTCGTCTTTCCAATCTGTGCATCCCCCACCATGCCGACCTTGATCACCACGCTCGTGTTCTTCGCCGCTGACTCCGGTTGCTGTGCCCGCATCTGCTGTTCCTGGTATCCCGCCTGTCGGTTGGCCATGTCGTACGGAGAGTGATTGCCGGACCCCGCCAACGAGCTGGGTCGGGAGCCGCCACGAGAGTAGCTGTGTTGGCTATGGTAGCCCGGTCTTGGGGGAGTGTCGTTTTCGGAGGTATTATATTGGCTATGAGCATCGTAGGGGCGGTATGCGGTATCCGAGTACGATGTTTGCGGTCTGGGATCATGGGAGTTGCCGTTGCTGTAATCGGTCTGGAATTCCTGTCCTGCCGCTGCCGCCGCCGCTTGCTGCATGCTTGATGCCGTAATGGTCTGCATGGTGTCGTCCATGTCCATGGTCTGATCGTGTGGGCTAGTCGTCGGGCTAGTACTATGTTGAGGCTCGGTGAGAGGGGGAGCTCCCTGAGCAGAATCGAGGTCCATATCCATGGCAGGCTGGTGGTTGATAGCCCTGTTCGCAACGCTTTGGATCGATGACCGCAAGAGAAAAGAGGTGGAGCGATCAGGGTGCTAGGTGTTAAGTGGAATAGTGGCCTCACAAGGAGATGCGAAATCGTGAATAAAGTGCAACACCCCTAGTGTGGAGTCTCTGTGGACGGCGCATGAGCTAACCGCTGGACGGCTGAAGGAGACGAGATGGATGACGCGAGGAGAAACAGACGCGAAGGGACGCGTTTTGTTGGTCAACACCAATCCGCCACCATCAGGTTGATGTCGCCCATAGCACGAGTAGGATGCGGGGATTGACTACCAGGTCGAAATGCAAGATCACTACTTGCGATATTGATCATTCATAAGGCTGATGGGGAGTGGTCCTGGTTGTTGTTTCAAACCGGACCATGGCAGAGAGAGACTTGGTGGGGATCTCCGAGGTTTTCCCAGCACTGCGTATTGAAACTGTCACTGAAACTTCAAAACAACCAGTCAAGTCTCTTCGCAATCGGTTGGATTATAATCTACTAATGATATGAGGACCGTAGATTTGAAGAGAAGGGGAGATGCTACAGAAGGGGAAGTCCCGAATCATAGCTTTGACACCTAGTTCGAGACAGTTCAAAATTCAATACGGTACAGTACATTCCCCGTTTCCTATCCATACCAAGTACCCCTACAGCCGAGATAGCTATGGCTTTATATTCGACTTGGCCTGAAAGAGCTCGCAATAGCTTCCTCTGGTTTTTCGCTACCACAAAGATACCCTCCTCTTCCCCTGTTGATCTCGATGCCCAATTGACTCAACCTTGCCCGCCTCTATCGCCGCGTCGCCTATCTCTATCCATATACTTCCCCCTAGCAACACGTCGGACCGACCCTTCTCCTCGTGCCTTTCACAGTTCATTGAACCCAGACAGTGATGGTTGATTCGGGGCCATCAGGATTCCTGGGGATCCTGCAGATCCATTCACTCCATGCCGGCCCTTGATCCTCTCGAGGAGAGAGATCGGGTCAGATAGAGGATCATAACAGGTATCCTCTCATCTCCCTATCCAAGCATCTTCGTCTGTCGTTCTAAAAACATTAGTTTAGGCCTATCTTCGGCAAATGAAACGTCCTTCTCGGCCACAACGATCTTCCTATCGAGCGATGCCTCACGTAAAATCCACCTCGTATTATCCTCGGGTATTTGATTGGATCCGTCTGGGTGAACCTGCTCGTACCACCGGTGCAAGCCGTAGGATTTAATCAGCGTCTGGATCATCAGCACCTCGACGCAGCACCAAGCTCGTGAGTAATAACTGCCATCAACAAGACTGATTACGACATTGCATTGCATAAGAACCATGGGAAGTGCCGAGATGCCTGATGCCGCATGGTCTTGATCGATACACGCAAGATCCTGTTGAAGTGTTAGTTAGAAAGCGAAATGACGAGGAGAACAGATGGGCAATAGGCCTACCACCCAGATTCCCAAAGTGTTCCGATCCACATCCGGACGCCTCGTCAAAAACTCCTCGATGGCAGAAATCATGCGCCGATATTGCGTGTTGTCCTGGTCATCCGGCTGAGAGCCTAGTCCAGATTCCTTCCCAATCCACCGATACGAGAGGAATATAACAAAGTCAACGCGCGCACCAGGGTGACTCCGGTCAAATTCCGCGCTCCATTCGTAGGTCACCTTGTCGCTAGATCGTGGGATTCGCTTGGAGCGCTCAAAGTGGGAATAGCGCACAAACTTGAGGCCATCAAACATTCTCCTCCTTTCCACGTCATCCGCGAGAATTTCCGCATACGCCCTCCGCAGGCGCCGTAAGCGATCTTGGGCGTTGCTGTGGTTGAGAACGGGCCGCAGCCTGTCTTGAAAGATTTCGCGATAATTTTTTCTGAGCCTTGCCTCGTTCATACTTTGCTTCAGTTTACCGGGCACGTCACCGTGGAGTTGCTTACGGAGACCGTCGAGGACAATGTCGACCACCGACGTGTCGTTGTTGTACACGGCGCAATCCAGTGCCTTGTAGCCTTGTTCGTCCGTGAGATCCATATCCGCGCCTACATCCACCAGCTCTCGCAGATATTGGCCGTGCTCTTCTGAAGGCTCTTTGCACAGTGCAATGGCAGGAGTGCAGGTGCCTGGCGTGTTGAATTGCTTGAGCGCTTCTTCGCGCTGCCCATTCCTAAGCAGAACGCGTCCATAGAAGAACCGTGACATGGCAATCACGGTAGGGTCATCGAGCGTTGCTGCAATATTCAGCGACTGTAAGGCAAATTCCGCAGCCTTGGCGAGCTCGTCACGAGCTGTGTAGCATAGGGAGAGTCGGGCGAGGCCGATAGACTCTCGCGTAATGGCATACTTGACCAAGCGCGATTCGATGTGTCCGTCGAGCGAATACGCTTCTGTACTCTCCTTTATCTTGCGGGCAGTGCTAACTCGCTCCTTGAGCTGACTGATGGCCATGTCCAATAACTCCATGTCGCCCCTTTGTTGCGACAGCTGGTAGTTGATCATACCAAGATTCCCCAGTGCACGGCATATTTCGGTATCAGAGTTGAGTTCCTTGGCCGTCTTGAGCTGAAGCCCAATCACTTCCTTTGCATCGTCTAGAAGATTCATATGTCGATAGATGACACCGAGCTCTCCGCTGGCATTGATGCGCAGTACACTGGTACCCGATTCATCCACAACCATTTGCAGGCTCTTCTTAGCCAACTCGTAACGCCCAAAACGACGATTTGTGTTGCCAAACTCGAGAAGGGTGGAAAGTCGGTACGTTTTAGACGCTGGAAAGTCTGGGACGCTGCACATATCGAGAGCCTTGTTGAACTCGCGAAGAGCATACTCCCACTCGGCGCATTGTGCATAGTCCTGCCCTCGTTGAATGAGCTCTTCCCAGGCGCGAAATGCGTCTACCGTCTTGACGAGATCTATCGGAGTTACGCCAGCAGGGTTACGATCTTGCTTAAACGACTTGCCATCGATAGGACCGAGAACAGGCGCGTCCTTTATGAATTTGCGTTGCGAGTCGAAGAAGAACAGCGTGGCATGAAACTCATCTGAAGGAATATTTGAGGTGTGAAACGCGCCTGCTGGTACCGAATATGTCATGTCGCGCGTGTGCAGCACTGATTCTCCAGGAATTGCGCAGACCAGCTTGCCAGTGTTTTCGACCACGGAGTACTGCTGATGCGGGCTGTAACTCTGGCCTAATTCTTCTCCCGACTTCCATCTCAGCGCAAATTCTGCGTGAGTAGCGACCGAAGGATCCGACGCGGGTTCAACGGTGTAGGCGGTATCCGTTCCTTGCCCAGCCAAGATCCAGCTTCGTGCGTATGGCTGGTGAGAATGGATCGAATACTGAGGATTTCCTCGCACCCCATCCGGCATCCAAACGTGGAGTCGAAATAGCTCGGCGATGGTTTTGTTTTCGTTGATCAGGCAGCAAAGAGGTAGAGCAAGAAACCCCTGGGCGCTGCGAGACGCACTGTAGCCAGGCCGCGAGAATATGGTGCTGAACAATGCATCGCGAATCAGGGCCCAAATTTGCTCCAGCTCTTCACCAGTGGTTTCTTGTTCGAGCCGTGACTTTTGGCGAAGAAATGCAACAGCAAGAGCCAGCTTGACGATTTCCTGAGTGGATGCATTAGCAGGATTGTTCGAGGCAATTCTGTCTAACCACTCGTTCAAGAGGAACGCATTGTCGATGATGTTACCCATTTGACCCTGCGATCCAGCAGGTTCGTTCTGCGGAACTTCATTTTGCGCCAGCACCCACGCCATGGCAGGCACTGCTTCTTGTTCGGTCAGTATGGTGGCTGCCGCAACTCCATCAAGAACTCTCAAGAGATTGGAGATGGAAAGCCGGACGCCACTGTTGATGGGCTTTGGCGGCCGCTCCTCTTCGGCTGCCGGGTGCGCCATGTGTCTGTTATCGCAGTAGCAATAGCGATTCTAGCTTGTCCGAAAGACCTGGCCGAGGATGATATTCCCAAGAATTATGCCATACTCTTACATACGTGGAGGCAGAACGAGGAGGATACGTTCGAAAGAACCCATCAAGGGTACCTACGGGATAGAATAAGGCTGGCTATGAAGCCAGTTTGGAGCAAGGACCCTAACCTGTGAGCGCGTGCTATCCATAATATGACTCCATTCGCCTTTCGCCCCAGCCTCTATTTATAAAACAAGCCGAACTAACCCCGAAAGGGTATACATACATAATCTGTATCATCATGAATCATCGTCATAGCAAAAAAGTTTCGAGATTCACAAACCTTACCAATCGGTATAAAATTAAACGACGACCGATATCTTTACTTTCGATGCTTTGTATCAAGGGTTATCAGGTGCATTGAAACGTCCCGTTAGATCATAGGGCAAATTTGGTGTGCGTTAATAAGAACAAATACGTAAACCTGCCCCATCCATCCGTCCTTCCGCTTGCTGGACACCCTATTCCAGCACACATCACGGCTTCGAAATGCCAGTAGTCGGTGTTGAGAAGCTCACAGAGCTTCAGGGTGCTCCAGACGGCATCCGTAATGTACGTCCGATCCACGACCTCTGCACGAACCAACTAACCTAAACATCTAGGTTTGCATTCTCGCCCATGTCGTAAGTCCCATCCAGGAACAGAGAGATTTCTAGTAAGGAAGAGGAGGTTAACAAAAGATCCAAGGACCATGGCAAGACATCCCTCACAGATGCTCTCATCGCCACCAACGGCATCATCTCTCCCAAACTCGCAGGAAAGATCCGCTACCTAGACTCTCGGCCAGATGAGCAACTCCGTGGTATCACCATGGAATCTTCCGCCATCTCATTGTACTTTGCCATGCTGCGCCGGTCGTCTCCGGAAACGGAACCGAAACAGCACGACTACCTTATCAACCTCATTGATTCTCCGGGGCACGTCGATTTCAGCTCTGAAGTCAGTACAGCATCCCGTCTCTGCGATGGAGCCATGGTGTTAGTTGATGCAGTTGAGGGGGTTTGTAGTCAAACGGTCACGGTCCTCCGGCAGACATGGACGGAGAAATTGAAGCCCGTCTTGGTCATCAATAAGATGGATAGGCTCATTACAGAGTTGAAGATGAGCCCTTACGAAGCACACATCCACCTCAATAAACTCCTAGAGCAGGTCAACGCCGTAGTCGGAGGCTTCTTCCAGGGAGAACGAATGGAAGAGGACTTGCGGTGGCGGGAGCGATTGGAACAGAAAGTAAACGCCGCCGCTGACAAGGCCAAGGGGAAGAGTGGCGGAACAGACGCGAGCGAAATCATCGACGGCGACTTCGTAGAGATGGACGATGAAGATATCTACTTCGCGCCGGAAAAGAATAACGTCATATTCAGCAGCGCGGTTGACGGCTGGGCTTTTACTGTCAAGCAATTTGCCAGTTTATATGAGAAAAAACTCGGCATTAAGAGGTCAATCTTAGAGAAAGTACTCTGGGGAGACTTTTTCCTGGATCGAAAGACCAAGAGAGTCCTCAGCTCTAAGCATCTCAAAGGTCGTGCCTTGAAGCCAATGTTCGTGCAACTGGTTCTTGAGAACATTTGGGCGGTATACGATGCAACCGTCACTGGCAACGATGGCAAGGGGTGAGTTGTATACATGATTCATTGTGGTTATCTTCTTCTAACTTCCAACAGCGATCCGGAACTTTTGAAAAAGATCACAAAGTCTCTGAATATCACGCTTCCTCCACATATCCTCCGTTCCCGCGACCCACGCGCATTACTTACCGCCCTCTTCGCTGCCTGGCTACCACTCTCCACTGCGGTGCTCGTCACCGTTATCGAACAAATCCCCTCCCCTCCCGCAGCTCAAGCATTACGGATACCAGACTTAGTCGCTTCGAGTCCCGGAAGCAATGCAGTGGACCCAAAGATCAAGGCCGCCATGACGGAATTTCATTCCAAGAAGGAGGATCCCCTCGTTGCGTACGTGAGCAAAATGGTGGCAGTCAAGGAGAGCGAGCTACCGAAGGAGAAGAAAAGGGGTGGATTCATGCTGACAGCTGAGGAGGCACGGGACCTCGCGAGGAAGAAACGTGCACAGTTCGCTGCTGCTAAAACCACTGAGGTGGACGGCGTCACGGACTCACTATCAATGGCCACTATCACTGGCGCGAATGATATGAATGGCGCAGAAGACGACAGTGTTGCGGAACCTGAAGATCCAGAGCACCTTATTGGATTCGCACGACTCTATTCTGGTACTCTCTCGGTTGGTGACGAGGTCTGGACTTACGGACCGAAATATATGCCCGATGCACCGGACGTTGCTCCTCCTACCAAAGCAACGATCACGGGGCTATATCTTCTTATGGGACGACATCTGGAACCTTTGAAAATAGCGCCAGCAGGAATCGTGGTGGGGATTGCTGGTCTGGCTGGCCATATCCTCAAAGCTGGCACGCTTTCAAACCTCGGACCGGCCGGGACCCCCAATCTCGGCGGAATATCTGGCTCCGTTCGACCTATTGTTCGGGTTGCACTGGAGCCAGTATTCCCTGCTGACTTGGACAAACTCATCACTGGTCTCAAGTTGCTCGTACAGGCGGATCCGTGTGCTGAATATGAGGTTCTGGAGTCAGGAGAGCATGTGGTGTGTTGTGCCGGCGAATTGCATCTTGAGCGTTGCTTGAAAGACCTGAGGGAGCGGTTCGCGAGATGTGAGATCCAGGCCGGAGAACCGATCGTTCCTTATAGGGAGAGCATTGTGGAAGCGAAAGAGATGAATCCCCCTCGGGAGAAAGATCTGCCGCGAGGCACAGTCATTACAGCGACGCCTAGCGGCATTGTGACGATCCGGTTGAGGGTCAGGCCGTTGCCGGAGAATGTGACCGAGTGCTTGATCAAGAACTCGAGGTCAATACGGAAAGTCTGGGCAGAGGGGCGCGAGAGTTTAGACGAGAGGCATCCCGTGGGGGAAGGAGTTGGAAATGCCTCAACAAGCGAATTAATAGTTGGAGGGGACTTGGACCAGGGCGAACTGTGCTCAAGAGACGATCTCAGGAAACGTTTGATGTCTGCTTTTGAAGTGGCTGAGAAGGACAATGGCACATGGAAGGGGGTGGTTGACACGATCGCTGCATTTGGTCCACGGCGAGTTGGTCCGAACGTGTTAATCGACGCGACGAAGGACGGCGCATGCAGCAAAGTGTAAGTGTCGGCGACGACCTTACCTTACATATTCGCTAACTTACATCAGACTACACGAGACAAATGGCGCTTCGGAAGGATCGATCACAAACCAACATTCTAGAGCAGGTCTAACAGCGCAAGACCTCTCTGACAAGATCAACTACGCGTTCCAACTGGTAACAGCTCAGGGGCCGCTCTGTAATGAGCCGATGCAAGGCGTGGCTGTCTTCCTCGAGGACATCACCATTTCAAGCTCGATGGATGAAGCGGCCAGCGCTCGTGACAAACTTGGTCGATTAACCAGTGAAGTGATAAAGGCAGTCAGGGATTCCATTCGCACTGGGTTCCTGGACTGGAGTCCGCGCATGTTGCTTGCCATGTATAGCTGCGAGATCCAAGCTTCAAGTAAGTTGACAGTCTTATATCAACACTCTTGAACAATAGTGATTAACCCATCATAGCGGAGGTCCTTGGTCGGGTCTATGGCGTCATCACTCGGCGTCGTGGTCGCATCCTCTCCGAGGCCATGAAAGAAGGCACGCCGTTTTTCACTGTCGTGGCCGTTCTCCCCGTCGCCGAGTCCTTCGGCTTCTCCGAGGAGATCCGAAAGCGGACCTCAGGCGCAGCGAGCCCTCAGCTCGTCTTCCATGGGTTCGAGATGCTGGATCAGGACCCGTTCTGGGTGCCGTTCACGGAAGAGCAATTGGAAGATCTGGGAGAGTTGGCGGATAGGGAGAACGTGGCGAAGATGTATACAGAGAAGGTGAGGAAGAGGAAGGGGTTGTTTATTGCAGGGAAGAAGTTAGTGGAGAATGCGGAGAAACAGAAGACGATGAAGAATAACTAAGGAAGATTTTTCCTCGCAGTGCAATACGAAGGGAATGAATGGTTGCCGCTACAATGAAGTGTATCTTCCGGGTGTAGTCGGGCGATCCGCAAATCACACAGATCAAGGGTTCCCTTTTGAACGTGTAGCCATATCAGTATCCAATCCTCGGACTACAACCAGTTTCGTAGTCTCCGGCATCGTACTGCCACCAGCGCTACTGATACACTTTAGTGGATGTGCTGGGCCATGACTAAACCCCTGAAGTTCCGGAAGACTTAATTTCCGACATGATATCAACGAAAATGAAGTTAGGAGGTTCCAACTCCCTGGAACCGATCTTCAACAGGATGATCTGAATGACACAACGGAAGCGCTTCCGTTACTTTGGATTTGAGCTTCAAAGAAATGATATGGAAATTCTGCACTGGTCCTTAAATCTTGAACACTTCCTGTGGCCTGTATCCCGGCATTGTACGTCAACAGTAGCCCGCATTGTCCAGGAGTCGAGAACTTCCGCATACACAAGCGGACGAGAAATATTTGGATTGAGTAGGGTGGCATGGAAAGATCATGCACAGTGCTACTAGTGAAGTACTCGATGGTGTCCGAAAAATATGGACGGGAATTGAAGAACACTGCATCCACAGTGATTGCCTTGACTGTAATATCAAGCGGTGGGAAAGTCCGGATGTCCCGACTCTGCACTATTTGAATTGTGGCATATTCTCTAGACTCGGGTATCGTTGAAGTGTTAGGGTGGATCCCTCTACAACCTTGGTTTGTGGAATATGTGTTCTTGTTCCTCCATGTGTCACCATATCACAACATCTCCCGACATGGTCGCGGACAGGTTTCATCACCAGCAGTCGAGTACGCATGCTCCTATTGAGGAAACAGTGCACAACACGACGGCGAAACACTGTGCTCCGTGATGAGTCACAGTCCGGTGAACTTGATAAGGGTTCAGTAAATTGGAGGGAAGGTCATAGTTCCTTATTGTCTTCAGTACCTGGACCGAGTGCGTGTACAGTTCGCTTCAGTGATACAGTCGTGGTATTTGAGATCTAGAACTGTTGATGGTCTGTTGGAATGCGGATCGCATATGGGCATTCTATATTCGAAGACACGAAGTAGTTAACAAGAGCCGGTAAATTTGCTCTGCTACACAAGATCAATAGATAATCTCAAATCTCTAGGGGATTTTACGATCAGTGTTATTGAAACCTTCTAAATCGTTTTATGGAACGACGTTTAGTGGGGTGTATACAGACTTCGTCGTTGATAGCGTAGACTGTTGAGTAAATTTCGGCTGTCGTCGAGGATAGCCTTTCGGTCAGATAACAATCGACCATTTCTTCAGCCGAGTTAAAGAAGCTTCTCACCAGCAACCCCTGTTATTGCTGAGGTCGGTGGTGCAAGCAAATCAGACTTTCTTAGATCCACTTCAAGCTCACGGCAGGACCGAATGGTCACAACCGTCCCGGTTTTCGTAGGAAGTGCTCGCAAACTCTTCGAGTAGAATGCATCCTTTGTCGATCATGTATGTTGCCGTAGTCATGAAGATGTTCATTGACCGACACCCAAAGTTCTCCAACAAAGCCTAGATGCCAACAATAATGCCAAAAGCAGTCTGATGATCCCCATGGTCTGCCATATTCGATGTTGTCCCAAGAAGCATGACGTTCCGACTCTTTCGTCCGCCAGTTCTAGGCTCCTCGGTGGTTCAGTTACTGGTAGGACTCTGCTTCATCGTGAGGCTGAGAATCCTTGGTCATGTATTGATTCCACGGTATCCCAAGCCAGTTCAAGGCTATTCTCTGGAGGCGAAAGGCACGGAATCCACCAACAATGGGCGGATAGCCATAGATGGTGGGATAGGGTAAAGTATGTTGTAACTGCCAAACTTCAAGCGAATGTTACTGTGGGCATCGAGCTCCCCTGTTTTGTGCCACTGCTCGGCAGAAGATCATTGACTCAGAGTTGATAATGATCAAACATAAACAAAATGAGCCTATAACGTTCGGATTCGGTTGGTTGGAAAACCTCACGAGAGAATTATATTCAATCACTGGTTGAAAAGGGGGTAATAGTCAATGTTCGATCGAACAATTCGACTAAAAAACCCCACATCTCTTACTGGTATTTTTCCTTGCCATGATAACAATACTGTCACTGATTGTTGAAGGTCACTGATGTCGGTGGTGTATATTGTAGACGACAGAATGAAAGGACTCAAATGGTGTTGCCTGGAAACCTGACGCATAATGCGATGCCGTTTTCGGTTCTGACGATGATGTAAGGAGACGAACCACTAAAACCTTCACACTTCACACATGACGGAGCACCCCTATGGTGACTGAGGAGCGGCAATATACTACTGCTCCGGCGAAGGCCGAACTTTACTTCGGAGATCAAATTTTTGGTCTGAATCCATCCAATCCTCCGCTTGGAGAGGAGTGAACCTGTACCTATCATAACTCGTCACCCATCGCCAATGCCAACTTTCAGGTCCTGCTGGTTGCAGTGTTGATCGCTTAACTTACTGATGGGCGATGGCTGTAACGTTGGCTTGAGGTGTAGATGGTTGCGTCAGTTAGACGAGTTCGTCCAAAGGGGCCCAGCTAAAGGCTTCCTTGTTCTTTCCATTCGGGTCCGCAGGAGTGCAGAACCGACACCACACTCATCAGTCATCTCCCGCAGGAGAGTGCTAATCCCAGCCGCGAAATTGTGCAATAATGGAAGCGCTCAGGAGACATGCGGATCCTACGGCGACGCCAACGCCGAGACGACTGCAACATGTCAAGCAAGTTCCTCAGGATGTCAGCACGATTCTCGTATTTCAGCATCCTCCCTGTTCCGACCGGTGACAGCGTTTCCTAGCACAGCATTTTGGCGCTGGTGGTGGTCGGCCGGCCTTCAGATACAGTGGAGGCGAGGTGCGCCAGGCAATCTGTAGCTTGACGCCGATATCCGGAGTCTCTTTGGAGATATTGAATGCGGACGATATTCCCAGCGATCTTGGCCCGCCCTGCCATTGCATGCAGCACCTTGTACGACTCCTTACAACAATCGCGCATGGGGATTGAATGAAGAGTCCGGGGTAAGGAGAACCGAGTAATATCGCCTCATGCGGCGATCTCGAGAAGTGCGAAGATGCGTCAGCCGTTCCCGTCAAAAAGGCAGGACTGTCAATAAAAAGGTTGATATGGATAAATATACTGCGTATGGTGTCCGCGAACCACGGTCCCGGACGATAGTTGGACGGTTTAGACACTGAGTTAAACTGCCCGCCTCAGAGACAAGGATATTTGCACCTGTGAGGAAAAACTAGACCCACACTTGCCAATTGGGCAGGCAGTTCCAAGCATCTGCCGTCTGAAACGGTTACTGGGATCTGGAGGATACGAAGTCACGGATTCACAGATTCACAGGCCGAAAGGTACCACGCTCGCACACCGAATGCGTCATCACTCGTCGCTCAAAGTTCCAGCCTCCTCCGCCTTCTGGAGTCACTTTAAACGAGTCGTCCTCTGCCCAAGGCCCCCTGCTGCAATATAGATATTAGTAACTGGCTTCTCGATGATGGACGGGCTACCTAGTTCAGATGAACTCCGCCACAAGGCTCCTTGCCGCATCAGCTCCCTGAGGAAACAACAGTGACCAGTTATGGTGGGAATACGCAGTGTTAATGCGGGACCAATTGAAGCCGACCAACTTTCAGATGCGGTTGTACAAGAAAGGCGTGGTGTTCAAAACCCTGAGATCTAATTATCGGCGTGGGAGAACTAAAAAATGCAGCCACCCACTGCAATTTGTTCCCATCTTCAATCTCCTGTAACAAATCCTCATTTCGGAGCCGATCTTCTGGGAAGACTAGATCGAATCCTCTGACGATCCAGCGCTAACTTACGCCGAGTTTGAACTTTGAGCCCCTTCTCTCTCATTACTCATATGACTCGGTCCAGCCAACGGGATTATCAATATTGGCGTGGGGCGACAGACACAAAAAAGGCCGACACCATCGCATGGCTGCAACTTGCAAGTTGAAAAAACTATTCGTTCACTTGTGGATCGGATAGACGGTGACAAGCCTACAACATGAGCCGAAGACAAACTGTAGAGTGTGATGTTCTACTGAACACTGCACTCCGCTCTCGCGGGGTAGTACAGTTTGAAAGCCGGAGATGTTCGGAAGCCACAAAATCAGACGGCTTCGAGCAGATCATCTGGAGTCCACCTTGCTCGCGAAGTCCCTCCTAAAGGCTAAAAGCCTCAAAGCGACACATCCACAAAGCAACAGTATGAAACGATCTGCAGGACGACTGGACTTAGGGCCGGATACCTAAGTAATAGACCGAGGGTCGAAGGGTGCTTGAAATCCCTACATGCTTACCCGACATGCTTTAGCTGAAATAGGCTCCCTTGCATTTTTATTGATATTTCTCTGAATCCTGTCTCGGTTCTGGATCACTTTACATACCCTGATTGTGTTCAAACCTCGATGGCACACGATGCTCAAGACTCCGAAGGCTTTGAATCGACGAATGGCGTGCTGAGGGACCAGACGCCCAGAATGTTTGCCCTGTTCGGACTTCGACATCTGGGACGGGGTCTAATGATCCCATCCAACCACGAGTGTTCCATGGGAGAGGCGCGACATGGGATATTGCACGCTTGGCCACCGAAACGACCGAAAATCCATTCCTTGCATGCCCATCGCTTAATACCCCAGTGGACCGGGATTCTATTGTGTGAATATTTGTCTGATTGTTGTTCCTTTGGGCCCACATCCCAGATCCTGGCACTCCTAGCCCCGGATGTCCCGCTTTCTGCCCTCTCCCGAACATGCCAGGGGGTCAGAAGAGGAAAAGCAAGATGTGGCGTCAATCAACTCGCAGAAATCGTGGCCACACAGATCCAGCCATGCGAGTCGCAATTTTATGCGAAGCAGGAATCTCGATGCTTCAGACCAGCGTATGACATGAACTCGCACACAGAAAGCAGGCTTCGGACTTGCGTTTTCCTTTGGCAAATTAGCAGCACAGAGCCACATCCGAGGATCTGTTTACATGCCGCTATTATTGTCGAACCTATTTTCGTGTTACGACGCCGCTGTCCATAAACGAGAACCATCGTCAGCATGTCGAATGCTTGGGGCGTCATGCGTCCCGCCAGGTTTCCAACCATAATTCCCGCTTACCCGTACGTGGGTGATTAGATCTCTGATACTCCAAGCCCCCCTACCGGGTATCCACTACGTAGAATACAGACATATCTGAATCTGAATACCCCACCGACCGCCGATGATCGCTGTTAGGACATTTCTAGTCCGCGGGAACGACAACCCTTGCTCTCCGTTCATTTTGCCGCGTGGACATGCCTCAAAAGTCAAACCTGTTTGCCCCAGTGGCTAGAACTCTTGATATATGCGGCTAGTTTTCTCAAGCATCATTCGTCGAATTGAGACCACAACCGGACACGCCGACTATCACCAGTGACCATAATATGCCCAAACTCCAGAAGGCGTCCATCTACTGATCCCTGTGGCTTGGCCAACTTAATTGTCGATCATTGCAGCTTCATCGAGATTGAAGACATTTGTTCTAGGCATTTGAGTTTCAACGGCGGTTCCATTTTCCACATCCTTGTAACTGCGAAGCCGTGCAGATGTGCAATGAATTGGAAATATTAGCACTCTAACCTTACAAAGACGCTAAATTCCGGTAGGGAAACCATCTCCCAAGACGGAAGACAGGCGCCAACAAACTATTTGATGCAAGCGTGCGAACGGATGACTCCGTCGACTCGTTTAGTCGAATGATCTCGGTTCTTTCCAGAAGGGCCAACGGGTCCTACGAGGCGTCAATATCATCGTCTCCTGAGGCCAATGGAGCATGCTATCACCTGTGCAAACCTGTACAACTTGCAGGGTCGAAGTGACTATGTCTCTACCGAAACATGTGCCACGTTAACTAGACAGCCACGCAGGAAAAGCAGGAAGGGATCGAGCAGTGTGACTGTCATACGCGACATTGCGGCAGACCTGTATCAGATCCTCCGCAATCTGCATCCACCCTCCATGCACCTAGGTATAATATCGGAGTTATCCAATTGAGGTTAAACACCTGACATCCAACCGAACCATGAGCACGGCGCAGACAAGGCTATCCCATGCTAACCGAGACAACTGGGCCGACAAGTACGTTCCCCGACAAGCAGCATCAGGTTGGCCAGATAATAGCGATCGACGAGAAGCGTGTCACTTACGATACTTGTGAGTCACCCAAAGCGCGAAGGTGGCGTTCAAGGCTCCAAGCAATATTTGAAACCTAGGCAATTATCATAAACTGGGGTTTTAAGGGTTGCAAACAGAGATCGCGGTCCGTAAACTCTCCCCGAGCCTCCATATCAGAGGATGATGTCCTCAGCAGACGGCAGGGCCACTGATGAGCGCCACACCACCAGGAATTATTCCTGCTTGACTGAAAGGTTTGCGGGCTGCGGCATTCAGATGCCTGTACTCCGTCACCGCACGGGATTGGCTGACTTGTCTCCAGTAGACCAAAGTGAAGATACTTTGTATTACACTGCGGTCTGCTAAAGGCCTGAGGGCCTGAAGGCGCCGAAGCCGACGAAGATTCAGATTGTCTGCACAGTCCACAGGAACTTGAGTTGATCGCTTGCATCCCACATGCATGTCTCTTAACAGTCAAAGTGTAGTGGGTACTAAAACTTGAAGCATCCGTGGATGGTGGCGCTTTCTGGAGGATTTCTCTGTTAGTCGAGGTAATTCTCCATCAAAAGCTTTCAATTTTCAATTCCAAGTTCCAAGTTCTGACTGAGCCTACGTTTCATTTGTACGAAAAGATCGACGAGACGGGCTGTCATGCTTGAGCGATGTGACGTGAGTCGTGAGATGGTGCTGCTACTGTGCTAAGCGGATTGCTGACACAAACACGGAATACGTCTTGTGGTTTTCACGGAAGCGCAGTAATACAGGACAGTTCAACCTCATCACTGATTATTAGTGTGAAGGAAAGAAAGATCTTCTCCGGCTGTTCGCCAAAAATGGCATTTCTTTCACGAGGCTCCGCATCAAAGGTTCAAGGCGTTCTGGCCGGCGACCCGAGCAATTACGATTGTCTTGGGCTTGTTGCAAACCTGACACGCTACACAAGCTCTCCGGCTCCTGCGGTCCAGATAAATGATCAATAACTTTCGCTTCATTTGGCCACGGGCTTCATCTCACATCTTGGAGCACCGACGCAGGCAGCACAATTGCACTCCGTACCCTGTCAATTTCAATGCAATACGATATTCAAATCAAAGTCCTCCATACGGTTCGGTGCATCAGCAACCCGTTGGACCGTGATTCTCTACTCGGCGGTTCTGGAAGCCTGCTCTTGTGGACCCGAACTGGGGCTGCGGCTGAGCCAAAATTGGGACATGGAATTGATGGGACGCGGCGGAACACGCGAAGGCAACCGCATGTCCCTGCTAGACCATGGGCATCGCATGCCCAAATGCTGATCCATCACCCATTAAGCCACTACCATGTAATTGACGCTAATTGTGTAAAGGACCAATATTAGTGCACGCGTCCTGCATTGGCAGTTTGGCACAGGGCTTGCCCGACCGGGAGTGGGTAGCCGCCAGCAGGATCCCGTCGGCTGGAAAAGGTCCCGCTCTGGCCACTCTATACGTAGAGTGGACACCGTGATGATACTAACTGGGGAGGGACCGAGAGGCAGATCAGAACTCAGAAGGACTTTGGCCTTTGGATGGATGGCGGCGCCGGCGGGGGTATGGGGCTATAGGCAAATTGAGCAGGATGGTGGATTACCGGTGGTGCAAATGCGACTCAGAAATGGCTCTCTTCCCGAAACGCCAGCCTGTGAGGCTTAAGCCGACCATGCCTCTCGTTAGAGTCTCGTACATGTATCTTCTATCCCCAGTCCCACGGTTCCGATGCAAGATCGCCGCCCCCTCACCCAAAAACCATCCAACTAGGCATTTCGGCATGGCATGATTGGTTAAAACGGTGGCGCCGTTAAGCCCATGCGGCTAACGTACTTTGATGCACCACCTTACTCGGTAAGTCCTTGGCTCCTTGCTGTTCAATAATTTCTTTGGCTTGTCGGATTCTTCCCGGCCTCCTCGCCAAACAGGTGACTGGCTGATGCCGGTCGTTCCATGCTAGGTTCCGTTGCGGCCTTGTGGTTTATCATGATGGGTGTCAAAGCATCTTCTCTAATCAGAGTCTTCAGTCTACACTCCAGCAATATCCCGGAGTCGCGCCGGCTACCTGTCCCCTGATCTATCCGTGTTTGGTACTGGTCCTCGTCTGCCGGACGCATCTTCGTTGCAGCAGCATGTTATCCATGGTCCATGGGACCACATTCCACAAGTCCACAACCCACAGTGCACACCTTTCCTTTTGATGGACCTTGCTGACCTGCAGCGTGTAGTCCTTTGCTCATTGCTCCACAAGGGCCCCTGGATTTCCATTCATCGTCAGACGTCAATCAATTCCCATTCAACAAATGAGGAAACCCCCATCATGACACGGCTGGAGGACTGGCCGACTGGCCGACTGGCCGACTGGCGCCTTCGCCTCCTTGAGCCCTTGGGAATTTGCGATCGAGCCATGATAGCGCTAACCGGCTCCTTTGACCGCTTTTGCTTCCTTTGATGGGTTTGAGCGTTTTATGATGCCAGACCCGGCGATGGTTCGTGATTCGCTCGGCCCTTCATCCCTCCTTTCCATTTCCCCATGACCTTGAACCAACGTCCTCGCCAGGACTCAGGACCGAGAACACGAAGATGGTCATGGACGGCCCCGCCTTTTTCGTCGCCCCTCAGATTCAGGCCTTCGGCCTGCCAAGCGTGATTTGATCCCAGGTCGCCAATTTTACATCCGCCTGCACCCAATCCTTCCCCCCTTCCTGCAGCTATTCTCAGCGGACCACCGAAACCGATTGCCAGCCCCTCTACAGCCTTTTTCTTTTCCTGCCACTTGCCAGATGTTTAGCCTTTGTCGACCGGTGGACCAAGCGGCTTTGTAACTACAGCACTACTTTCAAGGTAGCACCATCCCTGACTTTCAGTTTCGTTTCCTTTTCGTTAAGGCCCTGTCACCATCGGCACGGCACACCATGCTTTGACTCTTGGAGCATTTGACCCTCTCATCCAGTCCTGTGAGGCCTGTCCACGCCTTTCCTTCGTCGTCTGATCGTCTCTTGTCTCTTCTCCACTCTCCGAGCTCAATGGCTCACGACTCCGAATGTCACAGCCCCTCTTCATGCAACACTACCCGCTCCACGCACGCACCTTGTCTCTTCATACTTCTCTTGTTTCCTCCCACTTTCCCGCTCACACATGCATAACCCTGACGCAACACATCCACACCCGTAATAGACCTCAGCCCGTCCGCACCCTTAGCAACCGCTGGAAGTAAAGTGGTCCGGATCCTAGCCCAGGGGTGCGACAATGACAACGTCCATCAGGCACTGGACCTCGCTAGTTTCACCGTGGTCTATCCTGACTATTCGTTCCATCGCATCAACACCGGCGGCATCCCGCCGCCCACGAACTCTAACGGTTCACACGGGTTTGTCGATGCTCAGGATCGAGCCTGCTGCAATTTCCTTGCTCATCCTGTCCCGTTTGTGAAGTCTGAACTAACACCGCCCAGCATCCATTCTTCTCCTTGCCCTTGCCCGTGCCACGGAGCTGAGGAACGGGGTCTAGGTTTATACCCACACTTTGTCCCAAAGTCCCTTTTCATTAATGCCCGAATGGCTGATATTGTTTTCCATATTCTTTTCCTTATCCATAAAGGGCCCCTAATATCAAGCTTGCCGTGCTCAGACCCATCGTTTGAGTCGTTTCCTTTGACCCAGTCATTAGTAGATTGCGCTTCACCACGTTTATCTGGTTCGGAGCATCCCTAGCGGATCGGAGTTGACCATTCCTTTTTATACATCATCCCGTCATCCGAGTCCTCTTCATATCCCACTTCATTACGTGGGATCATTCGGACCCTATATGGGACATCAGCCCTCACCTCGGACCTATTGATCATGTGCTGAGAATAAAGCCATATATCCTGCCATATCCTTCTCCCTCCCTCCCATCACCATTAGTCCAACTCCTGGTGTGATCCCATCATTACTGAATGTCATCAACTCAGAATATACGGCGGTATTCCCGCGGGTCTCTCTCCCATTCAGCTCGACCCAATGGTATCGAGAAATCTCGAAGCATCCAAAGCAGTCCGAGAGTCCTTGACAAGCGACGGACGACCGTATCGTCAAAGCAGTATGGAGGACTCGAAGAACATTACCGGTTCATATTTGGTGATGACCAGGGCGCCATCACCCTCCACCCGGCGCCTCGACCAGCTTCGTCGAGACCATTGAGCTGGCATCCAACTACGAACCTGGGTCATACGCCCATGCAAGAAAGACCATCTGCCCCTGGAGTTTATCGGCAACAACAGGAATTTGCGGACCAAACCGCTGCGGACTATGCTGTAGGAGTCCCCAACATCGCAAGCCTCACGAATGAGAACCTGGGGCTCCTCCAACGCCAAGGTCCGGCGGGATCTGCCAGAGATATCGACACCTGGCGCCAATCGTGTGTTCCCTCTGAACCACTCCCTTATCATGGTCTCCGTCGGCACCCACATTCGGCGGTCGAGACCTCTTCATACCGCTCTCGCACTTGGAACCATCCGTCCTCTAAAAGGGAACCTTTCACCCACCCCCGCTCCCACCCTCGTATCGACTGTCTACCCATTCAACACTTGCATTCCGAAGCGCACATATCACCTCATGACAGAGTCGAACAGAAAAATCAACAGGACCGTACCTCCTCACCTCATCCGTCATTATCACGCAAGCCTTCCGATGAACTCATTGGCATGGGCCTGTACGACGCACCCAATGCCGTGGCTTCCTTATTCTCCGACCTGCACTCCATCACGGGCAAAGGCCTCAAGCTCGCCGAAACATTCGAGCCCGCCCCCTCGAGCGACGGCGACGATTCGGAGATGGCCGATGCGGACGCCGACGATAACCCTGCGGACGTCGAGAACGATGCGACCGGTTCCACTGCCTCCGACTCTAGCGTGGCCGAACTCGAGCAGAAAGCCACACTGACACCAGACGATGCGCCCTGGATGTCGCAAATGTCGATGGCGACCATGGCTCAGGCGAACACTATGGCTAGAATAGGGGGTGGAGTGTCCAGAATGCAGAAGCCCCAGGAGACGGCACTGGATCCTGCACTGCAGCACTTGGTGGCCGGCGAGATTCCAACGAATATGTCTGGGCAGTCGTTTTTCTTTGACGAGGAAGACGTGGTGGTGACGGGCGATGGCGGGAAAGTCGGGGTGGTGGGAGGGGAGTGGTGGGAGAGGGATTTGAGAGGTTGGCAGCCTGAAGGGCGCCAGCGCGGGGGAGATGTAATCGATGTGCGTCGATATGGGCATTGGGCTTGACGTGGATGTCTGCTGGATTGGATTGATACGCGGGGATGCGTCAGGACGCAGTTATAATTGACGAACCTGGTTTATGACATAGATCTAGATAACGCCCTTATGATTGGTTGTATTATAGAGCATACCCGAGAGCCATCAATGGTGTCTTGAATGAGATGAACTGACCGCAACATCCGCCTTGTTCTGAATCTTACACAAGTGCATATACCTTTCATACTGCTTGATATTTGCGGAAGGGTAGTGGCTCATCGAGACCAGTTTGTTGAGTTCATTACCACGATACTCTGATGTGAAACCATGTCTCTCTGCGAGGAGCAGCCCTCGACCTACACCCGTTGATTATGGTAGTCCATGTGTTTGGATCGATGGGGCTAATGTCTCCTACTCTCGACTTGGTTGTGTCGTGTAGGGGGACAATGATAACGATTCCTTTCTGGATGTTATGGGAACTCCGCACAGATCTAGGCTCCAATTCCTCCCACTCATTGAATATTCTAGGGGCTTCAAATGAATTGACAGTGGTTTTCTCTATATCGCATTTAAAAGCAGACATACAATGCCGGAATTTGGGTGTCAGCGAGTTCATACCGCCAAAACAGGTAAATAGGTGGATTGTGAGTTCTCATTGGAGGTTGGTTCCCCATCGATCTGGCCCGATATTGCCACCAAACTTGGAATTTCACACCCACGTCCAACTGCAAAACAACTACATCAAGTATCTGTACTATTTACTTGTCGAGGATATGAAGGCATTCTTATAACATAATTGACAATGGTATATCGGGAAGCAACCGCTTTCGAGTCTTTCGAAGAGCTGCTGGTTCTTCGTGATGAATTCTTCACCGCAAACCGTGCAGGCGGTGATGCCCGCGCCGCTAAGGCTCATGCCGTCGAGACCGTAAGTTTATATCCATTCTATGTCGAGTTTAAAGCTTGAATGATGTCTTACGGCTCGGGATGAAATGATTTTGATCAATTCGCGTTCAACTTCGGTCTTCCTTATGGTTGAATCCAGGCTGATATCAACAGGTCCAAATCTATGAATACTGCGGCCGAAATGTCCCCATTGCAGTCGAATGTACGGCTATCCTGGTGGATGCGCTGCTGAGGCAAGAGAAAAAGGAGCTGGATCAATATGAAAAGAAGTCCATGCTTGCCCTTGCCCTGCATCGGTAAGTTTGCGGTCCTGCTGTTAAAGATTTAAAACATACCGTCCGGCCGCCGAACTGTCCATCACGCGGTAGAATCCTTCTTCCATCCTTCGCCATGGTCATCCCCTTTTAGTTGAATGATTATATCGGTTGCTCCCGTCCCGATCTCTCAAAGGGAACACAGGGGGGACGGGCCATGGGAAGAGACGAAATGGATGGCCCCCCACATCCAATATTCCGCATGAAAGCCATAAATCACGAGAACGGCACCGTCTAATAATCAATTACAGTGTTGTCACAACTACCTGCGACAATTATGCACCCCATATGCCACTCCTCAGCGCGGCAATCCGAACCGGTCTTCCAAGAAACCTCGTCTTCCTCCGGAATCGAATCGCCCACCACGAGATGCCACCCACCACCCTGCTACTTCCAGCGCTTGAGAAAGCCCTCGATTGGCTCTGGCATGAGTTCTGGAAGAAGCTGGAGGAACCAGTCCTCACGCCACAGAAGCGACATGTGCCAGTCCATGGCGGGCGGCTGGCCGAGGAGGTGAAGAGTTCTTTGAAGGCGTATCGAAATGCTCGGATCGCGGAGGTGAAAAAGAACTCATCTCAGAAAACCGGGAGTGGAACGGGGACACCTGAAACAGTTACAAGGTGTCTGGCATGGCTGGAGACCTACTCGGGGAGGCAGGCTCTGATTGAAGCGCTGTTCCAAGAGAAGATGCTTATCCCGGCAAACCGAAGGTAAATTGAATGACTCGAAACACTCTTACAATTTGGGCAACCTACTAACACGCCGATGATAGTTGGAATGACCCTCTCACAGGTGCTTTCCACCTCTGGTCACCTCTTCTTACTAGTCTCTGCATTCCGACCCGATCATCACACTCATATCAATTCCTGGAGACATTTACCAAGCATGCACTCAGCCTACTCTTCGAACAGCTGTTCTCATCCCTCGACCCATGTCTAGATCCTTTCCGACAAGCCGTCGCAGCCTGGCTTCTCTTCATCCTTACCCACCCCTCGTGCAAGGCTACCCGAGAGACACTCCCCAAGGAAGAAGTTCGGTCGGTTGTCGAGCTGACCTTAAGCGAATGTGTACTCAATGCTGTGAACCCTTGGGCAACGGTGCTCACGGACGGCATACTGAAGACGGCCCGGGAGGGCGAGCGGAAGTACTGGCGCGCTCTGTTGGACGAGGCGCTGGCTGTTGTCAGCGGAGAACCGGGGAAGGATGGTGGCGATCAATGGGAGAAGAAGGTGAAGTGCTCGGTGGCGAGGCGAAAGAGGCAGTTTGAAGAGTTGAATCACCTGGAGGATACCAGGGAGAGTACCCGTACAGACAAATCACTGTACGTTTCGGAGAGAACCTCAGATGGCGGTGTAGGATGGAAACGGCGATGTAGATGAATGTGCGGCCACATAGCGGACTTGACTGCGATACCCTAGAAGTTCAAATACTGTTTCTTTCCGAAATGCTTGGACATAATTGATGGAGTTCGAGGTCTATGATTCAACATATGTACCTGCGGCCCATTAGACGTAACAAGGGACCACACTCCTATCTTTCGCCACGCAACGGCCATCCCTAGCACCATCCTAAATTTTAGGTTGGGCCCATGTACACACGCATATTGGCCATCAAGTCCTCCAGCTCCCCATTATGTCCCATCAGCGGATTTTTTGCCGTGTCATACCACCCCTAAACAACGTCAGCACGGCCATATCCACCACCAAACTACGTCAACCATCAACTTACCTCCATCCGCAGCTTCTGACCAGTTCGAACGGCCCCAAAATTCTCGCACACACCCGGATCCGACAGATGCGACGGTCCGTCTCGCTTGGCGTTATCCGCACGGGCGATCCGGTCACGGCGGCGGTGCGAGTGCTCCGCCGCGCCGGTGTCCATGCCTTCCATGTCGTGGCCGTGACCCTCGCCGGCCGCGCCGCCATAGCCATCGCGGGCGTTGTAGTACATGATAGAGCGGCAGATTTCCTTGTTGTCGAGGAAGAGGGAAGAGTGGGTGGCTAGATTGAGGAAGTGAGTAGATTTCTAGGGATGGGGGAAGGTTGGCTCGTACCTCCGTCATGCATATGGCCGATGGCGTATAGAAGCTCTGCACTCCATGGGGCGGTCCATTTCTGGCTATCAAACTTGTAAGTTCCCTCACGAGCCTTGGGCTCGCCGACAGTTAGCCATTCCTTGACGAAGTCAGCGATTGGCGCCAGGGGCGTGGAATCCGATGACCCACCATCTTGGCTCCCTTGTATTCCGTGTTCGTCTTCGGCACCCACTCATACGTAATATCCAACGTCACCTGCATGTCCTCAGCAGCCATGCTCATCAAATCCGCCATGATAAAAAGACCACTGGACAAGCCAAGCTGGCGCTTCGCGGCCCTGCCTTTTCCGAACAAACTACCTTGGCCGCTCAATAGACCCCCAGATCCACCGGCGGCACCACTGCCTCCCGCAGACGTTAGGCCAGCCCCAAGGCCAGCGAATCCACCGCCAGCACTAGTAGAGCCTTCCAGATCGAGGCCATACTTATGCTTCCTGTTCAGTCTTAGCGTGGGACGCTCGTTTCCGGCCGCCCAGAACATGGAAAGGCCTTTGCCGAGGGTGATATGATGGAGCCTATTTTATGATAAGTCTGCAATTCACTCCCGAAAATCGAGGAACTCACCAGGCGCCCTGATCCGCGTTCGCCTCCTTGCCGTCCAGGAAGCTGATCTTCGCCTGAATCGCGGTGATGTAACAGCTCGTGCACGGAGGCTCACCGCGGACCGTCTTGGTGGTCATCTTGTTGGCCGGCATGACCCAGGGGCCGTGTTTGATAGTCTTTCGGGTGCCTCCATCGATAATGCTTGGGTACCAGACTTAGCTACAAGCGTGGGAATTGGCATACAATTCAACATACTCTTGGGTTTCCAAGCGAGGCATTACTGCAGTTCCCGGAAGCTCGGTACCGGCTGGCGCGACGGTCTGAGCCAAGGCACAACCGGCCAAGACAGACCCCACGAAGAACTTCATCGTGGAAATTGTAAATAGCACGCTTCAGCAAAAGGTCAACGAAAGACTGTCGTAGAAAGGAGCGAATGGACAGCCTCAAACGTGTATGAGACGAAAATGAGTGTTGGCAAGCGACACCATGGAACTTTTGAAGAACGCTCTTATACATATATTACGTCTCTCATGATCTTCCACCGATCGTCGACTATCCACGACGAGGTCCAGATACGGGGCTTGGCCGGAGTCAAGCTTATTATGCCAAGCGAAGCCAATATCTACCTCCACAAGGAAGGCGGGCTTGGCAAGCCTATCCACCCCATATACGGAACGGAGGAAATATATTGAAGCGAGAGGAGGCGACGGATGCTGATACGATGATGCGTGGAGGAGAAACACAGTCCTCAATTGGTCCGTTGGACGGGGCAGTTGGAGATAAATTATCCCGAGGAAGAAGTGCCCTTGAGTGAGGAGAACAAGCATTGCGGGATGCGCTCATATCAGAGGCCGATCGACGTGGCGAGGCGGAAGTGGATTTGCACATCTGGGATAGAAGAAATTGATAGCAATATCTTCCCCACTGGTTGGCGTCTCGACTGCTGATGATGGGGCGAGCGATGTCCCACGCGGCGAGCAGCTGGCCACAGAAAGACAAGATCAAGGATGCGTCCCGGTCCCGAAAGCCAGTCGCATCGAACGCTAGTTTATTCAAGAAAGAAACTATCCACGTAGATATGGTGAGACAACAGCTTTGAGAGATAGGAGTGTTGAGCAAACATGGACAGACTGGGATGGACTCTGTATCAAAAGTGGAAATAATATATCCGAAAACATCAAACCGAGATCGCGTGGACGTAGGTCGTTATATATATTAATTGGCTTACCATATAGTTAACCATATAGAGATACCTCGGTGTTTGATAATGGAATGTTTCATATTCATGGCCAGAGGTTGAATACTTGAATCCCTCCCTTGTTCAAATCTACTACGTAGTACTGCCAAGTCAATTAAGAGTCGGACAAGACTGCATTCAAGAGCTTCGACCATAAAACAGGCGGAAGGTATCATGTACTAAGCTTTTGCTTGTTTTCTGGGCTGCATAGTCGCAGAACGGTTTGTCTGTCCGTCCGGCACATGTCGCTAGATCTCCTAAAACGGAGCCTAGATCCGCAAGGCTGAAGAGCGTAGATCGGCCCCGGGGCAAGGTGGGAGAGGACGTCTGTTTATTAGCTCATCGACCATTCGCATGTTGACGTGGAGAGATGCAATCGGAGCCTGGTAACAAGCCAGCAGAGAAGGTTTCACACGTTCATCGAACAGGATTGGCAAAACAAAAGATCCTTACACTCAAGGCGAGTAGCAGTCGCAAACTTGCAGAATCTGCCGCTCATGTTAGCATCTGATGGTGGCTAAGCCCCGGGTGACGCCGAGAACCTCAGGAGACCATAGATATCAGTCGTGGACGAGCAACAGTCGTGGAAAGGACGAAGAACGGAAAAGGTTGGCTTATTCCTGTATAACAATCAATTGAATTGAGTATGTCTAGATCCGAACTCCGTGAACGGCGTTGCCATACTTAAGACTTCAGAACGCCAATCGCGCCATGCGTGAACCCATGTCCTCTGCCCCCCCGGCACTGCGTAACTGCGTAACGTTGAGGAATCGGATATCCAGAGATGGAGAGGGTGTCTCTAGTATCTATATCGTGTGGAATAGTCTATATCCTAGTTAGCATCCTGCTCCAAGGCCGGCATATCGACGAAGGAAATCCAATCACGTACCCTTCGGACTAACTACCAAACCTCTCCCCTTCTTCGCCCCTCGATAAATCGTCTCGATGATATCGATCAACTCCTGCTTATCCTCTAGCACCCAATTCAACTTATTATTATTCCCTGTCCCAAAATCACACATCATGTGCTTGTTCCGCCAGAAGAACATGATCGTCATCGGGTCGTACAGCTCGTACATGTTGCTGAAGTCCGGCACCTGGTCGATGTCGCAGAGGTAGATCACCGCGAAGTTCTTCACACGGTCGGCGATCCGGTAGAGCATCTCGTCCTGCCGCATGCAGTCGGGGTCCCAATCACGGCCGAAGCGGATCACCACGAGACGTTCTTCTTCGCTGAGGATGGCTTGGTCGACGTGCCAGCCGCTGACGAGATGGGGGAGGACGACGGAACCCATGTTGATATGGAAGGCGTTTCTGTCGCTGGTGAGATTATCGGTTTGGACGATTCCTTATGACGGGTTGAAATGTTTGGATATCTGGATCGTGAGAGAAAGAGTGGAAGCCTTGGACGAGACAGTCACGTGATATGTGTTCCGGATTCATAGGACACGAGTCTAATAATACACCGGATTCAGGTTCAGTTACAAAAGCTGGGAATATGACTTCAATGATCGATACTGGTAGATGAACTAGGTTATCAATATTGCATTGCATGACGTTGGGCGAGTGTTCCGGCTTGACGAAGCATATATTGTCAACGCTGATATCACTATCACGATCCACTTGCAGGAGATCCAGAACATTGGTTTGTTCATCTTGACTTTTCCCGATCCCTAATACCATCGAACCTCACTGAACTTAATGATAATAATAATGGGCCTGGCATAGCGTCGTCCCATAATGGTACATAACATTTCCGTCATTACGCCCAAAACGACGCTCATGGAAATGCATCATGGTGTGTTCCCCCACCGAATAACGATCATGCAAAGATGTATTCCCGAATTTGCGTGATGATGTTTTGCCCATTGCTCTCGAGGTATCCACAAGTGGTTTCGCTTTTGCGGTCGTCCGTAATCGCCTCGTCTATTGCGCCTCCGCCACCCGAAGCTCATTCAACCATGACTTCGCACATCTACTTTCGTCGGAACGAGCAGCCCTCGGTCAATCGGGCCTTGCCACCGGTGGGCTGGCAGAGAACTTGTGAGCAGCCTAGATGAACATCAGTATCCGAACGCGGGTTTCATGAGGGGTGGTTCGTACCAGCGCAGACCACGACGGTTTGAGCATGTGAGAAGACGGTGGTGATGGTGAAGCAGCCGGGGCACTTGACGTCCATGAAGAAGGATCGAGGCGCAGGGACAAGAGTCTATATGGCGGGTCAATAGGATGCTCCGAGATCGTGAACTGGCGGTGGATGTACCTTGAGCTTGTGCTTCTTGGCTTCGGCGGCCGGGGAAGGGTTTAGGAGGTCAACTGCGAGAACCTGAAGTAAAGTTGGGTCAGCCGGGTGATCTTCAAAAGTTCCATGATGGTCAAGTAATGTCTTGCTGATGTCCATCGACCTGATGCATCTCGCAATACAGCCGATCGTGTGTGCAGAGCAGCAAACTAGGTCGTGTGCAACTCTCCTCGCCACCGATGACAATCAAGGACGCTTACCATCTTGACAGCTGGTAGATCTTTCGATTACTTCGCTTTTGAATTGGAAATTGGTATATCGGTCGGGTGGATGAAGTATCGATGGAGCTGTGGTGCGGATGACGGTCCTGAGGAGGGAAATTGTAGAAATTGGGCGGTGTCCAGATGTCAAATGAGGAGTTGCAGAAATTCGCTAGCCGTGTGGTTAGTCAGCCGTTGTGGTGATGGTCTGTGCGGCGGTCGCATAACCGAATCCCAGCGAATCGTTGCGACGCCACATCTCACCACTCACCACTACACTCGACACTACAGTCACCACCAGTGCAAGTTGGCTTAATACTGAGTTTAGTTAACCGACAAGAATGATGGAATGGAGCGACGTGATTTATGAATATGGCTAGGGCTGGACACGAATAAGGATTTTGGCTATTCGTATTCGACTTTTCCTCTTGAACGATTATTCGTATTCGACTAAGTTTTGAGACGTTTTATTCGTATTATTCGCGAATATTCGTAAATAATGCCAAGACTTATTCGGCAAAAGCCGAGCCAATGAGTGAATGCCCAGCAGTCGCGACTTTTGTTTACCCGAACACGATGTGGAGGATTTGAGCTCTAAGAGATACAAAGCATATCAATAGCGTCGAATTGATCACTCCTGACGATTCAGCAAGCCAAGTGACCCCAGCTCAAAGCTCTCTGTCGACCATCTCTCCGATGCGAGATACATGGAAATAGCTTCAGAGATGGACGAATAATTACGAATAATTACGAATAATTACGAATAATGCGAATATTATTCGTACGAATATTAGTAAGCGGAAATTCTAAATTTTATTCGTATTCGACTACGAATATTCGTACGAATACGAATAGTCGAATATTCGTGTCCAGCCCTAAATATGGCTGTCTAGCAGAGACTCATATGGCTTCAACCATCAGTCCAGCTACATTCAATACCTAGACAATGAGTCAAGATAGCCTCCTGGAGCACACTACACGAATCCTCGGGACGGAAATAGGCCATGCAATGAGTCAAAGGGTTATCTAATCATAAAACTTTATTGTGCTGCTATCTGAAGTCCTCTGTTCTAATCCTGCTTGATCCTATGTGTTGACCGTTCTTCGTTCGCCATCGACCCATCCCCAAACCGACCTCCCAAGCCAGAGAAGCTTTCCTGCGCCGCCCATTCGCTTTCATATATATCCCACACGATGATAGAATGGCATTAAAATGACCGTGATCGGTTTGACGCCTTGCGTGGAGCCTCTCCTCTCACCACACCTCGGACGGATCCACATGGATGTTCTCCCCGTTCGCTCGAACGTGTTTCTGGCCCTTATCCCTCGACAGCGGTTTCCGCATGTCAAATGCATCGGCATCATCATTGTAGTACCCCACCACTCGCCTATAGACCGAGTACCTACGCCCGTTAGCATCACGATCGTGTTCGCGCGATCCCCCCCCCCATCAACTGCTTTCACTCCCGCGTATCAACATGAGACCAACCACCAGCAACCGCAACCACCCACAAAATCACAAAAGTAACCGCACCCACTCACCCCATCTTCCGATACAGCTCCTGCGCACTCCGATTCTCCTCCCTGACAAACAAATCCACGAACCACGCCTCCGCCGCCTCGCTCTGTCGCTCCAGGCTCTCCGTCAGCTTCGTCGCATACCGCAGCCGCCGCGCCCCGGGGGCCACTGTCAACGCCGTGATGTGCCCGTGCCACGGGAGGTAGTTTGGGTTGGGGTTGGTGGACGGGTCATAGGGGGGGTGGGGTGGGGGATAGGGGGAGGCTTCGAGTTTGCCGAGGACTGTGGAGGGAGGGGGGGTTAGCTGGTGGATGGGATGAGATATATGTATGAGGGAAGATTATGTTGGAAGATAGCAGGGAGGAGGTAGGGGAGATGTTGCGGATTTCTTTGCTTCTCTTTTTATATGGATTTTTTGTATAAGAATCAGAACGACGCGCGCACGAAAGATACGAGAAAATCAAAGACGACGCTAAAACGAGACTCAATAAATCCAATAACTGATTAAACCCCAAGTGGAAAACCAATTCAACGCTTACTATATCCTTCAATCTGCCCATCCTGTCCCTCCAGCACCCGACACAGCTCCGGCCATTTGGTGAGGTAGTCCAGGTAGAAATTCACGCCGTACGTCTCGGTGAGGTGGTCGAGGTTGCAGGTACTGAGTTTGAAGAGGTCGGAGGCGACCATGGGACGGACGGAGGCCATTGTGGTTGGTGATGGAGTTGGAGATTATGGCTGGGGAGGGCAGTAGATGGGATGGGATGTGTGGTCTATGGGGATGGAGATGGATGGGGTGTTAGTGGTGGGGTTTGCTCATGCGATTCAAAATATTATAGTTAATGATATCCAGCTGTGATATATAGTTGATATCTTCGTCGTAGATCGGTCAAATGAAGTGAAGATATTGAAAATAGATGGAAGGAATCACTGGTTCAATTGGTGGTGTTGATACACCCACCTCTTCATCTTCAGATTTACATACATAGATCCGCTCAACACTGCAGTCAAGACACAGAAATGGGAAAACCCACGAATCCACTATTTATCCCCGAGACCACCATCGCATCCAACCAAGAAGTCTCGATCTCGAGCGTAAAAGTCTCCAAACCATACACATTAAACAGAACCAATCCATGCACACGCCAGACCACGCCAGGCTGACGAAACGTCCACCGCTACGATATGTACCCCAAACACCAAACCACCGACCCCCATGCCGTCGAAACTCCAAAATCGAATTCTCCTTCCCTTCCATCACCCTCACAACCCCTTCACACCTTCCCCCCTCCCTACACTCCCACTCCTCCCCCCCTCCTCCACCACTCCTCCCAAACTCTGCATACTCCCCCCCACCCCCATCCCCTCCGCTTCCCCACTCCCACTCCCACTCCCGCTCGCGATGCTCTCCCCCCGCTGCCCCTCCGGCGACTTCGCCCGCGCCCGATCCGCCTGCCGCTCCTTGTGCTCTGCGAGCTTGCCTCGCATCCAGCCGAGAGGACCGCGCTTGTCGCCCTTTTCGCCGTCCCGGGAGCTTTCATCTTTGGGGTCGGTTGGGCGCGGGTCGGGGGGTGGGTGGTCGGATAAGGTGTTAGGAGGGGGGTTGAGGTCGGTGGGTGGGGCGGTGGTGGGGGGTTGGAAGGGCGCAGCAACATCAACAGCAGGAGCTGGTGCTGACCCTACCGCTGATTCTGATTCTGGTGCTGGTAGCAATGTGTCTGGCCCCGGTACCAGACTGATCAACGCAGTAGACGACGCATCCCCCGCGACATTCGGCGCTGGTGCAGGCTGCGCTGCGACCGGCGGATCAGGTCGCGGCACGGTCGCGGGCGGTTGGGTGAGCGGGGAGGGATGCGCGGGGGCGGAGTTGCTATGCACGCTGGTCCCGCTCCAGCCGGCGGCTGGGTTCACGCCGTACGGGGAAGGACTGAGCGGCTGTTGCTGGGGCTGCTGGGGATGCTGCTGGAGCGGCTGCGGATGCGACTGGAGCGGCTGCTGCGGTTGCTGCTGTGGATACTGTTGCATCCCACCGGCCCTCGGCGGAGACGACGGGTGTAACCTCTCCTCCTCCCTCTCCTTATCCGACTTAAACGGCCGCCACCGCCGTCTCCGCCTCTCCTCCTCCCCTGCCACCCCCGGCGTCGTCGGCTCCTCCTGCGCGCCTTCGTGCTCATCATGGTCCGTCACCGTCGAGTGCGAGCGAAACGAGGTGGTCGGCGAGATGGTCAGGTTGGCGCCGTGCTTCGGCGCGCTTTTCGCCGGGGTGACGTCCAACATGCTGGGATGTAACGAGTCACGGTCGAGGACCTGGACGGGAGGGAGGGGGGACTGCGGATCGGCGTCGGAACTGGCGACGGTGCTAGCGACGGCGACTGCGTTGGGGCTGGTGAGGGATTGCGTGGAGCTGTTGGTGCTGCGGCTGGGGCTGCCGGCGACGCGGCGCTTTTGCAGCTTGTTGGGGCGGCGGGCAGGTTCTTTGGCGGGGTCGGAGGAGGAGGGTTTGAACATGGCAGTGAGGGATTTGGCAGGGTGGTTGCGGGAGGACGGTTCGCCGGGGTGGGAGGGTGAGCCGGAAAAGGGGGGATGGAGATGGGTGTCTTTGCTGGGTGTCTCCGGTGAGATAGGAACTGGGGTTACTGCATGTTGAGTCTGCAGAGCAGGAGCAGGGAGGGTGTCGGTATCCTCAGTGAAGGTAGGCGTGATGCCAGATGGTGCCGGATGCATTGGGGAGAGGTGCTCTTGCGGAGGTGAGAGAGTCGCCTGCGTTTTCGCAACCGTGTTCGGGGAGGGGGAGGCTGCGTCTCTGCCGAACGCGGTGGATGGCAATCCTGGCGACTTTTTGGTCGGGACCGTGTTTGCTCGATGAACGCCGCCGGTTGGCGTTGACGTCCCGAAATTCGGGGAGACGGGACTTGCAACAACTATGGAATTTCGGGAATGTCGTGATGATACTGAGACGTTCCTCCGGGCACCGCCGAACTTGCGGACGCTATCTGCGCCGGCGCTCGAGTTCGACGCCGATCTGGCGATAAGCCCCCCTTTGGAATGTCGAGGAGTCGATCCCTTCACCGATGGGGTCGGCGGACCGCTTTCGACTTCCTGCACGGTCTTCTCGTCCGCCGCCGTCCCTTGCATGCCGATCAGGAAGTGATCCTGCTTCTCGATCAGAAAGATCAGGATATCCTGGCTGAGACGGTATTCGGACGGGGACATGTCGTGCGCCGGATGAGACAAGATGCCGGGCTGGAAAATGGCGGAGAGGTTCGGCGTCGTCATCTTATTCAGATCGGATTTCGAGGCGAACACGGCCAGGAGATCGAGGATGTACAGCAGCAATTGGCGATTCAGCGGTGGTAGTTCCGTGATCAGCTGCTGATATCTTCGGATCGCTGCACTCACCTCGAATTCGCCCACTGTCGGGTTCTGGCCATCGATTTCGCCTACGGCTTGCGCTTGATGGTTTCGCAACGGATCGCGGAACTTGTCGTAAAAATCAAGGGGTATTATCGGCTCCGGCAATTGATTGAAGTAACGTCGAAGAATGTTCGCCGCGTCGTGGACGGTATATCCGGTCCAGTCCAAGCCTTTGCCGTATCGGTCTGGACTGTTGAATGTGTTGCGCAGTTCCTTGATTCGTTTCTCGGAGCCGCTGAGTCGGAAGATGCCCTCCACATCGGTTGCTGCGACGAGTCAGTGATTCGGACTGGATGTGAGCCGTATGGATCCCGTACCTTTCTCTTTGAGGAACACTCCGCATTTCGCCACGACGATTGGCACATATCCATAGATATAACTCCGCCCTTCCGCATCGTATAGTGAGATGGCAACATTCGCATATCGAATACTCGTCTGTAATGGAACACCGAAAATGCCCGACTGTGGCGGTAGTGGTTCTGCGCGAGAAATGTTAGCTCGTGGATCGCAAGATTCGAGGTGCCCATCATGCGGGTAACTGGACGATGTAAATGAAGCACCGTCTCTAAACTCACCCTTCTCGTCTTCTCTCTTCCTGTCACCTCGTTTGAAATTCTTCCACCACGACGCCAGATCCCTCTTTGACGTCGCCACCTCTGCAGCGTGAGCCGGGAACGGCTCCGCTCTGGCGCGCTGCGTCGCCATCGCGATATTTCTCCTTGTCCAAGGCAAGTATCGACGGATATCTCGAGACGAAAGGATTCACGAATGGTTGTGTTTCCACGGTTCCGTTGCTCGGCCGGGTGGAAAATCGACGGAAGGGGAATGGATTTAATTAGGCGATTGCGCGAAGGACTCCGGAGACCACGAATCGAGAATCTGGGCCGGATTTGGGAGGATTGGTATTAAGTGGGAAGTCGACCAGGGAGCGATAAGTCGGAGGGAGTTTGGTTAGAAGAGTCGTGGTGTCGATCGTGGTTCCCAGTTTTCTCAGCGAGCGACTGAGGGATGCGATGCGATGCGCGGCGATGAGCGATGAGCGATGAGCGATGAGCGATGAGAGCCAACCGGTCGCAGCGGACGAGATCCAACGATACAAACCGGATTTTGCGTCGTCAAGGTACGCCAGATGCGTGGGTTGAGTGGGAAGCACGCGCGCAAAGCAAAGGAGAGCGACTGTTGGACGAGTTGGTTGGTGGCTCGTTTCCGAAATGAGGTGAAACGAAGGGTGCAGGAATTAGGTTGAACGCGCCGACGCGACGGGGGACTTAGAGTTTCGACGGTCCTGTCAACGAGAGGAAGAGGGAGGAGTTTGCCGAAGTGAAGCGAATGAATACGAGGTGTGACAACCAAGTACGAGGTCGAGATTAGTGTAGAGAGTATCGGGCTCCGTATGATGGAGAAGTATTGCAACGACGGGCGGAGAGTCGGAGAATCGTCGGATCCGCTGACTGAAGGTGGAAGATTAGACGGAGGAGAGAGGGAGAATGAGAGTGAGAGAAGAGTGGAGAGGATGTGAGGGAGGGTTGGCTACTGTAGTCTGTACCAATTGTAAGTGGTGGTGGTGGTGGTGGTTAGAGGAGGTACATCCGAATAGCAGATATTAGACTCTCAAAGAGACACAGACTCACGACACATCGAAGGATGATGGGTCGAGGATAAATAGACAATAATACGGATGACTTGCAGATGACTTGCAGATGAAGGCAAAAAAGTTGGCATTTTTGGCATCGATTCGGGCTTATATAAGAGTGGATGGGCGGAGTAGGATGGGCAGAAATGGGCTTTGGGTGGCTTAACGGTCAGCCATCGAAGTACCTACCCAAGGTTCCCAGTCCTAATGAGCCTAAGGAGTCAAAGAAAGATGGAGCAGCATACGAAATAAGAACTGGATATATCCTGGCCGATGATAGGATGGATTTCGTCTCTCTCACGGCGTAGTATGTACCAGCACCTCATTTCACTAATAATTACAGGGAGCTCTCTCTCATCAACGACGACAACGAGGCTGGCATCATCATTCTGGTTCATTGTTCATTCGTCATCAACAACGGTATTGCCATCCCAATGAACCGGTAAATGCTTAAAAATAGATTGGGATTTCTCATTCCCCTTGGATAGGCTTCCCTCATTTCCTGTGGTGGGGTGCTAAGTTAATCGACCATTCTCATGCTTTGAAGAACGCCTTCTCTCCTTGAGGCTTCTCGACTCCAAGTCGGCTCATAGACGTCTCGATTTCTTATCCTCTCCAGTCTCTCCTTCATATGCCAAGGTGTACCTCACTATAATCAACAGGTAACTCAGTGCCCTTGGATAAGGAGCTGGCGGCAACCGAGTCGCATAGTACGCACCTTGGGGGTGTGGAGCATGGGTACCTAATATCTCGTATTCATCCTTTATCCTTCCATCTATCTTCCATTCCTTTTTCCCTTCTTTCTCATATATCAAGACCTTTCCATCTCTAGAATTAAACCATCCGAGTCTATGATTATTGATTTCACTAGTGCTCGGAAACAGCGTGGGTACGTACCTAATCCAGCCCACCAGGGAGTTGCGTCATAGGCTTCCCCCAGGCCCCGGGGTCATCCACCCGCTCGAATGACATCGAGACTCCTACAGGAATGTTTTCATATTAAAGTCGTGTAGAGTAGACAATCACTTCAATGCAGCAATTCCATCTCTAGTTTGAACATTGCTCCATCATATATCATCTAATCTTCAAAGTCAATTCCGAAGACCACCTTTGCCTCCCTCTTCAACCCTCAATCTCCCACCATCACCCCCCCACTACCACCCACCCTATGCTCCCCTTCTCCTTCCCCCCCACCACCATGTCCTCCCACTCCCTCGCCGCCCTCCGCAAATCCGCCGGCGATGAATTCGCCAACCTCGCCGACCACCACTTCCACTCCGACCTGCGCGCCGAGGACCGCGACCGCCTGCGCACCGCTGCCCAGCGCCTGAGCACCCATGCCATGATTGGCAGCATCGCCGGCGTGGGGCTGGGGCTGTTGCTGGCGTCGAGGGCAAGGGGGGCGCGCAGGAGGATGTTTACGGCGTTTCGGACGGCGGAGAAACCGACGCATGTGACATATGAGGGGGGACGGACTGGTGAGTAGTACCTAGATCCTGCGCTTTGTTTTGCTTTGGGGGTGGTGGACGCGAGGGAGGGGAGAGATGGGGGGACGGGATATCAAGCACGGCCAGAAACCCAGCCAATAACCCCCTCCTCCCTCCAGCCCCTCCACCCTCCAACCCACCCCACCGCGTCTCCCAACGCTAACTAACCACCCCCCTAGAACCCCTCCCCGACCTCATCACCGCCCTCCGCCCCTCCCCCCTCGGCGACCTCTTCGCCCTCTTCTTCTTCTCCGCCGGCGGCCTCTTCCTCGGCGGCGAGACCGGCCTGCTCACTGGCTCCTACGCCGCCCACCGCACCATCGCGTCCGACCCGGAGTGCTTGAAGCGCATCGAGACGGCGTTCCGCGCGTTCCGGGCGGATGTGCTGCGGAAGGAGGCGGATATGATGGATGGGGGGGAGGGAAGGGGGGGGAAGGAGGAGAAGGGGGTGTTGGAGAGGATTTTTTAGGAGGTGACGATGATGAGGGGTGATGAGATGGGATGGGATATGGAGCGAGATGGACGAAGGAGTGGATGAATTCGATGAATATTGTCCCACATTAAGATGAGACGGGACAGGATTCCCACCTAATGAATTCGAAGAAATTATCCGATCTTGTAACACTACGCGTAAACTGTACTATCATCGGACGCAATTCCATGTTCACCTAGCTTTCCCACGAGGGTATCTTTCCCATGTACCCCCTCCAGTGAACGCCAGCCTTAGACACTCATAAAACACGTTATCCCTCCGTATAAGAGGACCAGCTCATCTCTCCATCAGTATCGCTGTCTCAACAACCGTGGCGCCGGTGCATTCTCCTCCGCTGCTCCCGCCGTACTACTCGGCTCCGCAGCGGCCGAGACCGCATGCTGTGTCGCAAGGTCCCGAATGCGTTTGAGAAGGTTACTGCACACGAAACAAGTTAGCGGTCCATCCGGAAAAACGAAAACACGCCAACCAAAGCAAATAGAGAAATGGAGGAAGATCCATACTTCACCGGCATCCCCACCCGCCCCCCCTCCTCCCGAATAATCCCCAACCGCTCCTCTATCCCCCCCTCATGCACCACCAAATGCTCCTCAATCAACCCAACTCCGTCGTCCGTGCTCGCGCCGAACACCACGTGCGCGCATCCTGAGAAGGTGCACTGCCACGCGTCGCCGGGCGCGTTGGGCGCGGTGGAGGGGCGCGGCTCGGCGCGCAGGAGGGGGTGGAAGAGGGAGATGGAATCGGTGAGGGGGGGCTTGCGGTGGAGGGGGAGGGCAGCGGTGAGGGCGGTGGCAAGATGGTGCATTTGGGTGGTGGCGAGGGAGGGGGGTGGTGTGGATGAGGGTGAGGTGGAGGCGTCGTCGTCATCGGAGCTGTCTGCGCCGGGTATGGATGGGTAGTCGAGGTTCATGTCTGCTAGATGCGGCTCGATGCTCTTGTTGCGTTTCGACGGTCGCCGGTGCTCGACGCCATCGCCGTCAACGTCCATCTCGTCGCCCTTTCGCTTCGGCGGCGTCGCATCCACATCTCCATCGTCCATCTCCTCATCCTTGACATCCGTCGCCGCGCCTTTCCCCGAATACCGCTTCCGGCTCGCCTTCGGCCTCAACACGCTCTTACTCTTCCTTCCCCTCGTATTCCGCTTCGGCATCAACACCACCACCTCCTCCTCCGCCCCACTACTCTCCGCATCCCGCTCATCCTGCTCATTCACCGCCTCCACCAGCCCGCTCTCCGCCCGCGGCGTGGCCTCCACGCCCAACACCTCCGCCTGCGTCTTCGCGTCCATCTCCTCGCTGACCAGGGCCCGATACACAATTGTCCGCGTCCACCGCATCCGCCCCCCGTCCACCGTTACTCCCCCGTGGATCCCGTCGTCCGCCAGCTGCATCATCGACACCAGTGCCGTCGCGTGCGCGAGGAAATACTGCGCTGCGTCCACCGCCGGGTGGAGGTCGTAGTGCAGGTTGAACGCGGAGGCAAAGCCAGCCAGCGTGATGTCGCGTGTGGCGATCGACCGCGTGCGGACGGCGGTGCGCATGAATGACCAGAGCGTCTGGGCGGATTCCCATTCTTTCGCGCGGTCCTTGCGAGGCCGGCCAGGGCGGCGTTTGGGGATGAGGGGCTGGGTGTGGTCGGGCTGCTTGTCTGCAGGGGGCATTGTCGAGGGAGGCATATCGGCTGCCTTGGTCGTGGGTGTGGAGGATGAGGTTCTTGAAGTCGTGGCCGTGGTTGTTGACCTTGGGACGATTTGTCTCGTACTCGACGGCCGGTCCTTGATTGCCGGTTGCTCGGTCGCTGGGGTAGGGGATGGCTGAACCAGACCACTCCCCGGTCTCTTGACCAAATGCTGGTAAATCCCCGTGTGACCCCAATGCAGCCCATCCCTCCCCTGCCGCATCTGGCCGACGAGGAAGTTCTGATGCTTGTAGATCTTTCGCATCGCCTCGCCCGCGTCCGCCGCATATTGCGGATACCGAGCGGCGAGGCGCGCAAACACTTCTTGAGGCGGGACGCGCGCCGGTACGCGGCTCGACTCCGACGTCTTATACGTGTCGACTAGGAAGTAGAGGATGCGACACCCCTCTTCCATGTCGTCGAAGAGCGGCTTATAGTTAGCGCTTGGCCTCAACTTGAAGTGGCCGGCAGAGCCTAGGGCCCAGAAGGCGAGGGTGCCATCTAGATACTGGCCGAACGAGAAGCGGCGGACGTTGCGTGCTTGGATAAGGCGGTCCTTGGAGGGGAGCGGGTGCTGAAGGAAGTGCTGCTCGCGCTTGTTGAGCGGGGCGAGCTTCCCGACGACGGTGACGGGGGAGGATTCGTCGGCTTCGAAGAGGGAGACGAGGACGGTGGGGTGGGAGGCCGAGAAAATGTCGACGGAGGAGAGGCTGAATTCTTCGTATAAATTCTCGTCGACGATGTTCGGGTCTTTGGGGTGGAAGAGGAGGGCTTCGTCAATGGGCTGGGGAGACATTGTGATGGTAGTCTGGTAGATTGGGTCTAGGAAGTTGGCGTCATCATGGGCGAAGGAGGAGATATATGCGAAATGTGAAATGAATTGTTTATTTGGTTGGTAGAAAGAAGTAAGGAAAGGAGCGAAATCATATGGAAGTCGAGGATGAGTGAAGATTGAACTGACTGGAGTGACCCCTCAGCCTTTGAAGTTAGAAAGTGACTACTGACAAGGTACGTACCGGTACGTAATTAATGTACCTTAGTCTATAGTTAACTAGGATCCTTCACGTTATTTTTGACAAGAATAATAATGCGCCATAGTTTCCTCTTACATAGTAAAAGAGAACCACTTGCAACCTTGCCTCTCTCTATCTTCCATTCTTCTCGTCGAGGGTGTCATTTGTATACGGTACTATACAGTACAGCACTCAATTGACTCTGCCACAATGCCTTCCCATCAATCCGCCCAAGTCAATACCCTCCCCCACCCCGACGGCTCCGCAACCGTCTCCTCCAACGGCTACACAGTCCTCTGCACCGTCAACGGCCCCCTCGAAGCCCAGCGCCGCGACGAACAACCTCTCGAAGCCTTCATCGAAGTACACATCCGCCCCGCCAACGGCGTCGGAGGTATGTCATATATCCCTCCCCCCACCTCCCATTCCATCATACTAACCATCCCCCAGGACCCCCCGAACGCTCCCTCGAATCCACCCTCCTCTCTTTCCTCCACCCCATCATCCTCACCCCCGCCCTCCCCCGCTCCCTCATCCAAATCACCCTCCAGATCCTCTCCGTCCCCCCCACAGCTCAGACGCTCCGCACCGGTAGCGCCGCGTCCGTCGCTCGCATCGCGCTCCTCCCCTCCCTCGCGCACGCCGCGCAACTGGCATTGCTGGCCGCACGGATCCCAATGCGCACGGTAGCGTGTGTGGCGAGCTTGGCGGTGGTGGAGGGGACGGGGGAGGTGGGGGTGGTGGGGGTGGGGGAGACGGGGGGAGGGAAGGTGGAGGCGGTGCATGCGGTTGGGTATTCGAGGCAGGGGAAGTGTTTGTTGTGGGAGATGAGTGGGAGGGGGGATGGAAGGGGAATGAAGGCAGTGGAAGGAGAGGCGAGGAGGCGGTGTTTGGTGGAGGGAGGGAAGGGGGAGGATGTAGTGATGGGAGGGGTGGAAGGGAGGAGGGAGGATCTGATGGGGTGGTTGGAGGGGACGATTGGGGGGTGGTTAAAGGGGCAGCAGAGGTGGAAGGGGGAGAGTTGAGAATGTTGTCACGCCGTTATAGATCTTGCATCGAAGAAGACACTGAATGCGCGAGCTCACTGCTCGGAAAGGGTCGAGAAACATGCCACGGGGATAGAGGCTTCCCTCAGGCCATCTACTTAGCCGTCTCGTTCTGAAACGAGCGGGACTGGGTGCGCTCGACTGGATTTGGCCATGAGGTGTGCAAGCCTGGATTCACCATGATCTAGTCGACGCCAATGCCAGATAAAATGAAGGTAGAGGCATATGAGGCATTTTCGAGATACCTGGGATGCGCGATTTAGGATATAGAGTAGACATAGGTGTGCTGCAGGGGGATCAGACAGCAATTACCGATAAATGCCTCATATATGAGATCTCGAAGCTTTCGAGGTGTACAAAACCCATCCAATTCGTCTTTAAGCGACAGTATCAATTGGATTCTTCTTTATATCGTGTGTCGTCTTTAAGGACCGCAGCTTCTCATTCAAGTCACCTCCAGTCAAAAAAAACCAAAAAAGGGAGCAATATCAATGCGATTCTTCGCCACTAATGCTAGTCCATCCCAACGAAAACCTAATTACGAAGGACATTATCTTTTGCTCCATCCCAATGATTGAGTGATCATGCGGCACCTGGCAGTACCATCTGCTCTGCAGCAGTTCTAAACCTCTAAAATATGCAGCAGCCGTCATCATCCAGGATGGTCACGCAATCCATCTGTATCACCGGCCATCAGGGTACTCCACCGCCTCCACGGCGTGGAAGATCCCCAATAAAGACCCGTTGGTCTCCTACCGATGCTCGTTATGCTTCTTCCGATCCTCAGTTCCAAGTCATCATCATAGTCATCAAATCATCCTCATCATCTCCTCCCTCTCCCTCTCTCACCCCTCCTCATCAACACTCCACCCCCTCCACCGCTCTGGCACCTTCTCCCTCTCCCCCTCCTTCTCCTCCTTCTCCTCCTTCTCCTCCGGCCCCCCACCACTCCCCCTCCCCTCTCTCGGTGGCAACCAAATCTTCGCCCGCCCCCCCGCCTTCCGATCCAACTTCCCCACCCGCCGCATATTCATCTCCAACACAATGACTCGTAGGAAATCGCTGTTCTCCCTTGGCTCGCGCGGTCGCGCCATCGGTTGCCCCGCCCCCGTCTCCGCAGCCATTCGTCCCGCGTCCTCAAGCGGAGACGGCGCAGGAGACGACGCAGATTTTTCGGGGATGGGGCGTTTTCGGCGGGGAGATAATGGCGCGGGAGGGGGTAAGGAAGAGGCGGAGGGATGATTGGCGTGATTTCCTGCCGGCCCCGTCTTCGTATACGTCCGCAACAGAATCATCTTCCCTTTGACCGGCGCGCCCGCCGGCTCCTCCGCCCGCAACGCCAGGTTCGCATCCCGATGCACATCGCCCGGCTGCACCGCGATGCTGCTCCCCCTCCGTCTCGCCGCGCTGCCCGTCGCGCTCTCGCCGCCGCTCCATCCGATGCCGCGGCTCGTGCTGTCCGCGTCGCGGAGATACCCGAGGCGGCCACCGGACGTGGGGGGCGCGGGGTTAAAGTAACGACGCACAGGCTCCGGGACGGGCATCTCGGCGGACCAGCTCCAGCGGGGGCGCATCTCGCTGGGGAAGCGGCGGGTGGAGGGGTTGCCGTAAGGGGAGCGGGTGAGGAGGGATTCGGGCTCGGTGGTGGGAGAGGAGGTGGAGGAGGGGAGGGGAGGGTCGGTAGATGAAGGAGAGAAGGCGGAGAGGAGACGGGTCGCGCGGAGGGCGCTAAGGGAGGCAGTAAGGTTGGATTTGCGGGGTTTCGGCGGAGGTGGGGATACGTGTCGGTTTCGGGAGGTGGGTGGAGGTTCGGGATCGGGGAGGGTGAGCGCGGGGAGGTGGAGGGGAATGTCGGAGAATGACGTCGGGTCGGGTCCGAGGAGGGGGGAAATGAGCGGGTGACTGTCGACACATGCTTCGGAAGGAGGGGAGTTCACGAACTTTTCGCGTCGTCCGGTCGTGGAGGAGGGGGAGCTGGTGTTGGCGGGGGTGAATGGCATGCTAGACCCGAATGCTGACATAGAGAAAACAGAGGGGCACGCGGATGCGGGTTCGAGGCTGGGAATGCTGCTGGACGATACCGAGCGCGACGGGGTCGATCGAACGCTCCTGGGGTGGTGCTCATGCTCGGCCGCATCGCTGTCGCTCTCATCGCCGTCTTGTTCGTCTTCCGAGGCGTCGGCGGTCGTGTCTGCCTCACTCGGGACGGAACGAGGTGGCTCGAGGAGTACATCGAGCGGTGAGCTTGTCGCGAACGAAGGTGCGGCCGACTGGTTGGCACTACTCCCATGCTCCTCCTCCCGCCAGTGTCGGATCAGCTCGTCCACATTGCTTGGACTTGGGCTCTCCGCTACAGTCCGTCGTGGACTCTCAGCTACCGTTCCTCGTCTTGTAGATTGACGTCGTGGTGGCGGAATGGACGTCAGCGCCAGCAGAGCCGCGACGGCTGGTGGCAAGGCTTTGGGGTTGTGTTTCGATGTATCGGTGCGTGTCCGCGACGGCATCCGCCCGGATGGATTCCCTCCATGTGGACCGCGTGCGCGGATGGTGTGTGCGTGGGAAGGGTGGGAGGTGATGGCGGCTGTCGAGCGACTTGGGATAACGACGGGTCGAGAGGGTAGAGGAACGGTGTCACCGTTGAAGGGGTTGGTATGTATGAGGGATGGTCGGTGGCTCGAGATGTCTTCGTCGGGCATTTGTGACGTTATTGCGTGTGGATGAGAATCATGTTGGCGAAATGGTTGCACTGGAGTTGTTGCACCCGTTGTCGTCGGATCGACATCTCCAGTTAGACTCGATCGCCTGACGACTGTCGCCGGAGCCTTCCGCGTGCCTTTCAACATGGTATTTCCAAGTCCGGCCGTATTAACAGTTCCATAGTCGCCTCTTGCATGATTCTGCGTATCCTTCACATCCTTGCCGCCCTTCGTCGTCGATTTGGAGGGTTTCGGAACATGCAAAGCCTGGTACTGAGCATACGATCGGGGGGTGTACATGATCCTGCCGTCGCCGCCAGTCGCAGCGGCGATGATATAATAATCGATCCCCGTCTCCCTCGGAGAACCCACGTTAATCAGCCGCTAATTTTCCGCGTCGCTGTATTTGCGCCCGTTTCACCAGGTCTGGGGCCAGCGTGTCACCCGCGGGTACAGGGCAGGGCCCTGCCAAAGCGTGAACGGGCGAATGGGCGGGTCGTGTGCCCGGGTCCAGGAGGGTGAGGTACGTAACAGGAACGTCGCGTGGTGGACGGAGTCGGGGAGGGAAGCGGATAGACGGCTTTTGACCGGGGCTAGTTAATGTCGTAATGGGAAACGACGGAGCCTGATTCGATGCCGCACTGGAGGCGACATGAGCATATCGAGTTACGGGTTGGTTTCCACGATGAAGGTATCAATGTTGGGTGCCAGCGCAATAGGACGGATCGAGTGGGTTAAAGATGAAAATATCAGTTTGTGGGCGGAGGAAGGGAGGATATATCACTCTATGAGATAACCAGGCTTGTTCCAGCTAGGATGCAATGGGTGAATGGATGAATGAGATGCGAGTGAGTGTGGATGGGTAGTATCACTTATCACTTATCAGCCCTCACGTCACTGTCACCCGCAGCGTTCGGAGATAGTCTCTGGGACCATTGGACCAGCTGTCGGAATCTCGTGCTTGACTGATCACAGGTTTCGGTTCATGCATTTCAGGGTGGGATTGGATACATTCATTGGAGGGACAAGTCGGTGTAAAACGTAAATGGACTAACAAAGAAACATCGTTCACTTTCTTGGTTTATCGATAAGATGAATGACTTCGATGAGTACTAATTAGCGGCTGCCTTATTTGCAATCTGAAGTAATCTGCTTACCGCTAGAAGCAAACCGTCAGTGTTTAGATGAGCCATGCTCTCAAGTTCCACTGTCCGTTACTCTGTTCAGCATGTTGGATTAAGAAAGTGTACTTGGCGTGATTAAATAAATCTCAGAACGATTTCTGTGTGTATTAATTTTTATCAACATCTTTACACCAACCTTCGCGCCGCGTTGCCGGTTCGTCTACTTATCCTGACTTGGAAAACTGTGTACCATTTCCACCTGTGTCATGGATATGGGATGCACCGAGTCCGGGAAGTTAATGGATCCACCGGTCGTCGGTTTACCAGCTTGGGCCTATTATTAGCAGAGATTGACTCCGGCTCCGCAGTTGAGGGTAAGAAATTGGGTTCCGCACCAAACTCGCGAAAAGGAATTCCCAGCATTTGATGATAAGGATATTACGGGCAGCGGTGTAGAGTTCTTTTTGGAGAACCCCAGGTCTATTTGGCTCCATACATACAACTTCTATCTGAGAAGCAAGATTTATTCGCAACAGCGGCGAAGGCCAAACAAGCAAATAAAACGTAAAAGTCAAGTAACAGCCGATGGAATAACAGCCGATGGAATAACAGCCGATGGAGCAACAGCCGATGGAGCGGATCAATGCAAACCGCTGTCCCCCGTCTTCGCCATATGCAGCTGGCACTTCAACAGCGTCTCCGCCATTTTCGTCACCTCTTCCAACCGACTCAACATGACATGGTTGCCCTCGACAAACCCATAGCACCGATACTTGATCTGCGTCTTCTCGCAAAACACCCGCACCAGCCCCTGTACACCGCGCAGATTATGTCGCGGGACGCGCGGGAATAAGTGATGGATCGCCTGGAACTGCAGGCCGCCGTGCAGGAAGTCCAACCACGGCGGGCAGTCGATGTCCATCGTCGTCCGTAGCTGGCGCTGCGGGAACGACTCCGACGGACCGAGGTCGGCGGTCGGCATGCCCCAGTGGGACAGGGTGATCTGGACGTGCAGCAGCATGGTGGCGATGTGGGAAGTGAGGACGAAGGCGACGCGGGTGGGCCAGTCCGGGAGAGTACGCCAGACAAGGCCGTAGCCGAAGAGGGCCCAGTAGCAGGCCATCATGGCGATTTCGACGGGGCGGGTCCACGCGGCGGAGCCGAGGTTTTTAGAGCGGGGGGACATGAGGTGGCACCAGGAGAGGAAATAGAGGTTGAAGCGCGCGAGCGCCATGACAGGGTAGTAGGTCCATTTCTGATAGCGGACCATGACATCGGCGGCGGCATCCCAGACGAACGTGAAGTTGTAGAAGCTGCTGAGCAGGGACCGGAAATATGAGGGTGAGGTGGAGAATATCGGGACGTTTTGCAGATCGGGATCGTGTTCCTAAGCATGTCAGGCTCCAACATCCTCTCATCCAGAGCGGCGAAACTTACCGGCATGTTGGTGATAAGATGATGGACGTTATGGGAACTTTTCCACCACCCGATGGAAAGTCCGCAACAGAAATCGGCGACAAAGGCGCCGATGAGGGTGTCGGCAACGAAGTTCCCCGTGATACCCCGATGCCCGGCGTCATGAGCGACGAACATGATCTGTTGCTATCCAGATGTTAGAACGATGTGACCATTGGCCTGGTGCAGGTATTATCTTACCCAAAACATGCCCAGGAATACGGCCGATGTTATATACCATTCGGCGTAAAGGAAGCCTAGGAAGCCTGAGAACAGAATGCCCCAGCGAATTGCATCTTTGCCGTACTCCGAATAGCGACACTGATAGAACCCTTCCTTCTTAATTCGTTCGTGCAGAGCGCCGTATTCTTTTGAAATGGCTTCCTGCGTCTCGAAGTCGAGAGAAGGATAGTCGAGCATATCGCTATCGATTTCATCTTGTTCCAAGGACGCGATGTATTCGGTTCGAGACGGTCGCTTTCGGAGTGTGCATGCTACTTCGCAAATTGAGCCTTGCTCTTCATCCTTGATGCCGGAGATCCGTTCGCTACCGACAATTGGAACGCAAGTTCCTTTGTCGGTGTCATTATCGAACGCGGTCGTGAGCACCTCGGGCACTTTTTCGGATACGAGTTCGGTTGAGGTGGGTAGAGTCGAGGAACTCCAGTCTGAGTCGTCATCGTCGGTCGGTGCAACGGTTTTCTCTTCTTGCCATTCGCCACGGACACAGCAGTCGTTGCTGCGGATGGGAGGCGTGAGGTTGGTCCAGGGTAGTTTGACTTTGGCGATGCGGTATGCTTTCATAAGCCGCTGGGTCTTCGGAAGATGGTACCTGCATCAGCAACGTCAGCGCATGTACGGCCCTTGCTGATCCAGCTTGACACGTTATCCATGTAAATCTGTCAATCTACGCACGTCGGAAGATTCCACTTGGAAGATTCCACTCGGATTGTGAGCTATGCGTCATCAATCTAATAGCGCGAGTTCTGAAGGTGACGAGGGACGCTCATCGGGGGTTTGCTTGGATGGCAGCTAGGACAGGATCATGGGCATTTTCATAATTACGCGTTGATCTCGTTCGTTGCGTCTCTTCCAACCATGTGCGCGATGGGCAGCAGTCCCCCGGGGTGCTTGTGAAGCCATGAATCTAGCTGCAGGACATGGCCGTTGTAAATGACAATCGTGTGGCCGTCGGCAATGAGGCCTTGGACCTGTCGGGCGGAAATGACGCTGTTGCGGTCCATGGTAGACGGCTGAGGTAATGAGGGAATGATGACCGATGAAGTTCCTGACCCTTTCCCGAGCAATGGATGGTAGGAGGGTACTTAACTACCGTATGTAGTATCCCAAACTAACGAGTTACGACAGCGGCAAACAGTCAGGGGCTCGCTAAATATAAAATAAGGTGATTCTAGGCTCTCTGGGCATTCTGCAGTGCTGGGCATTCTGTTATTTCTGGCCAACCCCCTAGTTATCGATTATCGAAATCTCCTTGAATCACTCTCCAAGTCTCACTTAAGTAATTAGTTCCGAAACTAAAGTGTACTAGGTTGTATTAAAATCGACCCCTAACGTAATCCACTAACCACCAGATACTCCGCCACCAAACTATTTCGTGCATTGGTGTATGTGACAGCAAAGTTTCTGCTCCGGCCCGATGGTCATAGTCCACACTTGCAAACATGAAATGAGTCTCACCCAGCTGATGCTTATCTTCGGACTTCAATCTCCTACTCGTCCTTGGCGGTGGAACAGATCAATTGGCTCTTGCATCATCGCTACGTTAATCCCAAGGAGGTTGGAGACAAAGACGGCATGGAGAGGGTGTTTGAGATTCAATTCGACCCTCCCCGCAGTTCGACACGGCTGGAGAGGAGATCCTGCTCTAATCGTCATTGCCTCCTCGGTCAAATCCCACATTCTAGAACTGCCATCCTATGAGGCTTCGAGAACTATGCATGCCTGTGACCATCCTAGTGATCGGGTTCCAGTTCTCTTGTTCTTATAGGCTAATTATCCTCCTCTAGGGCCTGAGGTGTTCCAGAACTTGCCTTGCTCGGTTAGCGTTTCTCAGGGGATTAAGATTACCGCAGATACGGACGTAGCCAAACACGCTAAAAACTGGGGTTAGACTTAAACTTATTGTGGTTGAGCGTATGATATTTTACCAATTAAACAGGAACTTAACAGATATATTTCAGATAGTGCGCCCCGGCTATTATCACAACCTGGCATCTTTGGTAATCTAACTTGCGGATTGGGTGGGGTTTACCCCTTGGCGACAGGGGATGCCTGCTCAATACCTGTGGCAATCTTAAACCCCTGATCCACGTTAACCGGTTAGAGCAAGTGCTGGGACACATCCAGGCCAAAAGCGATAAGAGTCTGCGAGATCGAGAGTACTCCGCCACACGTGTCCATTCAATATTTCGATTCCTCCATTAATTGAGGGGGATATTGGGCGCGTGGCGTGAGTAAACTAGGCCACAGTTTCACATACTCTGGGATATTTCGGGTCCGCGTACATGTGGTACCTGATACTGATGTAAATTGTAGAACAACGCCCCCCCCCAATTTGCTCTCAGTTCTTAGACAGTCCGTTGTCTTCATCAACCAAGTTCGACGCGGATTGCCTAGCGAGACGCTGTGCTACGAGACGCCATGCTACAACCACGGATAGCAATCCTGAAGCCGTCCACGCGTTTTAAGCGGTTTGATATTATGAGAAGTCCGGGTGAATGCAGCAGGGAGCAATTTCGGCGACTCTGAACCTCGCGCAACGGGCCGACCTCGACTTCAAAGTTCAAATGCTCCTTGAAGCGCATGCAGAGTGGACTGATGAGGATACGCAAAGATGTACTCCTGCGTAATGGCAGTCGTACCCCAACGTCGCCTTCTCGTCTCGCCGTTTGCATACGTGTTCGAGCTAACTACGGTGATACGTAATTACGTACGTATCACTCCACCGACGCTACAGAGAAAAGTCTACGTTGGACTCCCTCTCCGTTGGACTTCCGCCAACTCTCGATCCGTGACTTAATTCCTGCTTTCTTCTTTCCATGGAACACCCCTTCGCAGACTTTAATCAGCCTGGAAGAAGCTAAAGATGCCTGGACAGATAGATAGTCATAGAATCCCGCCTCTGTAAGATTCTAGGAGACTGAAGAGCCGACGAATTTTGTCTAGGGGATGTAGAAATCTGACATAAACTCTTGATGCACACACGGCTTTAGAACGTGTCATATTGGAGAAGAGGGAACTGAGCTGACCAGAATCCGTGCGATGCAGCGTTGATGTCGCTCTATCTCTTTGCCAACCGTTAGCACTAGTCGTTATACGGTATCCATAGGCATGTTCCAGTCTCGCTATAGATGATGGTCGCCGTTACCTCATTTTCCATAGTCTACGGCGTCCTGTCTAATCGTGGTCGTAGCCTTCTTAGTATATCTCATGCTCCTGGTGTCAATACCGAACAACGGGGCGGCTCGAGAAGTATATAATTAGGATGAACTCAGTTGAGTTGGTCTGTACCATCATACCATGGGTTTTTCATCAGTCAGCAGTCTGGGTCTCCAAGACCTCGGGGTAAGGTTGGAAGTAGTCTGGGGTCGACCCATACTCTTGTAGTCAACTCCATCACTAGGAGCAACTATCGTGATGCACCTCGCAGAACAGCCCGCAATAGCGAGAATACCCCAGTGCGGCAGCTCAAAGACAACCTAAAAGTCATCGGAGAATTTAATTACGGATCAAGTACGGAGTAGGTTGGGGTTGGTCCGTTCAAATTTCGAGATGGGTATAGGTGGTAGTTTCGGGTTCAGGTTGTTGCCGTGGGCAACGGTCATCAACAACGCCATGGTTTCGCCAGTTCCACTCCCCGAATAACTTCAAGATGGATCATACGCGTTGCACCACGGCTCTTTATCTGTACAGTCAACATAACCGACCTTAAAAAGAGGAACTGTACCTGCTGCTTCACACATTCGGTCAAATAAAGCAGTCTGGTGCTACGGGACCTGTTCACAACAGCTTGTTGTGTAACACTCGAGATACCTCACGCGTACACAAACCTCGACCACCAGCCTCAGACCTTCCACCACCCCTTCAATCCGTGATCGATTTGTTGACCTCTTTTCCGATGGTCTTCCTGCTCTGATTCTCCGCTCCTGTCTTTTGTTTCACGTCACTCTTTACCATCGCTCTACCTATCATGCCGAGATTACAATCGCCCACATCTTACCATCATTCTCACGCAGGAGAAAAGATGGAGACGGATACCTCGTACCTCACCGAGCAGGTCGCAAACATCATCGCTCAACTCCACGGATTGTTCGATGAGATCGGTGTGCCTCGAAATGAGCGAGACGCACGAGAATCCGAGTTGTTTGCCGCTCTGTCGGAAACACTAGACCACCAACTGAAGTCGGTCTCAAAGTAAGTATTCTCTTTATCATCTCCCATATCAGAGATCTCACACCAACCTCTCAGTGAGAAACACGACCTCCACGCGACCGCCAAGCGCCTCGCTACGACAGTTAAGCAACTTCAAGCCTCCCTCGACGACCGAGACCCACGCACTCAATCCCCACGCGTCAATGACTCGGACCCAGACCTCCAAATTACCTATCCCCTGCGCGAATGCCTCACGCGGCTCGAAGAAAAACACCACAATATGGAACGCCTACACCAGGAGCGTCTCGACCAAGTCAACAAGCTCGTCACCGCGTTGACATCCTACTCATCACACCTTGACCCCTCCCTCCTCACCATCCCATTACCACCCTCGCCATGTCCGGCCACCTTCTCCCTCTCACCCACCTACATTTCGCAACTCGACAACGCGTTCACGTCGATCTATGAAGTCTACCAGTCCCGTGTCGCGCACGTGCGATCACTGGCCACCGAGCTGATCAACCTCTGGGCCGAACTCGGCACCCCCTCCGCACAGACGGAACAGCGGATCGTCGAATGCGCGGAATCGTATCCCGAGCAACTCGGCCTGCGCGAGGCGGACATCAAGCGACTGCAGGCAACGCGGGATCGGTTCGCGAACGAGAAGGCCGGGCGGGAGCGGAAGGTGGCGGAAGTCGGGGGGCAGATTCGCGGGCTGTGGGAGCGGTTGGGCGTCGAGAAGCAGTATCGGACGCAGTTTGAGCGGCGGAATCGCGGGGTGGGGATGAAGGTGTTGAATGAGTATGAAGAGGAGCTGAGGCGGCTGTTGGAGTTGAAGAGGCAGAATTTGGGTGTGTTTGTGGAGGAGGCAAGATTGCGGTTGCAGGAGCTGTGGGATGAGTTGTTCTTTTCCGAGGAGGAGATGTTGGTGTTTACGCCGGCGTTTAGTGGTATGCCTTCCTTTCCCAGACTGGCAGCAGATGCGCCGTTCCTTCTCTCCTCTCCATCTCCTGTCCGATATGAGACTAATTTGGCCTTCAGATGTGCACACGGATGCTCTTCTCTCTTCTCACGAATCTGAAATTGCGCGTCTCACCGCTATTCAGTCTGAACGCGCCCCTATATTAGCGCTCGTGTCGAGACATCGCAACCTTCTCGAAGATCGAGCTTCTCTCGCCGCCTCCTCGCAAGATGCTTCCCGGCTCATGAATCGTGGGCAGAAGGGCGAGAAGCGCGACCCGGGCAAGCTGCTACGCGAAGAGAAGATGCGCAAACGCATCCAGAAAGAGCTCCCCAAACTCGAAGCCGAGTTGCGGAATAAGCTGATGGATTGGGAGGCCGAGTACGGACGGGACTTCCTGGTCTGGGGAGACCGGTATCTGGACGAACTGGAGGATGGCGCAGTGGCAGAGGCGGCGAAGAAGCAGCCCACGAGAAGCAAGACGCCTGTTGCGCCAGCGCCAGCAATGAAGAACCCAAAGTTCTCTGCATCAACATCGAAGCCTCAACATGGTACGGTACGCGGCGCGCCACCACGATCGAAGACACCAACGCCATATACCACCACATCCTCCACCACGAACGGCACCATCCGCCCCGCTCACCACACCCGCTCCAAAACCGCCGGCTCCATCTCCCCGAGCAAAATCCCCGCCCGCGCTCCCCTCCACCCCGCCGCCGGCAACACCATCTCCCCCACCCGCATCCCCTACAAACCGTCCGGTCACTCCTCCGCCACCCTCGGCCGCCAACCCGCCCCACCACCCCGGATGGACCTCAGCAGCTTCCTCCCTCCCCGGGCCGAGACGCCCGTGACTAGCAGCTCCGGAAGCCCCCACCTCGGCAGCGTCGTGCGCGCCGTGCCACCCGAAGACGTCTACGAGGACAGTGGCTCCCGCCAAACTCGTCTCCGCCTCCAGCACCTACAAGGGGGCTCCGCCAACGCGTCCGCGTACGGCCAGACGCACGCCGACTTGCGCGCCCCGTCGTCTCAGGGGGGCATGTACAGCCGGCCCCCCAGCGCTGCCGCGTCCATGCGGTCCGTCGAGTCGGGCCTCAGCGCCAGCCAGAGCCACAGCGGCGGCAACGGCGCGCAAGCCAACTGGTATCCGATGGCGCCGCCGCCGCCGCCGTCCTCGTCGATGTCGTCGTACGGGGCGAGCTCCCACGGCATGTCGTCCGGTGCGCCGTCGCGGCAGATCAGCGCCGGGAGCAGCCAGAGCACGCAGAGCGGGGTGATCAGCGGCAGCGAGAATTGGGAGACGTATTCGGAGGAGAGCGGGAGTGAGATCGGAGGGTCCCAGGGGGAGCGGGGGGCGTACGAGGTGAGGGGGTATGATGCCCGGGGATATCAGTTACCGATGCAAGAGTACATGGCGAAGCACGGGAGCGGGCATGGGGCGCGAGTCGGCCATGCTGGGACGGTGAGAGGGGTGGATAATGAGGTGGAAACGGAGTGGACGGACGAGGATGGATTCTGAACGACTTGCTTTGAAAGGCGTAGAAGGAGTGCTCAGTTGAATTGGGGCGGAATTGTTTTGACTTGGACTCGATTATGAGCGGAAGAGGACTGCCTCATGATGTACTTCCTTTCTCTCCCCCCAAGCTCTCACCTACAGTCCGTTGCACGCGCTGGTGGGAGTTGATGTTCGTGAGGGGATGAGAGCATCCAGCTCATCCACTATGGAGATAGTTGATCTCCTTTTCAGGCTCTTGACTGCAGGTTAGGTCATTAGGTACCATTGGGTTCTCTGTATTTTGAGCGTAGCAGGAGACTTATCAACGTTCCAACTGTCCGGTACTTGTACTGCCTACTGCATATGATCGTCAGTTTGTCAGCCATTCGTACCCCGTATTACCCTAATTGTTAGGGACTACTATGAAGATTCCCACGTGCTTCATGGATCACCATCTGTTCCATCTCCCCTTCTCTAGAGCCTCCATGTCGCAATTCGTATCAGACATCCCTTAGGTTGATAATAATTATATGCCCAAATGTCCATCGTGGAGATCCATAAGAAGAGCCTAATTCAATCCTGATGCCATCGCGTAACTCTATTGCGTTATTGTCCCAGATGCCCTACTTTGTCAATATCCCGAAGATCGTTTCCGCAATGAGCAGAAGACGGAGGAGGGGAACCGTGTTCCAGTCAAGCCATCTCGCCTGGGGCCAAATAGACTCCCCGTTGCCAGTTCAGTTGAACCCGGAGAGTTCTTTGAGCCTCGCCGCATAAGATTCGGTCGCGTGACCACTGAGTCTCTAGAAGGCCTTACCTAATGAAAAATCATCATCATTTCTGCATAAGATTTAAAGCCAACGCAGTTAACATCCACCAAGCCAGGGTACTCTGATGGCCTAATGGTTCAAATTGGCGGAAGAAAATCCTACAAGCGCACATGCCAAAGGTTCGTCACGGAACTACTGGGCACTGAACGAATATCGAAGCTTCAATGGACAGCCAAGCAAGATCCAGATGTCAAGAAATGTAGAAATTCGCGGCATCGTCCCAGTCTTATTTCATGGCTCGTTTCCCCCCCCTTTGAAGCTTATCTTGCACAGTACACCATGCAATGCAACCTCGTATTAGGTATCTGATGTCTGATCCGTGATCCTTCACAACCGGGGCACTTCCACTTTTATTTAGCGTCGCCCCTACCGGCTGATCTAACCTGTATAGGATGGTGTCAAGAACCTTGGAACATGGGCAATATCAAACTCGCTCTTTAACCCCCAATACAGTTGCCATGCGAATAATGCCAAGGTCAGGCCCAGCATTCCCGGTACTCGCGTCGTCCAAAATGCTTGTTCTGCCTTCTCCTCCGCATCTTATCTATGGGATGCCTTCGATCTTCCTAAGTGGTCATGCTAGTCCTTAGTGTTATCGTCCGCTGTGCTTGGAAGTTAGACCCAATCTTACGGGATCAACCAGTAGACTTCCTAGCAGTGTGATAGAGAGTATATATACATGGGCGTCCGCCTACCTGGCTCACGGTACAACCTGGTTTCCATCTGACGGAACAGCACAATAATTGGCGTGGAATATTCTGTTGTTGGCTAGCAACCATGTCGAAAGCGAACGAAGCGAATTTGGAGGAACCGGAGGTTCACATGAGACCCGTCGGTACACTCGATAGCTTTGAGAACCAGAAGACGGAGTTCCCAGCTGGGGGCATTCAAGAGGAGGTCGCAGTTAAGAAACCTTGGGGGCAAAGGATTGTCGACGACCTCAAGACCCCTGGCCATGCGTTCCAAATCGTTGTTGCCGCGGCCATCGCAATTGGGATTGGTATCGCGGTCTCAGTGACGGTAGACGACGTTCCTACTGCGGCACCAGCGATCCTCGGGATCCCCGGTACTCTGTGGTTGCGAGGATTGAAGGCGACAGGTCGGTCCATGGCGGAAACCACTCAACCCCTCACTGACGTTTTCCAGTTCTTCCCTTGATCGTGGTGGCTATCATCATCGCCATGCAAAATCTGCGGCAGATGGCCAGAGAGGGCGCGGCGCTGGCGCGATATACCATCATGTTTTACGTCGGCACAACCATTCTCGCTGTCATCCACAGCATGATCATCACGGACCTGGGCTGGCGCCGCCTCATGCGAGATGTACGAGACAGCCTCCCTGAAATGAGCGAAACCGCCGAGGAGAAGGTCAAAGCAGGAGACAAGCAAGAACCACACGACATCGTGGTCACTGTCTTCGAATCTTTCATCCCTGCCAACATTGTTAGTGCCGTTGCTGAGGACGAGCTGCTGGCCGTGCTCATCACGGCGATTATTGTCGGTCTACTGATCAAAGGGCCCAACTCCTCGCTGCTCCGCGCTACGAAGGAAGTCGAGCGCATTGTGAGCATCGCCATTGCGTTCTTGATTAAGCTGGCACCACTCGGCGTGTTCTCGTTGATCTTGTCGAATCTCTTGACGCTCGACGTCGCCGCGGTTGGTGTGAATGTTGGGGTTCTCTTAGGTGCATCTATTGCCCAAATGCTCGCTCATCTCTTCCTCGTTTTACCCATGATTTTCTTCCTCATCACTCGGACGAACCCATATAGTTACTGGATGAAATGTTCGCCAGCGTGGATCACCGCGTGGGGAACCGCATCCTCTGCGGCCACCATGCCCGTAACGCTGAGGATGATGCACGCAAGGAAAGTCCCGGATATGGTTTCTCGATTTAGTATCCCGCTCGGTACTCTCATCAATATGGATGGGTAAGTCTGCATGAACACACGAGCTCGAGTAGCATTTGGGGCGGAAGAAATTGAGGGTCCTTCACCTCTGAGACATGCTTCAGGATTCAGGACCCCCAATTTCGTCCACCTCGGAATCTTTCTTTGGGTACTAACCAATCTGTAGGACAGCAATTTACTTCCCCATGGTGGTCGTCTTTCTCGCCACAACCCAGGGCATAAAACTGAACGCAGGCGACTACACCATTATCGTGCTACTCTCCACGCTCTCCTCGATCGCTACCACCCCGATCCCAAGCTCTTCTCTTGTGCTGACCGTCATGATCGCTAATGCGGTCAATGTACCCGTCACCGGCATGTTCGCCATCGTGGTTGCTGTAAGTGCAAGGGACAATACAAATAGCACGGACAATGCTAATCATCTCGAAAGTTTGACTGGCTCATCGACCGCTTCCGGACCATGACCAACGTCAGCGGCGATATGTATGCGGCGAAATGCCTGGAAAAGCTGACTGGCATCACGGATAAAGATGAACTAGACCTGAACTTTGAAGAATCGAGGGGGAGCGTTGGCCATCCAGAGAATTATCGTGTATGAAAGGGTTCTCCTGTTGGAAGCTTGTTTCTGCTTCTTGGTTTCCAAGGATGGCTTCGCGCACTCACCGCGGCCGCTTGTGTAACTTTCGCATCTTGAAAACCAGAGACCAGCACTACGAACCGCTTCGAATTAAAGGGAAAGGCCCCTGATAATTAATAATATGCCAAAGGAGCTTCCAATGGAGGTCCAAGCTTTACAACATTTCCCTCAGGCCTCATGTCACCCAACCTCAGCCTTTGTTCAATAATAACATGCCCTTCACGATCAGCTCGCAAGGCTGCGATTTTGTAGCCCGAGTCTAGACTGCGGTAGATGCCGCTTCACACAGGTTGTCGGTCTCCGAAAGCGGTGGGCTGCCACCTCAAATGCTGCTAATACCATAGTCCAACAGCAAATGCAACTAAAATACAGGTATTAGCTCTCCTTTCCACGAGGCTGAAGGGAAGAGAGTTATTATTGACCGACCTGCGACTCCGTCTATTTAAGAGTCTATTATGCTCAGCAAGTAACTGTCAGCTGTTCCACTATAACCTATCTTTTCCACGGTTTGGCTTCAATCTTTTCCCTTAGAATGGTAGCACCAGCGCTTATGGACGCCCAAACTTCAACAGCAATTGCTGCAATCGTTATTGCTTCTCTTGCCTTCTTTATCGCCTTGGCTCAAGTTCTTCAGCAATATTTTCAAACAGGTCACTCAATTAGACTCTGTGATAGCGTGGTGTACGGTCCTTTACCAGGAAAAGGGAAACGGGTCTGGCAAAGGGATCAATGGCGCTTCCGCGTCATATATTCTATTCCACAGATTTGCCTGGACCCGAGCATATGGCCTAGTGAAGCACCTTCATACGCAGTTGGAGAACATAAGTTGGAGCTAATTGCGGAAAATACTAAAGAAGAGAAACAGCCGGATCCGTTGGAGCTGGAAGATTCATTAGTGGCGATACCAGTCCGGCATGAATGGTTCTCTACTACTTCAAGCCGTAGCCTGACTGTACCGAAGGCTTCTGCGACTCCAGCGCTGAAGGACATGAACGCCGGTGAGGCTTCCTGGGCATCTTTCATTCGTGCCACAGAGTCTGGATGCGGCGACAGCGTCAGATATGACGTGGTCACAGCCGACGCGGATAGGGTGCCCTCCGATCTGAACACTGTGCCAATGCTGGTCTCCATGCGCGAGATTATCATCATGGGTCTCATGGCCGAGATGGAAGTGACGAAATTTTCATTTTCGACAAGGCTGCTCGCGATGCAAGGCACTATCGGAAGCATTTCGTCTTCTCACCACCCTACTCTAGGACTAGTCTTGCACTTCGCACCAAGGCCGCTTCGTAATGGCAAACACCAGCGCGAGAGAGCGCTTACGCCTTCCCTTTGGAGAGGATATGTCTCTCGATGGTGGTTAGTGAGGACGTGGGATTCTGTGGCCGTCGCAGGGAAACACTATGATAGCCATCGCAGACGGACTTCGCGCAAGTTAGACAAGCGTTGGAGGCGTGATAACCTTAGGAACGCCGAATACGTAATCCATCATCCGAGCCATAGCGACGACCTGATATGGCATAGACCGGGAAAGGAACCTGACACCGCTTTTGTCCAACAGAACGATTTGGATCCGAAGCCAGTTCATAAGTCAACACCTTCAATCATCGAGGAAATGAAAGAAGCTGCGTGGGAGGAAACAAGCTACTCGATCCATGCTGAAGCAACAGTTCGTAGACATGAGCATGATGGTGTGTGGACTTTCTACCTTCCCAAGAAGGCGAAGGACAAGATAGCGCCTAGAAAGAGCATCCGGGCCACTGCATTATCTAACGAAGAGAATACCGCAAATGAGGAGCGCGAACAGCAGGGGAAGAACACCGCAAGAGAATGGACACAATATAAAGCACCTTTGAATGGACATAGACCCTCGGAGGCTGACATTCTAGGACCAAAAGTCTCCCAAGGGAACTTGTCCGAGAAGGTTCAAGAGATATATGAACCTGAACCTATCCAGAAGCTTGGTCGAAGAGCCACGGTCGAGGATGCAACTGATCAAGGCGAAGGTGACGGGGAGGAAGCAGACAACACGGGTCTGTCCCATTATACCCACTTTCAGATCCCCGCGGCTACGGATCGCTCCGACACTGGTGGTTTGGTTACAGACCAACGTCGTTCGGCTGCGGAAGCTCGACAAGCCGCTCGGGATGAGGCGTATCACCGCCAAAACCCCGACAAAACGATTGCCTCGAAAATATACGAGCGCGATGAAAAGCGGCAAAAGGTTCGGGAGAAGGCGCTAAAGAGGGAGCTACAGCGAAGGCGGCGGAATCGAGAACGAGAGGCTGACATTGGACTTCAAGATGTCTGTCCTTTCTGGTGGAGCCAAATCGATACCATCGATGGCCCGTGGGCAACCCCTTGGAAAAAGAATCTGGGGGTGCCCACGGAAGATGCGCTCGTGGGCGGAATCATGGTCGTCCTTGAAGCACTTCTCGGGTTTCTTGATGAAGATTCGCTCGTGTATGTCTATCCATATTCATGGCAAGGAGCGGCATTCCAACATGCTGTGAATTTCCTAACTGTCGAAAAGCGGTCGTCATGGCCTCCTTACGCAATCAATGGGCAAAGAGGTGTAATTGCAGATGGTGTATTGGAAGGGAGTCTTGTTTCCGCGTTTGCAAACCCAGTCCCAGTATTGGAGTTGCTGTGGAGTTACGAGTGGCAGATTGCTGATATTTACCTCTGGGACCACCCCCTTAGACTGCTAAACGCTGAGATTGTCCGCATCGATGCTTGGCTATCCTATGTTGGACGGCTGCCGGAGATCATCGACGGCAAAGGGCAGTTACTGGATAACGTTCCCGCACTGGTTCAGTTGCTGTCAGAGGAGTTCGAGCAGGACTTCATAACTTTAGACCAGTCGGCTGAAGGAGATGGGTACCAGGACATTCAAAGCTTGGTTGGAAATGTCCTGGATTTTTTTATTGAGGACGAGAATTTGAGTGAGCCGGAGCAGTTGTATCTCTTGGTTGCCCTGCTGAGGACATACAAGGTATGCCAGTGTATTCAAATGGGTGAAGACACTAAGCCATTAGAAGAGGTGATATTAAGGGACATCCAAGCATACATGGTGTAGGTTAGATAATGAATTTTTTGATATGAAATCACCCTGCCTGTTCCGCCGTTGCACCTGGATAGACGGTGTCCAACCAATATATCTTCAACAACGCTCTCAGTGATATATGAGCCATGAAAATTAATTTGACTTATAACCTAGCTTATGAAGAAGTATGGGAATCTTTTGACTACTCTCTGCCAATGTTCCCCTAGGTAGGGTATTACTGTCAAGATGGCAGAATCGTGACCGGTTTTGCCACAACGGCCGTTGATATTCGCGATTCTGCAAGGTTACACGTCTCAGTCGATGCTATATCATTAAAAATACGAAAAATGAACTAGAGTTAGTACACAGCATTGAATTATAATCTCGCTAGGAGTGAAGCAAAAAGGACGAAAAAGAAATCCGCTGAACCAGGATCGAACTGGTGACCTTTGGATACCATGCATGATCAACGAGGATCCGATATTACAGTCCACTGCGCTACCAACTGCGCCATCAGCGGCTTCATTGATGACAATTTTGAAAAATCTGTTTATAACCCAACTGAATTTTCACCCAACCAAGAAACCTCTATAAAAAGCTTGGAACAGCGTATGAGTGGCCATTAACTCGGCAATTCAACGGCATCAAATTATTTGCTCATCTAAGAAATGGATATCTTGTAATACAACTGGATTCTCGCATGCCGTCAAAAATTCTCTGTCCGGAACAATGCATCGTTTTGAAGAAAATACGAATTTCAGCATATCAATATCGTAATACGCATCAGATAAATAGCCCTCCAACCATTTAGTCGCCCTTTTTTGACCTCATCCTGTCCAAAAGCGGAAATAAATCGCTCGTGTCTTTGATGATGTTAATCAAATGGCAATAAAATTCCATGGGAGGTCCTAATACTACCATTTACATCACCCAAACCCGATCGCGGTGAGACGAAAGTCGATTAATCCATATATCGAACCCTGGACGCCCCTAGTGATCTTCTTGTAGCCCTTTGAAGGGGCCTGCTCAATTTGTGTACATGAGACATTGCAGACGAGGCTAGAGAAAGCTTGGGTAGGTCAAGAGGTCTAGCGATACAGCCACAAAGCTTTGCTTGGACTACTGCATTATATATCCATGTCATGAACTATCCGGAGTACCATCATTGGAGGAGGAGGGCAAAACGGGGAGCACCTGGTGAAGGAGCTAAATAAGAGAGCGGCGGGTTATTCATGGCGACCGGAAAGGTTGAACGCTTCAGTCCGATCTCTGCTCACCTTTGGCCCTACATATCGACCAGAATCCCCATCACGGTCTCATAATCCCCTCAAGAGCGAGACCCTCTACAGTCATCGACCATGCGTATCTCCATACTCCTTACCGTCCTCTCCCTGGGCCTTTACATCCACGCCCAGAACGGCACTGCCGCCGTCCTCACCAACGTGCTAGCCGGCCAAATCATCTCCGCCGTCGAAGCCCAAGCCGCCAGTATCTCGGTCCCCCAGAACATCGCCATCACCGACCCGGCGGGCCACCTCCTCGCGTTCAAGCGCATGGAGGGCGCGGCACTGGTGAGCATCGACGTCGCATTGAAGAAGGCGAAGACGGTTAGTTTGTTCGGGGGGCGGTTCGGGACCGACGACCTCACGAACCTGGTGACGGCTGGATCGGCGTTTCAGGGGTTGGAGCAGACGAATGGCGGGTTGGTGGTGATTGGAGGAGGGCTGCCAATTAAGGTGGGGGGAACGTTTGTGGGCGGACTGGGTGTTAGTGGAGGATTGGCGGCACAGGATGTGGAGTGTGCGGAGGCGGGAGTTGCGGCGGTTGTATAATTTGAGGGAGCTTGGCTGGAACAAGGAGCCGTGTGGGTAGGAAGGATGTCGTTAAAGAGTGATTTAAGCACGCTAATCATCAGACATCTGCTGTTGCCGCTCATCTCTTGCTGTTGACTATGCATTCGGATGATGCCCTACAGAATCTTGAGGATGATACCACCAACCCCATTGCTGTCACCGAGGCAGTACGCGTGATAGCTTGACGATAGCCTGTCACCAATGTCCTCCGAGCATGATCACTGCCGCTAATTATACAGAGTAAAGCCAAATAGTCCCGAACGCCATGCTCTTCTTGTGTCCAATGCAAATGGTTTACTGTCCCTTCTTGGCTTTGGCTTTGAGTGCCTTTCGTCGATTGCTGCGAATCATGACGATCGAAAGGAAGCTTCCCACGACCGCCGACCCGAGGAGGATGAGGATGACCGGAATCCGAATCGCCCACACTCGGGGTGGGAACAAGGAGTGGAGTTGATGGCCTTCATCGACAAAGGGCTGAGGCGGGAATCAGCGCCAACAGTTCCAAGAAAGACACGGCTCGCGTCCGAATCGCGCGATGAGATTCCCAGAGAAACGAAAGAAACGTACCATTAGAAGTGTCCATATCGTGTAGTAGAGAAAGACGGTGGTAGCTACAATGAGCATCGCAAGGCCAACAAGCCGGTCGAGCTGGACGTTTGGTTAGCAAAGTCGCGTGCGGAGTACTCAATTGTTGGACGCAACTCACCATGATTGCAGTCCAAGATTGTCAAGAAACGAGAGACAGTCAATACTTCTCACATTTACGATTGGAGCTGTATAATGTGGACAACAGATTCCAACGTGTGTACAGTCTACAAAGGGCTCCCGTCGCTCAACTGTGGCTCGAGTGAAGCTGTTAAAATAAAGTTGCTTAGTCATCCGATCTCCATAACTTTTCCTGCCCGTTCGCCTTCACAACTTCACATCTGCCAATCGACCCATCTACCAACTGCATCGCCCAAACAGCAAAGATGACTGAGATCCAGTCTGCGGTCAGGATTCCGACCCCTGAACCGAGAGACGCGTTCACCGAGCTTCCCACCGAGCTTCCCGTCTCTCGGAAACGACGCATCTCACCACCTGCGCGCTCGACTTCTCCCCACAGACGGCGAACCGCCTCACCCGCACGCGACCACGAACCGACGGAGAATGGCGGGCCCTCGAAACCAAACGAAGATGAAACGACGAATAGCGCGAGTGCGATTCGCGCTCAACTCAAAGCCATGCCGGTGACGGAGCAGCGCGCTGGCGGCGTGTATATTCCTCCGGCCAAACTGCGAGCCATGCAAGCGCAGCTCAGCGACAAGAACTCGGTGGAATATCAGCGGATGGCATGGGAGGCTTTGAAGAAATCGATCAACGGGTTGATCAACAAAGTCAACGTGTCGAATATCAAGTATATTGTGCCGGAGTTGTTTGGAGAGAACCTCATCCGCGGAAAGGGGTTGTTCTGCCGAAGCATCATGAAGGCGCAAGCTGCAAGTGTGGTATTCACGCCCATCTATGCAGGGCTTGTGGCCATTGTGAACACGAAGCTTCCGGAAGTTGGAGAGCTACTGGTACACAGATTGGTTTCGCAGTTCCGGAAAGGTTTCAAGCGGAACGACAAATCTGTTTGCCTCTCCAGCTCGACCTTTCTGGCGCACTTGGTCAACCAACAGGTTGTGCACGAAATATTGGCGGCGGAGATTCTAATGCTACTTCTTCAGAAACCGACCGACGACAGCGTGGAGATCGCTGTTGGACTCGCTCGAGAAGTTGGACACCACCTGGAGGAGATGAACTCGCAGATTGCGCTCATCGTGTACGATCGATTCCGGAATATCCTACACGAGGCAGATATCGAGAAGAGGACGCAATACATGATAGAGGTGTTATTCCAGGTCAGGAAGGATCGATACAAGGATAATCCCGCTGTCAGAGAGGAGCTGGATTTGGTTGAGGAAGATGATCAGATCACACATTCGGTGTCGCTGGATGAACCCAATTTGGAGACCAAGGATATGCTAAACGTGTTCAAAGCGGATCCAAACTACGAAGCGAATGAAGAAGAGTATCAGAAGCTCAAGGCCGTCATTCTTGGAGAAGGGTCAGACGACGAAGAAGATGAAGAAGGATCTGAAGTGAGCTCGGAAGATGAGGAGGAGGCCGCCAAGGACCGTGAGATGGAGATCAAGGATCAGACAAATGCAGATCTCATCAATCTGAGGAGGAAGATCTATCTGACCATGAAGTCGAGTGGCGGTTTCGAAGAATGTTGCCACAAGCTCATGCGAATCGATCTCCCCGCTGGCATGGAAGAAGAACTCCCCTCGATGATCATCGAATGCGCCTCTCAAGAACGCACTTACGACAAGTTCTACGGCCTCATCGGCGAGCGATTCTGCAAGCTCAACCGCCTCTGGATGGACCTCTTCGAGAACCAATTCGTCAAGTACTATGATACCATCCACCGCTACGAATCCGGGCGCCTGCGCATTGTCGCGCAATTTTTTGCTTACCTTCTCGCCTCCGACGCTATCGGCTGGCATGTCCTGTCAATCATTCATCTTAATCAAGAAGAGACCACCGCGTCGTCCCGTATCTTCATCAAGATCCTCTTCGAAGATTTGGTGCTGGGGATGGGCGTCAACAAGCTTTCCGAACGGCTCAAGGATGAGACGCTGCAAGAAAGCCTCGCGGGAATATTCCCGAAAGACAACCCCACGGATACTCGGTTTGCGGTCAACTACTTCACCGCGATCGGCATGGGCAAGATCACCGAACCTCTCCGAGATCATCTCAAAGCGGTCAACCTCGCCCAGCAGCAAGCTCTCGCCACGAAAGCGCGCAGTCCCTCCGTCTCCTCCGAATCCGACCGCTCGTTCCGAAGCCCCTCCCGCACTCCACCCCGGCGCGGCCGTGGACGCAGCCCTTCCTCAGAACCCGGCCGCGGTCGCACCCGATCTCGCACCTACAGCGACAGCCGCTCCCCTTCCCGAAGCATCTCACGCTCGCAAACGCCGCCGCGGCGCCGCCGCCGGTACACCCCCAGCATTTCCCGTTCCCGTTCTCGCTCTCGCTCTCCATCTGCATCGCGATCGCGCAGCCCTCCCCGCCGACATCGTCGAAGCCCGAGCTACTATACCGATGATAGTCGATCTCGCACACCACCGCGTCGCCGCACTGCGCGGAGGTATACCAGCTCGCCTTCCCGCAGCCCTTCGCCTGCCCCGAGGAGACGAGCGCGTAGCCCGTCATCGTCACCGAATGGTGGAAGTAGGAGACGAGCGTCGTCACTGGCACGACGGGGAAGGAGGGCGTATTCGAGCTCGAGGAGCCGCTCGCCGCCCAAGAGGGTGGGGAGGAGGAATACGTCGAGTCCGGAGGGGGATGGCAGGAGACCGAGTAGGGGCCGGACTGGGAGTCTGTCGCCGCCGCCGAGGAGGGGAAGAGGGAGAAGCGATTCGGGGGGTTCGAGAGGTAGGCCGCCGCCGCCGCCGCCGAGGGATAGGAGGCGTTGAATTCAGGAGGATTAATAGCAGGAATTTGATTTGAGAGAATGGACATCGAGGGGGATTCTCGAGGTTGGAGATTGGAGTCTACGGTCAAACAAAAACGTTGCTTGCCTATCTATGGGTTGGGATGAAGTTCGAAGAGGAAAAGGAGGCGTGGCATTGCAGCGTTGAGAGGGAAATTGACCTGGAAGTGAAGGAAATTCCACATGAAACGCGGTACCCATCCATCCAGATTGTGTATCAATAACATTTTACTATTGAATCGTTCAAGCGAAGCTCTAATTACATAGCGATTTGCCACGGTTGCGTCGAATGGGAAGAGAATTGTTCAACCGATCATATTCATGAAGCCATTGAATTGAAGCCGCTCGATCCACTTGTGCAGGTCGCTATCTGTAGCCTCCGAATTACCGCCTATGTTCAAACCGACCGCAGGCGAGATTGAGAGGCCCACACCGAAAGCCAGGCTGCGATCACTAGAATGCCGTCCGACTTGATCTACACATATTCCACATCCGAACCCCATCGCACGAAGAACACAAAAAACGCCGATGCTAAACTCGCTCATCACGAGGATATCACGATTCACGACGTGTACTTCCTCAACTATGATGATGGTCAGCCTTGATCCACCAAACCGCACAATCCAAATACTCACATCTAGCGTCAACGCCCTACTGCTATTCACCCCCTGATCCCGCATCACCCCCACCAACGCCTCACTCTCCTGAAACAGCCCCGCCTTCAACGAAATCACAATGAACTGCATCCCGGGCCCAGCATGGTCGCGGATATACTTGCTGATCTTCGCGACGTTGGCGTTGTCGAGGGCGGCGTCGACCTCGTCGAGCACGAAGAAAGGCGACGGCTGGAACGAGTGGATGGAGAAGAGCAGCGCCATGGCCGCCATGGTCTTCTCACCGCCGGAGAGCTGCTCCATGTCGCGGAAGCGCTTGAGGGGAGGCATGGCGTGGTATTTGATGCCTTGGAGGTAGGGTTCCTCGGGGTCTTCGGTGTCAAGGTAGCTGGGGTGCGTTAGGGGGTGGGTTGAAGCGTGGGGTGAGAGTCGCGATGGGACAGGAAGGAGGCAGTAGGGAGGGAAGTGGGGAAAAGGGAACTTACGCTTGCCCGCCTAGCGGAAGTGCCTGACTCCTCGTCAACTCCTTATACACCGGCCCAATCTGGTCCGAGATATGGCTGAACGCGCGGTTGAACAGCTCCAGGCGCCGGTCCTTGACGTCCTCGAAGTCGTCCTTTGCACGCTTGGCCGCCCGCCTCGCGGACTCGAAGTCCTTCTCGGTGCTCTTGAGCCGCGACTCGACTTCCTCGAGGCGGTCGGTGGCACGCATGTTGGGAGCCATTTTGTCGAGTTCGGTGGACATGGATTTGATTTTGTCGAGGAGGGATTGTTCGGTTTTGGGGGAGTCGTCCTAGATAGAGTTGGATCGTTAGCAAGGGCGCATCTAAGGGAATATGAAGGTGGAAGAGGGAATCAACGTGAAAAGAAGGCTGGAAATGGAACTCACCTCTTGCAGGTCCTCATCAAGCTCGTCAAAGTCAATCTCAATCCCATAATCTCTGATCTCCGCCCCGAGTCCGACCTCCCCATCCCGCGCACCATTCCCCTCATCGATATCCATCTCATCCTCATCCTCCACCGCCCCCCCGCCCGCCTGCAGGATATCATCCAGCGGCAGCGACTCCAGCGGCATCGACCCTTCCTCCAGCGGCAACCTCACCTCATCAATCTTACACTTCCGCAACAAGGCATACCGCCCCGACGCGTTCCGCTGGATCTCCGCCTCCAGATCCGCCACCCGCTTCAACGTGAGCTCCACGCTCTTCGTCTGCTCCGCCAGCTCCGCCCGCGCCCGTGCCGCCTCGCGCACTTTCTCTGCCTGCGTCTCCTTTAGGCTCGCCATCTGCTTGCCGAGCTTGTCCCGCGCCTTCTGCAGAGCCCGGATCTCCTTGTCGACCTGCGCCTTCGCGTGCTCGAATTCCGCGATCAGGTTCTCGTCGCGGCTGAGGGACGCGTGGAGGTTCTTCACGCGTTCGTCTAGGGACTGGAGGTCGACCGTCTCGAATTGGAGTTGGTTTTCCAGCCGGGTGCGCTGAGTGGAATACTCGAAGTTCTTCTGCGCCGCCTCTTGCTGCAGCGTGCCTTGCTGCGCTTCGTACACGCGGATGTTGTCGAATCCGAGCCGTTGGCAGAAAGCGGCGAACAGCTCGTCTTCGACGGCGGAGATCTTGTCCTGGTGCTGTTGCAAGCGTGCTTTCAGGTTCGACACGCTAGTGTCCTGCGCCTGGAATTTCGGACGCGTCTCTTTGAGCCGGTGTTTCGCGTCGGCAAGCTCTTTTTCTTTCGACGCGATGTTCCGCTTGTATGCCTTGGTTTCCCCGTTCAAGTATTCCAGCCGATGTTCCAAGCTCGACAGCTCATTGCTGATCTGCTCCTCCTCGCTGCGTCGCGGCTTCGGTAGCGACGCAATGTCCGCCAGGATCTTGTCTTTGGTCATCCGGAGGTTTTCGAGGTCTGCCTCCTCCCACCGCTTGGCGTTGCGGTCCTGCGGGCCGCGACCACCGGTCATGAGACCGCCTTTGTGGATCACGGTGCCGTCCAAGGTGACGGCTTTGGCATCGACGCGCTTATCGAAGCAGAGATAGCGGGCGGTGTCGAGGTCGTCGCAGACCATAGCGTTGCCGCATCCGTACATCATCGCGCGCTCATTCTTGTGGTCGTATTCGATCGTGTCGATGGCGAGACGCATCTTCTTGTGCATACCCTTCAGGCCGGGGTTGACCGTGTGGACGGTGATGGAGTCCAGCGGGAGGAAGGTCGCTTGACCCAGCCTCTGCTCGCGGAGATGCGCGATGCAATCCCGCGCGGTCTTCTCGGTATCGACGACCACGGAGCCAAAATGCCGTCCGAGCACGCTTGCCATGGCAGTTTCGTATTTCTTTTGCTTTGGCCGACAGAGCTCGTGGAGACGGCCTCGGACACCGGGGAAAATCCGCTTCAGATCTGCGACGATTTGCTTTGCACGCGCTTCTTTCTCGGACTCGTGCTTGCCATAGTCGGCATCCGCTAGGCGTCGCAGAATCCCCTGGAGTTTTTCTTCCAGTTCGGTTTGCAGGTTGGCACTGCGCACGCGTTCCGACGAGAGGTTGTTGTACTGTTTCTTCTTTCCGTCGATGTCGCGCTGCGCGGTTTTGGCTTGGGAGGCAAGGTCATGATGTCGTGTTTTGAGGTCGTCGATCTCCGACTCGAATCGACCGACTTGACCCTCGAGCTGCTCCACCTTTCCTCGAAGGCTATTGAGGGTCTCTTCATCCGTTTTGATCTGCCGTGTGATGATATCCACCTGTGTTTGTGCCTCCGCGGTGCGCTTCGTGACATCGCCGCGGATCTGATTGTACTGCTTCAAATCATCGCTCGACAGCTGCCGTCCCTGTTGTTGCTGGGTCGCTTGCCACTCCTCTTCCCATTTCTTCTGGGACTTCTGAACGGTTTCAAGCTGCTTCGTCATGTGGTCCACGCGTTGCGCACGGTTGTCTCGCTGCTTCGACACCTCCTCGATGCGAGTCTTGTAGCTGTCTAGCTGACGGGTCGAGATGCTGATCTTCTCATCGATCGGCACCAGATCATTCCGCTTTCCCTCGATATCTTTCTCCGCCTTCTTTATCTCTTTCTCAATCTTGGAGACTTCACGCGACGCTCTAGCTTGCTCACGTCGGGCAGTCTCCAGAGATTCCTCGAAACTTTGATTCTTGCGGCGAAATTCCTTGAGCTCTTCTTGTTGTCGCTGGATCTCTTCGGTGGACTCATCAATGACACGCTGGTAATGGAACAGCTTCCATAGGATATGCTGCACAACTGCTTCATCCCGGTCAGACGCCTTCTTGGCAAACTCATCTGCCTCCTGCTTCTCTTTCTGCCATTGTCGGATCTCCGAGTTGATGCCACGCCGCGTATGGAGCATATACCCTTGCTCCTCCGCAGCTTTATAGGCATCCGCCTTCAGGCGCTCATAGTCGGCCTTATACTCCAGACTGCCCGAAATCTGCTCGATCAGGCGCGTCAAATCCCGCGGATTCTGGTTCGCAATCGCCTCTACATCACCCTGGAATACCAGGAAATTGCGCGCCTTGATCAAGATGTTCTCCGTTTCCAGCGCCTCGTTGTACTGTTTCGCGGTGACGACTCGGTTGTTGATGCGATACTCGGATTGGCCTTGGGACGTGATGGATCGTTTCCATCGCTGTTCTTCCCCGGCGTCATCTTCGTAGACAGCCATCACCCACGCGCTAGTGGGATCATTCCGCTGGCTGCCTTCCGTCAACTGCTCGCCGTCGACGTCGCCGTTTGTGTGGCCATTGGTTTGGGCGCCGTTGGTCTCTGGGGCAGTCGCGGTGCCGTCCGCGTTGATCGTCGCGTGTTTTAGGACCCGGCCTCGGTAAATGAGGTCTTTGAGATGTGTTGAGCGCAGATGCGACGACTTGATTCCCAGGACGAAGGATATCGCGTCCATTCTAGATGATGGTCAGCATAGACACGTGTGAGCAAACGAGATATGCGAGCTATGAACGTACGAATTGGACTTTCCCGAGCCATTTGGACCGATGATCGAGGTGAAGTACGAGTCTCCGAATAGCATAACATGATGCCCTTTATAGGACTTGAAGTCTATATCTCTTAGTATCCGGAGGGGTCCAATGCAATGGGAAATGACTTACTGAAGAGCTCCAACCGGATGAGTTTCCCCATAGTTGCTGAGTTTCAATTCCCGCTTCTTTACATGCAGTGTTTACAGAGTTGCAATCATTGTATACGCCGATTTAAGCCGCGTTGACACGTCTGGACTCTTCACTGGTGATAGAAACGCGGCGCGTCGCAACTGTGGACATGGAGTAGCACTGGGGGAGCCAAGACCCTGAGGCGTTTATGTGGCGGTGCTATGGCATTTATGTGGCGGTGCACGTTTTGGCGGGATGGTCAGGTGCGCACATCACATGCAACATACCCACCTCAGGCACCAAGGCATCTCGTCCTATCACTGATCTCATCGCTAGCACGTTGTTGATGAATTCCAGACTTGCTCTCTACATCGAAGATTTATATAATCCCATCCTCCACATCCCCCCCTCACCTCATGAGAACGTCTTCCTTGGGGGATCCTACTGCCCGATCTACTGCTACTATTCTCCCTATATATACAACTTTGCTGCCTATCATGCGCCTCCTTAGTTAATCGCACCCTACGAGATTCTACCCCTGGTGGGCGTCTGCGCGTGTGACCGCATCTTCACCTGATATTTGGAGTCGATATAGATTGTAGTCGTTTATACTAGCACTCACATTGTCTCCTCCTCTTTCTTCCGCGTTCCTCAATATCTTGTTTACCTGAATTCGGAGGATCTTCCAACTCCCTTTCAGTTTCTTGGAATCCCCGAATGCCGTCATAGGTACCACCTATTATACCAAGCCACGGAAACTCTCCCCAGGAACGATTTACCGCAATGAGCGCCCCAATACCCATTCCTCGACGCGACAATGACCCTCCCGATTCCGCCACCGAACCCCTCAGCGCCTCCGCTCCTGACAACCTCACCACACCTTCCTTCCTCTCCCCCGAAACCGCCTCCGCCCCAGCTCCAGCTTCCATGTCCTCCACCCCCCCATCACCCGGCCTCTCACGCACCGGGAGCACCTCCGCCTTCGGCGAAGACTACTTCCCTCCCGTCGAACGACTGACCGTCTTCGACATCATCGAGAATCTCGCCCTGCCGCAACGGCTGCAGAGCTCGTTCGAGGTGCTGACGCCGCACGAGCTCGGTCGGCGGTCGCAGGCGCGGTTCAAGACGACGGGGCTGATTGCGCGGGATAAGGTGGACGAATGGCGGAAGCGGATCCCCGGCACGGCGCCGGATGAGCTGGAGCGGTATCGACGGCGGATGCGGGATCAGGTGGAGCGGTTGAGTCGGCGGTGGAACGACTCGAAGACGATCACGATGCGGGAGAAGGTATCGTTTATCGGGGCGGTGTTGAATATCTTTATGTCGGGGTACTTGCTCGGGGCGTGGCCGGAGTGGTTCCATGTGTGGTATACGGTGCAGCTGGTGTATTATCTGCCCATTCGGTTCTATACGTACCGGAAGAGGGAGTTTCATTATTTCCTGGTGGACTTGTGCTACTTCGTGAACCTGTTGGTCGTATTTAGCATCTGGGTCTTCCCGAATAGTCGACGGTTGATGATTAGCACGTTCTGCCTGGCTTTTGGGAACAACGCCATCGCCATCGCGATGTGGCGAAACTCTCTTGTCTTCCACTCCCTCGAGAAGGTCACCACGTAAGTCCTATCTTCCCCCCATTCGACCCCCACTAACCCCTCCAGTCTCTTCATCCACATCATGCCCTGCGTCACCCTCCACTGCCTCGTCCACCTCTACCCCCGCGCCCTCCTCCCCGCCCGCTTCCCCGCTATCCACGCCCTCCTCTCCGCCCCGCACTCTCCCTCCCTCTCCTCTATGATAGGCTGGGCCTCCGTCCCCTACTTCTTCTGGCAACTTAACTACCACCTCTTCATCACCGTGCGCCGCAAGGCCAAGATCGCCGCGGGGCGCCCCACCTCCTTCACCTGGCTGCGGCGCTCGTTCGCGGACACGTGGATCGGTCGCATCGTGCTCGCGCTGCCCGAGCCGCTGCAGGAACCCGCGTTCATGGGCATCCAGTACGCGTACGCCCTGTTAACCATGATGCCGTGCCCGCTATGGTTCCGCTCCCGCGCGGCCAGCGTCGCCTTCCTCACCGCCGTGTTCAGCTGGAGCATCTACAACGGCGCGACGTATTACATTGACGTGTTCGGGCGGCGGTTTCAGAAGCAGCTGGAGGCGCTAAGGAAGGAGGTGGAGCGGCAGGGGCCGCCGGGTGGTACGGCGCCGTTGCCAGACAACCATGGCGGGGTGTTGAAGTCGGGGGAAGAGGGGAAGGGGGAGACGGCCGAGTCGGTTACCTCGGATTTTGCGGACGCGACGGGCGCGGCGCCGGGGCCGGAGAGCTTGGAGGCGGCGAATGCGATGATGGTTGGGGAGCAGGGGGAGCAACACGAGGCGGAGAGTATTAAGAGCTTGGAGAATCTGCCGTTGCTTGGGGGCGGAGGGTCCGGGGCGAGGTTGGTTGGAGAGGGTGGGGATGGAGAGTTGAGAGAGAGGAAGTGATAGGGGAGATGGAACATAGCTCCAAACTCCATCCGTTCAAGGGTTTCGATTCATGGTGCTGCTGGTTCTGTATCGCTGGTGGACTATCATTGTCACTTCTATCGGTTTGGCCTCCTGTGCGTGGCCCGGATTTGCTTTGCGTTCTATCCCATCATCGAGTCATTCGGCTCGTTGATCTTTTCAGTTTCTGCTTTCTTCCTACTCAACCCCTTCTTTTTCGTGGAATTCATCCGCTGCTTATTAGCACGCTCTTTCATTCGCTGATACCCCTACATTTGCAAGTCCCCGCGCATTGGGCGGGAGGAGTACGATTAACGCTGGGTTGGATTTTTGGCTCGGTACCTACATTGATGTTACCGTTATATTTAGGTTGGATTGAAGGAGCTACAGCGTTAAGACGTAATGAGTTAATCCCGAGAATTCACTGGCTGGGTGTCGTGGACGGTGTCACCATCCGTTCCGCTAATTAACAGTACAGTAGTCACATTGAATTGCAAGTTCCCTAAGCTACCTTGCTCATACACCGTGATGAGCACTCTCGCACTAATATATCCGTCCTGGACGATCCAATCCATGATCCACGCGCCCAGCCGTCCACCATGTACAACACCTCCACCGAAAACGCGTCATCGGTTTAAATATGATAGATTTAACGCCTGACCTAAACACAGTACTTATGAGTGGTATCTTCGCTTTCCGTCCAACAAATAGCCCCGAACCATCCCAAAACGCCATTCCGCCGCCCTCGCTCCAACCCACCCGGCCATGCCTCATCCCGATCCTCCACCGCCATCGCCGATTTCCAAACGACGTCGCCAAAGATAGCGCGGGACAGGGGTATTGAACTCCAAGGAAAATCCAGGGTAGGGACCTTGCGGGAACCTGAGTTGGACAGCTACTCACAGCCCCTCAAACCAAGGACTCGCAACCACCCGTCCAATATCCCACCGTCTCTCCACATCCCTCTCCAAACACCCACTAATCAACCCCATCGCCTCCTCCCCGGCCCCCTTCCCTTCCCCCTCCCAATCCCTCACACTCTCCCCCATCTTCCCCCGATCCCACACCCCTTCCTCCACCAACCCCGCCAATACCCCCTCCACCGGATGTGCGAACGGCAACTCCCCCGTGACGATCGCGTACGCGCATACGCCTAGCGCCCAGACGTCGACGGCCGGGGAGTACAGCACGCGGGTCGCGGAGATGAGCTCGGGGGCCGAGTAGGGGAGGGAGCCGATGAAGGTGTTGGAGTGCGTGGGTGCGGGGGGCTGGACGGTGGGAGGAGGCGGAAGGGAGGCGGAGGCGGAGGCGGGGAAGAAGCCATTGCCGGAGTGGTGGTCGGAGGGTTTTTCGGTCCTCTCTCGGGGAGCAGGATTGGTGGGGTGGGTTGGGGGCGTCATCAATGTGCTCGGCAGCGCTGGTCCGATATTCCTCGGATTCAGCGCCGGTCGGCCACCCGCGCCGGCTTTTGCAGCGCCCTCGCCGCATCCGCCGCCATTACAGCTGCCACCTCCGTCGAACCGCGCGGGCGACACCCCACGAGACTCCGGCCGCGCCTCGGACGTGATGTAATCCGCCATCCCGAAATCGCAGAGCAGCACCCGCGCCGCCACCGTCTGTGCCTTCGCGATGCTGGGGACCTGGGCAGGTGCGGAGACGGACGAAGGGGAGGGGTCGATCGGTCCGGGGTGGGAGGAGTGGCTGTCGGTGGGGCGCGAAGCGAAGTCGAGGAGACAGTTCTCGAGCTTGACGTCACGGTGGACGACGCGGACGTCTTCGTGGAGGTAGCGGAGGGAGAGGGCGAGTTGGTGGATGTAGCGTCGGGCAAGGTGGGGGGGGAGGCCGTGGGATTTCGGGAGGGTGGTAGTGGTTGTTGTGCTTGGGGTGGCGGTGGAGAGTGGGTGGCTTGGGGGGAAGGTGTTCGGGGAGAGTGGGGACGTGGTGCTTGCTGTGGCTTTCTTCGCGCCGTATCCGGCGTACGGGTTATGTGGCGGCTGGGATGCCGGGCCTAGGTTGCTACTACTCGCCTTCCGGTATCGTCTCACCAAGTCGAACAAGGTGCCGCCATCCAGCAGCTCCGTGATGCAGAACGTCGCGAACGGGGTATCCCACGCCTCGACGAGCGGCAAGATGTTCGGATGCTTCAGATAGCGCCAGATGGAGATCTCATGGTCGAACTCGGCCTGCAGCCGCTCGTTCTCCGCCTCAGACTTGGCCTCGACGAACTTCTTCACGATCTTCACCGCGCGACGCACCTGCACCCCGGCCTCGATCGTGTACACCTCCTTGACCACGCTGAACCCGCCCGAGCCGATTGTCCGCCCGATGATGTACTCGCTGTGCTGCCCGATCTCCTGTCCCTCGTCGTCGGGCGCCGGCGCCCGCGGGGCTTCGGCCATGGACCATTTGGCGAGGTAGTTTAGCGCGGGGGAGGCGCTGGAGCGGGTGGATGAGCGGCGGGAGGTGCGGCGGGAGAAGGGTTGGGAACCGGCCATGGAGCTGAGGCCAGACGCCCCGGTGTGGGGGTCGCAGTCGTACTGGTTGGCGCGCGAGCGGCGCGAGTTGGAGACGGAGCTGCGGGAGGGCCATGGGAAGGGCGCGCGGGGGGAGAATTCGAGAGGGGAGTTGTTAATGGCTTGCGGGGACGTCGGACCAGCGGAGAGGTAAAGGTCCGTTGGCGGTTCGACGGGGGTGCGTGCTTCGGAGAGATGGGGAGAGGCGGTTTCCGCGGAGGTGAGAGATGCGACGGCGTCGATGCTTTCGAGGTCATCGGTCGTGGCGCCAGTGTCGGGACGATAGGGATACTGAGGACGGCGGCGACCAGCGGAGCGGTTTTGGGAACGGAAGCCTGGACGGCCGAAGGGGTTCGCGGCACCACCGTTTTCTTGCTGTGGTCGAGGGGTGATGCTTGACCCTAGGCTCGTTTCATCGTGTGGTATGTCGATGCCGTATTCTCTAGAAGGATGGGTAGATTCTTCCTCGAATGTTTCAAGTCCGTGAGGTCGAAGGGAGTTCATCGAGGCTGTGTTCCCATTCTCCAGCCGTACTTGACTATCAAATCGGATCGCCTGTCCACGCATCTGCGGAGCCGAGTGAACCCCATCAGGATATGTCCCATCGTCTCTACGGTGCGTTTCTCGCTCCAGGTCGTCTTGCGAGGCAAACCGTTTCGACGCTTCGGCGTCGGTATCCGGGGCATGACTTCCCCACGACTCCACAACCAACGGTGGCCTGTTACTCCCGTCTCGTCCATCTGTCGTGCCATCTTTCTGGTTCAAAGCATCGTGGCTCAGCGAGTCACGATGGGTCAAGTTCGCTCGCTCGGAGCCGGGCGTGGAGTTACCGCTGGACGGCTGAGACTCTCTACCGAGGGCGGAGAGAAGAGAATGGGTGGAATGCGCGGGGGATCGTGAGCTCGTGGTCCGTAATTTCAGTTTTTGGAATCGATTTTTCGCCTCCGTGGAAGCCATGCAGAGGGCGCATTTAATGATATGTCGTCGTGGCGGGGTGATGGCGGAGTGTGAAGAAACTGAAGGAGGGTCGAGAACAAAGACGCTGGACCAGCCAGCGGCTGCGGCGCAATGGTGTACCGCTCGCGGAGGAGCGGGATGTTTCAGGCTGGCGACGTTGTTAAGGGTGTTTCTCTGTATCTGGCAGTAATATACACGAAAATCGATGAGGCAAGAGGGCGAGGAGGGCTTGGTTGCGGCGATGCAAAGTCTGTACTTTGCAGGATGGATGCGGATGGAAGAGGATCTTCGGCCTGATGTTATCCGTTGACGAGAGGGAACACACCGGCCCTCGAGGCAATACCGTGCAATTGAGGATGAACGAGTCCCAGCGAAGCAAGACACGTTCTTTGATGCAAAGGACTATTAACCAATATTGAGGTGATTGTAGTTGGAGTGAAGAAGACGAGAATCCCCAGCCCTGGGGAAGTGGTGAAGTCAGTCCACTCTCCACACTCTCTTTCATCACCCCACACGGAGTGTCGTCGACGCCGCGGATAATGCGGGCAAAGTCGTCTAGACTCCACTGGTTCGATGTACCGACCTAGTGAATCTACAGGGAATGGCCGTCGAAATCATGCAAGGCGCCAGAGCCGCAGAAGCGTCCAATGGGCAAACCCAAAATAAAGAGCAGCAGTTGGTCAGTTGGCGATACTCGTGACGCGGTATTACGGTGACCACAGGGAATGACAACGCCGAATATCACATGTCGTGGGGGTGGCGATGCTGCAAGAGGAGGATGATTGGAGCTGGGGAAGAGAATAGCCGCCATATAGACACACGATTTGAGACAGATACTGACGTATTGAATAGGCTCTCCCCTGCGACCAACGACCCAAGTTGTGGGCATCGATCCCCTACGTTATGCCCAAAGCTACGGGAGGGTAGAGCCGAATGATAGGCTCCCCAAGAGCCTAATTCTCATACTAAGAGCCTGAAAGGAATTGGCGACTCCGTTGCCCGCACCCATCAATGGCACTTGATAACCGCTGACATAATCCCTATGCTTCCGGTCTACAGGAGTCAGGAAGGCAACGAAGTTAGGGCTATTGGGCCATACATGCTCGGAGATGGTCTCCCAATACAACAAGCAGTCCTCTATTCAACAGCAAATCCAATCCGGTATTGCAGGTACTTGATCCCTTATTCCCCTCGAACGAAGAAACTTCGGAAAGGAAGGTTGCGCCAACCAACGGTCTGAGCCAGGGGGGTTCCACGACAATCTCCAGCAAGTCCAACCAAGGGAACCATCCGACTCGAGCTTCTTTGTTCGTTCATCAACATCGATCCTCCTCTGACCAAACAGGAGCCGTGAGAGGGAGACGAGACAGCAACCACCTGCACTGAAGACACGGTCAGGCCCGGCGCCACAGCAACCTACCAGGACATCAATGCAGCGACGACAACGCTGCACCACCAGACTCTCCACCAAGACGCTGATCCGCAGCCACGACCACGACCACTACTCCATCTCATCTCTCTGCCAACCCTCCAAGACTTCAAGATATGCTGATTGATTGATTGATTGATTGAACCACTTCACGTCTACCCCGCCATCATCACGTTCGGTTCCCCGTACCATTGTCATCCAACAGTGATTCCATTGCTGTCCATCCATATTGTATCTCTTCGAGCTATACGAGCTCCCTCACGTGTCGACCTCCGATCCCATCCCATGATCCCGTTGTAACGACCATCAATATCGCAGGCTTCACGATCCCCGTTTCGCTACTTGCGCCATCGATCCCCTTCCCGGGTCGTTTAGATCCCTCCGTCCGATCCCATCTACCCAAGTGCCAACCGGCGGCGACTCGAGTGGTCGTCGGCGCACACCCGACGGAAGCGCCCATCCTTGGTCATTGACAAAGCCATGGCGCAGCTCTGTTCGCGGCTGTTCGCATGGTGCTGCGGAGGTGTGTTGGATGCCTCGATGACTGGTTGTAACCTCACTGACAACCTCCAGGCCGATCCAGAGATAGCTTATACGATCCGGTGTTAGCAGACAGTGAAAGGGAAGCGGTTGCCGACTTGCTGGGCTATCTGGAGAATGTAAGGATTCCGATGCACTGTATCGCACGACAACACGGACATATATCTGACATGGTTCCAGCGAGATCAAACCGACTTCTTCTCTGGACCTCCGCTACAAGCTCTCAGCACGCTCGTCTACTCCGATAACATCGACCTGCAACGCAGTGCCAGTCTCACCTTTGCGGAGATAACAGAGCGAGGTATGATATCGTAGATTCAGTATTGTTCTGGACACCCTCCTAAACACCCTTCTAGATGTACGAGAAGTCGACCGAGACACCCTCGAGCCTATCATCTGGCTTCTACAAAACAATGATATTGAAGTCCAACGGGCGGCAAGTGCGGCCCTTGGGAACCTAGCAGTAAATGGTATACACAATCCACCCGTGCCATGCAGGCAAGATGATGCTGACAAGAATGGCAGCGACGAACAAAGTCCGGATAGTCGATCTAGGAGGATTGGCTCCTCTCATCAAACAGATGACCTCAAACAACGTGGAAGTGCAGTGCAACGCTGTCGGCTGCATCACCAACTTGGCGACACACGAGGACAATAAGGCAAAGATCGCGCAATCAGGAGCACTAGGGCCTCTTACAGGATTGGCGAAGTCGAGAGACATGCGTGTGCAGAGAAACGCAACCGGAGCGTTGCTGAACATGACACATTCAGGTAACCATCTCGATTCCGTACCTTAGGACAAGTCGATAACATTTACAGATGACAACCGCCAAGAACTCGTCCAAGCCGGTGCCATCCCCGTCCTCGTCAACCTTCTCGGTTCCTCCGATGTCGACGTCCAATACTACTGCACTACCGCCCTCTCCAACATCGCCGTCGACGCCATGAACCGAGCTCGTCTCTCTCAATCCGAGCCGCGCCTCATTACATCCCTCGTCCACCTCATGGACTCTTCCTCCCCCAAAGTCCAATGCCAAGCGGCCCTCGCCCTCCGCAATCTCGCCTCCGACGACCGTTACCAACTCGAGATCGTCCGCGCACGAGGCCTTCCACCCCTCCTCAAGCTCCTCAAATCCTCCTACCTCCCACTCATCCTCTCCGCGGTGGCCTGCATCCGCAACATCTCTATCCACCCCCAGAATGAATCCCCCATCATCGACGCCGGCTTCCTCCTCCCGCTCGTCGACCTCCTCTCCTCCACCCCTAACGAAGAAATCCAATGCCACGCCATCTCCACTCTCCGCAACCTCGCCGCCTCCTCCGACCGCAACAAGGCCCTCGTCCTCGACGCCGGCGCCGTCTCCAAATGCATCGATCTCGTCCTCCAAGTCGCACTGAGTGTCCAAAGCGAAATGACCGCCGCCATCGCCGTGCTTGCCCTATCCGAAGACCTCAAGCCGCGCCTCCTCGCCGACCCCACGCTCTTCGACGTCCTCATCCCCCTGACCGCTAGCGAGAGCGTCGAGGTGCAAGGTAACAGCGCTGCCGCCCTCGGCAACCTCTCCTCCAAAGTCCCCTCCTACGACATCTTCCTGTCGCGCTGGGACACCCCCGCCGACGGCATCCGCGGCTACCTCGAGCGGTTCCTCGGCTCTGGCGACCCCACCTTCCAGCATATAGCCGTGTGGACGCTGCTGCAGCTGCTAGAGAGTGGCGACGCGCGGCTGGTGGCGCGGGTGCGCGAGACGAAGACGCTGGTCGGGTTGGTGCAGGCGGTGGCGGAGCGCGAGCGGCGGCGGAGCGAGGAGGGGAGTCGGCCGGGGAGCGAGCCGGAGGGGGAGGAAGAGGAGGATGCGGAGGGAGAGAGGGAGGTGATGGGGTTGGCGAGGCGGTGTTTGGAGGTGTTGGGAATGAGGGGGAAGGAGTTGGCGGAGGGATGAGGTCGGACCTGTTTCCGAGCCAAGTCCCCCAAGCCGCTCCTCCGTCACCCCGTTTGTCGTCTTGCAGTTTGGCCTTCCTGATACGTGCGTATCCACGAGCATTTCATTGCGTATGGCGCGTCGGCGGATCGGGGATCATTGGGTTCTGATTCCCTCTTGGTATTGTTTTCATAGCTCCATCATGATTATCTTTTTTCACCCACACCCCGTTCGACGTTTGATTGTTATTCTCCACCCCGGCTGCTCCCGTCTTTACTACTTGGCATTTGTTTGTCCATGCCTTTTTACCTCTCGCTCTCATCTTTTTCCCTTGCTTGTAGGGTTCCCTCCCTGGAGTGTGTTCTGTCGTGGGGACCCAGGGACGGATTCCGGGCGGGAAAATTGCTAGAGAGAAGGAAACCTAAGGCAGATATCGGGGCGAAATGGCAGGGCCGGGATAGAAGCGCGGGCCATATTATCCCTTGTAATGAGATGAAATCAATAGAATGAATATTCCGTCTCGTCTCTTCTACTGAATTCCCGTGGAGTGGTTGAACGTATCGATATCTAACCGTGGAATCCTGAGATGATATTGCTAGGAGCCGTCTCCCTATGCGATTCCGAAGTGATTTTAATTTACATGTATAAGAAATTGGGTATCCTTAACCTTCCCTTTCTCGTAAATATCCCACTCACCTCTACCACCTCAATCAATCCCCCTCCGCTCCCCCACCGCATCACCATCCCACCTCTCACCCCCCCTCTCCTCCGAAACCGAGGACCTCCCACTCCCAACCTTCTCATTCCCCGAATACACCGAACTCCCCTTACCCCCCGAATACACCGAACTCGCTCTATCCCCCACCAATCCCCTTTCCATCCCATCCACATCCCCCCTCTCCCCCCTCCTCGCCCACACGCCCCACGCCGCCACCCCCACCGCCCCCACCGCCATCACCGCCCCAATCCACGCCATCGCAAACCACGCCTTCCCCATCGCCGCACCGATTTGAACAGCAGGCATCTCAACTACCGCGCCGTCCGCCGTGTCAAAGCCCAGCTCCGTCGGTACGGGAGTTGTGGTACGGGTTTGCGCGACCATGATGGTGGTGGCTGCGGTGGTGGCGATGGCGGATGCGAGGGTGAGGAGGGCGGAGAGGGATGTAAGGGTGATTTGGGCGAGGGTGAAGAGGCGGGGTGAGATGGGGGTGGATGCATCGCGGGGGAGGGGTGTGAGGAGAAGGGACACGAGGAGGGAGAGGAAGACGAAGGTGCAGGCGGTGATGTGGAGGGGTGCGAGGGCGGATGGGGCGGAGGGGAGTGAGGAGAGGGCGGAGAGGTGGACGCGGTTGTTGTTGGGGCTGAGTTGGCGGAGTTGTTCGTCTGCTGACTCTTCGGGGATGGATTGGATGTTGGATGGGATAGAGCGGGGTTTCAGGGATGGAGGGGAATCGGCGGCGGTTTGGGGGACGTTCTCGTGGCGGACGGGGGCGGTGGGGAGGTTAAGGAGGTCTGAGGGGATGATTTGAAGTCCCTCGTTCATGGCGTCGTTTACGATTTGGGAAAGAGAGATTTTGAAGGTGGAAAGAGGAGTACTGCAGCGGTCGATAACCCGGTTTGAGATCCCGATGGGGTCTGAGTCGTAGGGGAGTTTGTCGGCGGAGGAGATGGTGTCGCTGTCTCCCTCGCTATCGAGGTTGGGGTTGTCAGAGTGGAATTCCGAGGGAACGCTAGGGGTGTCGTAGTGCCCAGAGCAGCTCGTCAGGAGGTGGGCGGAGTAGAAGTCATTGACGCCTAAAACGCCGAGGGGAACTTGGATGGTGGTGTTTTGGCCTGGGAGGGTAATGGAGGCCCGAGTACTGGCCAACGCGACGGTGTTGAACTGAAGGATTGGGATGAGTCAATGCGCATTTGGACCATCGATCCTGGGGTCCTTACGGTGATGAGGTCCAGCTCGACGCCGAAGCCGGGCTTGTATCCGCTTAGGAGGCAGATGATGGAAAGCGTAAAGGATATGGTGAGGAGGAGGAAGGAGGCCAGGCTTTCAGGGCGTGCGATCAACCGCCATCTACGGGGAGATGACGATACCGGTATGGGCTGATGGTGGGTCATATCTGTACCCATCGGCAGTGGTACAGGGAAGTTTAGAATCATCTTTGTATGACGACTAGAATATATACGATTTCAAAAGGATTGACTTGCGAGTTGGAAATAGAAATACATCGACTTGGACCCGAAAACAGACTGGAAACACTTCTGCTTTTATCTTTGCGACTATAAGGAAGAGATATCTCTCTCCTTAGGGCCATCCTACTCCCCATTTTGTTTTTAACTTTCATCATCGATTCCTGGGCTCACCACGACGGACCTTGCAGAGGATGAATCTCCAACATCTGCACTCGGGAAGCTTTGCCCGCGTCTAACAGAGCGCAGGAAATCCCGCGAACCAAACATATCTGGCGACCCCGCAACTCCGTTCGATGGATGCTACGCTTTTGAAGATATTTCGGTACATATCTGCGCTGTATCCAGGTTTCTGCTGCAGAACGTGTAACATGTTGGTTTTACCGCTGTGGGAGCTGTTGGTTGTCAGGACACAGTGGTGCGCGGCTACGCCATAGATAGCGACTCGCGGGAAGGAAATCACTGCCACATGCCATGTTGAGTGTCGCAGATGTGTGTCGCATACTACGCAGAATGTTTGGTAGTGTCTGACTCCAATTCTGATACAATTCCGGAGTGTAGGAAACCTGGAACAGGGGTGAAGAGGGATCGTTTGGTCTGGAACCTGACTGCTAATATAGGCAAAGAATTGTGGCCTGGTGATAGCGATGCAAGGCCATAAGGCCACAATTCTCGGTGATCACTGAATGAATGAATGAACAAAAAGTATTCATGTTCGGTTCCATTTCATTGTTCTGATGTTTATCTGATATTCATTGCAGAAATATTGGAGCTGGTTGACGATTTCCTGTTCTCTTACGGAGAACTTCAGAGAGGATATCGTAAAACCCTTAGGAACCGAATGCCCTGTTTTGGAGATGGAATGATTGTACGGTTAAATCAAGTATGTTCAAAATCAGTTCACTATCTCAATGAAGCCACCAGATAGACAGACAGATCGTTTGAAATAGTCATAACTGTCATCGCTAGTCATCCATTGTCTTATACTTCCAAAGAAGAACTTTCCAAACAGATGAACTGTGCGCTATCCTCAGTCAAACCAGTGCGCATATGCACAATATTCTTAAGATTCCCCCTTAACATCTCTCCTGGCATTCCCAGCATCCCAGCAGCTACATTCACTGGTTTAGGATGCTTACCGGGACCCCATAATTCCATCGTTCGATTCTCGCCGCATCTATCGAACACAGCAGTGACCCGCCCGGACTCTGTGTAGTCACAGTCAGCATTCGCCATCAGCCACTCATCGCTGATGTAGCTCAACTGTCTTCTCGGCTCCTGTTCGTCATTGCTGTACCGTAGCGCTTCTGCGATGGCGTAGGCATCATAGACAGGGAGGCCTTCGGTCCATAAGGCAATGACCCGAATATTTGTTGCCCCCCTGTGTGGGCAACGTTTTCTCCTCTTCAGCACTCTACCCCAGGAAGAGAAGAATGAATTAAACGGGGTCTTGACATGTTGGACGCTAAGATGTTCATCGAATGCTTTCAGGGTGATCAGGGGTTCCGGCAACCCAGATTGGTCTTGGAAAGCTTCATCGGATTTCACACGCCAGAGAATATCGCGTGTTGGTTCAAGTGGTTGAAGGGTTTGTACGTATTTCGATATCACGCGAGCGAACTCCCAGAGTTTCTCTTCCGGCGTTTTGAAGAGAGCGGTTAATTTTTCATCCGTAGTCATAGATTCCCACCCATCTTTGATCCTCACATGGCAGAAATGGTGTAGACTGATGTTTGATGATTCGCCTAACAGCTCGGAGAGCATCAACGAACCTGCTCAGGTCGTCTACAAGGGAGTCGAGGGGGGTCCTCGATGTTTGGTCTCGAGCTGTAGAGTGGTACCTTTCCCCAATCTTTTGGAGCCTGTCAGTGATTTCGCTCAGGTTGTCTACAAGGGAGTTGAGGGTTTCCTCGATGTTTCATCTCGAGCCGTAGAGTGGCAATCTTCCCCAATTTGGAGTGTGTCAACGCATCCACTCAGGTCGTCTACAATGGAGTCGGGGGGTTTCTCGATGTTTGGTCTCGAGTCGTAGAGTGGGGCCCTTCCCCGACCTCTTGAAGTGTATTCACTAGCTTAGAGGTTGCAGCCTCTAAGGTAATAAGCGCTTTCGCTAACGGAGATCGATTAGGCTTGATCCCTGATGGACATTTGTTGTTCATCGCTGAAGGTGGACGGCCGAAGAGGTCTATAAACTGATCGTTAGTCCAAACTAGCCGTGCTATCGAATGTGTTTCCGGATCTGCTAGCAAAACGATAGAGAATACCGTACAAAGGATCGGTAGACATTAACCAATTCCTCAGTTAGGCGGCTACTACGGTTCAGAGGCACCGTTGGTGGTATAAAAAAGGGAGAGTCGATCCCGATCTGGTGCTTACCGCTCCCTCATCTCTGCATTTCCCTTTGAGCGTCAGTTTGGCCTGGCCTGATCGAAACAATTATCTTGTTGGAACTGAAGGAAGGCCGGGGCCTAATTTCGCATGAGACTGAGGGTGTAATCGTGATGCTGCCCGGAGGCGAGGTAACCTTTCGACTGACCAATCAACACAGGCAACCTGTGATAGAATGCCCCATTCGGAATGCAATACTCCGTGATGTCCTATTAATTAGATCCGCAACCTTGAGTAACTTATCCGCGCCCCTCGTTCGTAAGCGACACTCACGGCTCACCTCAGCTTCACACGTTGTATCTGACATAATCCGACCACATCAAAGCACTGTAGAGGAATTAAGGCGCCCAAGTGCCCAACTAAGGACTCAATGTAACAATGCTGAATCAGCACGCATGTACCATTTGAATTCTGATCGCACTGATTGGAGGGAGCTAAGAAAGCGGGGTCAGCTCGGGCGATGGAGGGTAGCAGCATCCATGAGAATGGTATAGCCAAGAGTATGATCACTTGATCAGGGTGTTTGGGGAGTACGCTGAGAGTGTAGACTTGGAAACTGAGTTTGGGAGGGTTTCATCATCATGAGATGATTATCAGTAGATTTCTCCAAAAGAATAGAGCGAAGTGAAGATTTGCCATCCATTCTCTTCATGTAATTGTTGGAAGAACCGTATTGATATTGCATTTATAAACAATGGCGCAGCAGACCAGCAAGAGAGGCGTGGTGGACTTCAACTTTAGCTCGCCTGCCGTTGATTTCACAAAGACAGTGAATACTGCCGGACTCAAAGGCCAGAGTGCTTTGGTGACGGGGGGAGCGAATGGGATAGGCGCAGGCTTTGCGACGGCTTTGGCGGAAGCCGGGTGAGTATGATCACGCCCGAAGTCCATGGAACAGTACTAAACGTCTCTAGAGCATATGTCACGATTGTGGACCTGCACTCAGACGGGGAGAAGTATGCGAAAGAACTGGCATCGAAGGGTCTTCAGTAAGCGGCCCGAACCCTCTACCTCATCAGGTGGATCCTCCGAAAGGCGGTGCAGGTGCTGGATCTGGTTCAAAAAGAAAATGCTGATAGGCCGTCGTAGTGTCCAATTCATCCAAGCAGATGTCCGTAGCTGGGACGCCCAGCTCCAAGCCTTCAAATCTGCCATCGAATTCCACCCCACCCACTCTCTCGACATCGTCGTCACCGCGGCCGGCCTCGTCGGCAACTCCATGGACCAGTGGATAAAACATAATCCCACCGACTCTAACGCCGATCCTCATCCCCCGACGACCGACGTCATCGACGTCAACCTGACCGGGAGTTTCTACTCCATCCACCTGGCGGTCCATTACTTCGCCCGAACCATTGATGCCGCGACGTCGGCGGAATCCAAGCAGATTGTGCTGGTGGCGTCGCTGGCGGGGTATGCGGCGCTCCCGCTCCTGGCGGACTATAACGGGAGCAAGTTTGGGGTACGGGGGATGATGAAGGCGTTACGGGCGAGGCCTGAGCTGCTGGGTGAGGGGAAGAAGAGGGTGCGGACGAATTTGATTGCGCCGACGTATATACGGACGAAGATGATTGCGAATCACCTTGGGAAGTTGGCGGAAGCGGGGATCCCCGTGGGGGAAGTGGAGGACTGTGTGGATGGGTTCTTGAGGGTTGTGACTGATGAAGGGGTGCATGGTGAGTTAAGACCGTTTGACGTAGGAAGTTGGTAACTAACCGGTATAGGGCGTGCGATTGCCATTGCGCCGAACAAGGGGGGTTCTGATATGAAGGATGATCTGAAGCATTATGATGCTGGTAAGGGATTGAAGGAGTTGATTGAAGGAAGACTTTTCGGTGGTTAGCTAGGTATGACCGAGGTAAGCGTACCGTAGGGTAAATTCTTGGAGAAGTAATAATAAATGGTTTCAGATGGATTATAGTGACCGATATGCTTGCGAGAATCAAGATATCTCATTAGTATTATTGCGTTCTCTTCAAAAGTTAAGGTAGCTCGAGTCCACGACTGTCATATTTGAAGCAACTTCGCCGTCAAAGTCGTGCCCACAGAGAATGATGATCATGTCACTAATTCATGTAGCTGATAGGACTAGAAAAAGTCATCATAAGCTTATGATATCCTGTTAGTGACGGGGTGCTGACCATGGCATGGAGATAACGGACCGTTCTACTATGGAATCATAACGTAGCTGTCTAAGTCTTCTTCCTTGAGGAAATAACTGAACGTCATTCTTGCTTTCTAGAAGTCCATTACATCATTCATGAAAATCCCGATCCGAACTCATGGACCACCATTCTTGTCCCCTGACGAGCTACCAGCATCGGGGCCTTTTGATTCCTTCTCTTTCTCCGCAGTAGCTTGATCCTCTGACGACTGTGCAAGTAACTCTTCGATTTTACTCTCCAAAGAAGTCAAGTGATTCTCGAGAGCGGCAGCAGTTTGTTCGCCTCTGGTCAGCTCTTTCAACGCCTGTAGTAGAGTAAGAAAAGGTGATCCTATCAGTCCTGAGAATCAAACACAGTACCTGAGCGAAATCTGCTTCCACCGACGCATTTGCAGACTCTCCATTGTGTTTCTCAGTCATATTGATTGACTGGAGCGCTCTGTGACGGCTGAATGGTTCTCAAATCCGATGCCGTCGATGCTGTTGGAAAGAATGTCATCACCTCGATCGACTCTGTAATCTCCATCAAATCACGGGTGGCTGACACACGGCATTGACACGTGTATGTGGCGGTGCTAAATCTTCAAGCTTCGACCATCGTCGTAATCTCGTAATTACTGCACGAGCTCCTGTTCGATACTCCTACAACGTCAATCTCACCCTTTCTTCAGTCATTTTTTGTATTGTTCCGCATTTCTTGAATTCCTCTGCATTTGTGCTTGGCGTATACCTCCCACAATGTTTTCCGGTTCGAGTGCCTATCTAGGCGGCGGGAACAGCGCTCGACCAAACCAGCCTCCCTACGGCCAACAGCAACCTCCGTTCCAACAGCAGCCCCAACAGCAGCCCGGTAACTTTGGCCCACAGCCTACCGGATTCAGCGGACAATCGCTACAGTCTCAATATACCGGGTTTCCAGGCCAGCAGCAACAAGGTGCTCCGCAACAACCTCCTCCGCAACCCCAATTGCAGCAGCAGTACACGGGTTTCCCGGGTCAGCAGGGCCAGCAGGGCCAGTCCTTCCAAACCGCTCCGCAACAGCCGTTCCAGACCGGACAACCCGGATTTGGCCAAAATGCTCCTCCACAGCAGTCTCTCCAGGCCCCAGCGGCGCCGCAGATGCCGCAACAGACGGGGATGACATCGAATCAGATGGCGGATTCGTTCCTCTCGAAACAAGCTCAGACGGCTTCTCCGGCCCCTTCGGCAGGACTGAAGTCAAAGATCCCGAACATCCGGCTCTCTTTCATTACTTCGGAGGATCAGGCGAAATTCGAGCAGCTGTTTAAATCCGCGGTTGGGAACGAGCAGTCCTTGAGTGGCGACCAAGCAAAGGATCTTCTGATGCGTTCGAACTTGCCAGGAGAGGATCTGGCGAATATATGGTATGGCAGCGAACAAGGGAATCTACGTGAGGTTGGTCTGACACGAAGTCCAGGACAATAGCCGATACCACCAAATCGGGTCGGCTACTCTTTCCAGAGTTTGCCCTTGCCATGTACCTCTGCAACCTTAGGATCGTTGGCAAGCCCCTCCCCACAACTTTACCCGACCGTATCAAGAACGAAGTATCTAGTATGGTCGATATAATCTCCTTTGGGGTGCCGGATGACGCGCCTCAGCCTTCCTCGCGAACGAATGCACCAAGCTTCGACGGTCCGCTTCGCCAGACCAACATGTCTCCGCCAACCATTCAGCAGCCTCAGCCTCAGAATCAATCCAACCAGCAGCTTCTGAATCAGTTGACTGCTCAACCGACGGGAATGATGCCGCAGATTCCAGGGTACCCAGCCCCGAACAATATGCAGAACCAGCAATCGATGGGAGGGCTTCAACCGCAGGCGACGGGTTTCCCTGGTCAAACGCCAGGCCAGGGCTATACTGGACCAAGACCGCCAATGCCACCGATGCCAACTGGCTTCGGCTCAAATCTCGGCCCTCAACCGACAGGAATGGCTGCTCCGCTAAACGCCCAACCTACCGGAATACCAGGTCAATGGGGTCTTGCCAACAACCCGGCCACAGGCCTTCCCAACATCGATACCCTTCAGCAGCGTATGATGCCGCAATCTGGCCGTGAAGGTGGATTCACCACGCAAGGGCTTCGTGGCAACGCGACGGTGCCATGGGCGGTGACTAAGGGCGAAAAGAAGATCTACGATGACTTGTTCAAGGCATGGGATGGCTTCGGAAAAGGATACATCACTGGCGAGCAAGCCATTGAGATTTTTGGGCAGAGTGGCTTGGACAAGCCGGACCTCGAACGTATCTGGACCCTTTCAGATTCGAATGACAGAGGGCGTCTGAACATGGACGAATTCGCGGTTTCCATGCATTTGATTTACCGCAAGTTGAATGGCTATCCCGTACCAAACCGACTGCCAGCGGAGTTGACGCCACCATCCACCCGAAATTTCAGCGACACGATCGGCTCGATGAAATCTCTGCTTGCGCGAGATGCCGAGGAGCGCAAGAGCTCAGGGGCGTTCCTCCAGCCACAAAAGACTGGAGTCAGCTACTTGAAGTCGCAATCGTTCCGTGGAGGTAGTCCTGGGGTTGCAGGACGGAAGGACGCCACGGTGTTTAAGAATAACGACGATCATGTCGGGTATAAATCGAGTGCTCGGCATCGTATCGGTGCTGGTGGCCGTTCACCATCCCCGGCACAACCAGGATCGCCGGTCTCGTCAATTGAAGAGTTTTCTAATGAGCAACTCAAGAAATTGATCCGTGAGAAACAGGTTCTTCTCGATGCCATCGACTTTCGCGATGAGAATCAAGCCGAGCAAGACGAGGCGCTGGACCGAAAGGACCGACGCGACGCCGATGACCTCTATCGACGCATTCGTCGCCTTCAAGAAGACATTGACACCCATCCGAATGCGTTTGTCCGCTCCGGAGACTCGAGTGCCGAGCGACGAACGATGAAACGTCAGTTGCAAAACCTGACCGACCGGCTACCAGAGCTCGCATCCAACGTCCGGCGAACCGAACGCGCAATAGCGGACGCGCAGCTGGAGCTCTTCCGGCTGAAGGATGCAAAGGCCCATCCCGGCGCAGCTGCTGCCATCTTTGGGACGGGGCCCGGTGGCGCGATCACGGAGTCTGACCGGTTGAAAGCGAAGGCCAAAGCGATGATGCAGCAGAGGTCAGCGGTATTAACCGGCCGACCCGTAGCATCGGGCGGTGACGAGTCCGAAGCTGCCGCGAGAAGATTGGAGGAAGAAAGCTCGAAGGTGAGAACCGAGAGAGAGAATAACGAACGCATGGTCAGGGACGTGGAAGATTCTGTCGGCGAGTTTGGTAAGAGTCTGGAAGGATCCCTAAAAGAAGGCGCAGAAGATTCTAGTACGGAGCATGAGCGCCGTAGGTGGGGGGATGGACTTGGTGTAGAAGATGAAGTGCGTGATTTTATCTACGAGTTGCAACGGGAGAGCCGATCTACGAGGATTCGGAAAGAAGAGTAAGTCGCCGGAAATAATTTACGGGCAAGGACTAATTTTCTCAGCTCTCGACGAGACCACGGTAGCCTCTCTGATGGACCACCCCGAGCAACGGAATCTCGTCATCCCACAACATCCCGCTATGAGAGTCCTGCCAAATCCCCCGAGCCGACTCCGTCTCCTGCGCCCTCGGCTAGTAGCACCGGGGGGACATACTCATCTTATAAGTCTCCCGAGGAGCGCGCAGCATTCATCAAGCAACAAGCCGAACAGCGCATGGCCGAGCGATTGGCTGCCCTCGGGCTTCGACCCAAACCGACGCCTTCTCCCACGGCGGAGACTGCGCAGCAGCGTGCCGAGCGAGAACGAAAGGAGCGCGAAGATCGCCTTCGTCAAGCTGAGGCTGAAGATACTAAGCGTGAGGAAGAACGACAGCGCAGACTGCAGGATGAGGGCGGAGTGCCTCCTCCGGCGACCAAGCCAGCTGCTGGGAAGAAGCCGCCGCCTCCGCCGTCGCGGAAAGGGAAAGTGGATACTACGCACGCGGAGGCGGAAGCTAAGCGAGCGGAGCAGGAGGCAGCTGAGAAGGTGTTGCGTGAGGAGCATAATGCTCAAGAGATTGCGCGGAAGGAACTTGAGTAAGTGGCATACCAGCTTTTACCTAACGTGTCTAACAGTGATCAGGGAGGAAGCACGTAAGCAGGAAGACGAGTTCGCGCGGGAGCGAGAGGCTGCCCAGGAGCGGTTGCGTGCACTTGAGGAGCAAGTGAGGCAAGGCAAGCTAAAGAAGGAAGAGGAGAAAAAACGCCGTCATGCTACTCAACGCGATGCCAAGGAGAAAGAAGCTCGAATGGCAGCGCAACGAGCCGAGATTGAGGCGGCAAAGGAGCGAGAGCGACAACTTCAGTTGCAGCTTCAGAACATGGGCGACGAGGACTCCTCTGACGACGAAGGGCCGCAAGAACTGACCCCACAAGACACAACGCCTACCGTCAGCCAAGAGCTCCCGCGACAGATTTCTCCGCCAGCCGCACCCCCACTCTCCATCCCGCAGCAAACCAGCCCGCCTCCCTCCTCTATCAGCAGCCCGCCATCCGTCACCAGTCCCCCGGTCACGGACACCGAGACGCGCAACCCGTTCCTCAAGAAAATGGCGCAAGACAGCAACCAAACCACCACCCTCACCTCCACCCCCTCCTCCGAAGTCTCCACCAACCCCTTCCACCGCCTCCAACAACAACAAGCCCCCGCC